TAAACTCAATCCTGACAAACGCTGTTATGGCACTAAAATGATAAAGCTAAACTCGAAGATTATTTTTCCCCGTAAATGTTCTTGAAATGATTTCCAAATATTTTATTTTGTTCTCAACAGGTTATCAGAGCATGACAATGCATAATATTGCCCAATTTGTTCGGGCTTTTTCTGAAACGCGTGGGTGGCGTTCGATTGAATAACGTCCCTTCGTTTCCGACGACTACATTTTCCTCTGTTATATTCCTTTTTTATCACCCATTGTGTGAGCATTATCGGAGGAAGTAGATAAAGCAATCTGTGCTCGTAGACTAACTTTCACTGACTAGCTTGCAAAGGGTTGTTTAAAATTTTACGATCTCGAAAAACATAATTCTGAATCGACATTTTCTGTCTCTTCTTTTACATCAGCGTCGATTAATCGTTGTATCCAATTACGAAAACCTCTTAAACGTTTACGGAGCGAAACGAAAGTTTCGTTGAGAGAATCGGTGAATGATAAACTCTACTTTCTCGCTTTTCACTTTGACGCGAAATTACCATGGTATATTACCAGTTGGTCGGTGTTAATTACCCTTTAACCGATGGTACAAAGGACCGTGAGATTTCTTCGCTCCACGCGTTATTAGAATTCTTTTCAAGGGATGAATCCTCGGCGATTCAATTTTTTATCTTCTCTATACCTTATTACCTTTATTATCGTTTGTGTCGCAAAAAAATGTGGAGTTTATTATTCAGAATAACACGAGTCATCCTTCCATCATACAACGTGCGAGACTGGTAAATAAATAAAAATTATAAACTATTATTTCGTTAAACATATTTTGCGTTGAACGGAATCCGCTGAAAAATCTGATCGAAAATAGCATCGATATGCATGGACTATAGCGAAATCAGGTTCAGAGCTGTTATTTGCATAAAAGTCTCGCACTTTTTGCTGGAACATCGGCTAATCTACGAGGAAAAAGAGATGAATTACATCATACACCCAAGTGTAAGAATAACTACGGTGTCATGGAATCTCACGATCGATATTTTTAGAGTAGTTTAACGTCGAGCCATGATTATCTCCATAATCTTCGGTGTCTATCAAAGATATCGAAAAAGAAGTCCGTTCTAATTTCCTGAGTTGAGCGGTTTTTCAAAAATTTTTCAATATTCCTCTAATTGATATCGCGTCGATAAAACGGAACAGTTTTGATCGTGCGTTTGTTCCAAACAGGGGCGTGCTTATCGTACGTGTAAAAAACAGAAATGGAGAACGAACGTGAGCAGTGAATGGTGCAGGTATACGACTACGATAAAGCATGTAGGTCCACCGTGTAATTACACATTTGTATGCGTTGTACACATATATGCCCGCTGATAACGAGCTTATCAACCGTGACTTTACATCGAGCAATTGGCTTTCCCATTTTCTTTTCCAGTTCTCGTGGACTTGTCCCGATAGATTTGCAATTTCGAGCATTTTTTTGATCGATCGTTTCGGATCGATGGATTAAATCATGAGGCGAAGTTTAAGCGGTCGCGAGATAACTTTGCGTGCGACGGAAAGTTTTCTCGGACTAAATTATAATTGCGCTGCTCTATTTCTAACGTTATTATAACGACGTCGTGTTCGAGGTATGGTTACAGAGAACACAAACTTATCGAATTTCCAAGCGTTACGATCAGAAAATTTCTGAATTCCTAAGCACCGCAGGATAATGCAAATTTACACTTTCCAAATATGAAAACAACGTTTATTCTGTTTATAAGTCGAAGAATTGCAAACGTTTTCACACGACGGTTATCTGCATTGGCAGGCATAGTTATCTTAGCGTCCTTGCAAAAGCGTTCGTGACCAATTATCGCGTCGATAATAGACACCATTTTGCGAAGGAAGCGTTTTCATGAATGCTCAAATAATAATAACAATGTCTTTATTGCGTGAAGAAACAAAGAACGTCGCCTTAAAAGAATAACACCTTAAAATTATCAGTTCCTAACGTTTACCGTTTCGTAATCATCCAACTTTCAAAGCCTTCGAACTTAAAAGTCCGAAATTATTCTGTCGTCGTAGGGTTAGGTTACCGGAGTGAAGTTTTCCCGCTTTTCACGATGTTTACGACGAACGAACGTGTCGTGAATGCAAGATACACGTGTTCAACTTTCTTGATAGAGGAAAAGTTGTAGAATCCCGTAGATCGCAGAAGAAGGTAGTCGACATTAAAGGCCACGGTACGGTGAACTCCTCGCGAACAACCTTCATCCTTTCCAATTTGTTCCTCACGCGTTGTACTGATGCGTGACAGAGATCACGGAAGCGCGACCAACGTAAGAAACTTCGTGTATGTGTGCGAAATAACAGCCGGTGAATGAATGCTAGTAGCAACATCTTCCATTGGTATAGCACATCGTTGGAAATAAGACTGGCTTGGAAATGGTTCGTGTGCACGAGAGAATTTCAGCTGGGAAAATTGAAGGGAATTTAAGTGAGTCTTGCAATATGAAAGAACAATTTGGGATTTTTAAAACGTGAGAAATAAGGAATTTGTTGAGAATTTCCGAGGTTGACAAATTTTAATATTTAGAACTACATAGATTGTATTTCAGAAAGCGAGCTAAAGATCAAGGCTGTGCTAAAAAATGTATAATTAGTTTCTTATTGATGTGTATGTTTACATAACGGTGTAACGGAAACGAAACATAAATTACATATGACCTGAATATTATGCACGATAAGAAATTAGAGATTCGTGTAACTGTTAAGATGTCATTAAGAAGTATTCGAGTAATTAGTACAGGCTCGTTAATTGATTAAACAGTGAACGCGTAAAACTTTCGTTAAAAAGAGAACTGGAGTTACTATTTTTTATGAAGTTTCATTACTCCGTTGTGTGATTGTCGAATCAACTTCGCTCCCACTACTTCTTATCACCTTATCTGGCAACATTTCCGTTTAGAAATAGCTGTCCATTAATATCGATCGGTAGAGCGTTATCGATCGAGCTATTGAAAATCAACTGTTTATACATCAATTATAAAAAAAGAAACTTCGTAGTACGTTTAATACAGAGATAAAGAGTGTTATCGTTTCTCGAGAAACACGCGAACTTTTTCCTCCGTCTCGTTGATTTTCCTCGAATATGGCGACCGTTTCGTTGCACCATTGACGACGAGTCCTTGACGACTCGTACCCTACTTTTGCCGCAATTTGGTACACACGATATACGTCCCACATCGTTTCAAATCGTCGCAGACGTCGACTGCACAACGATTTAAGTGTTAAAAATAGCGATGCCAGGAAACGATACAGCAATGGGGAAGATTGAAGAAACGACCCTTTGATCTTTGCAAATCTTACCGTTAACGAAAACATTCGATGTAATTTCCTGCTCGATACTGATATCTATTAATATTAATATAGTTTTACAGTTTTTAAACTTTACGACTTGGAATTTTTCACTTTAGGAATTTGGAAAGTAATTCATTACAAGTGGGTGAGTCACCAAAAATATCGATAACGAATCTCGAGGTGAGATTCTGAATCCATACAAGTTAAAAGTGGGTCCCAGATAATGAGCTACTGAATTATAAATTATTATATCAATGTTGAACGCGAATAATTTAGCGTAACGCTAAAAATTCCAGTTAGATTCTTCAAAGGGAATTACGTACATATTTTCATTGAACGTTGTCGAGCGTTCGAGGAAGAATTCAACTAAACGTGAGTTTCTAAAAGAAACCTTTACGGGACGTAGCCGTGAACGACGACAATAAATTAGCCACAGCTTTCAGTTTAGTTTCATCGCTTCTTTCATCGAACACTGTGACGTAAAGTATAAAGAGTGAGACTACAATACCACAAAGCAGCGTGTGAGAACCGTGGGTCCACGATAAAAACGATAGCGAAACTGGGAAAAATGAGCCTTTTTGAAAAAAATAAAAACCGTGTGAAATGCGGTAAGAGAAGGAGAAATGAAGTTCTCTCGAACAAGTTTAAGAACTTGTGCACGTTCAATTTAGAATACAGGTAAAAATACATTACGACGTAACGATCCCCATAACCTATAGACTTTTCCTACGATGATCACCGTTAAGTTTAACGACTTTGCTAGCTGGAAAGTGCTTGCCTCTATAATACGCTCTAAGAGATGACGTAATTGAGTAAAAGGGGACTAACTCCCTCTCCCAAATATGACGTGCCATCGTTAGTCAGCAAGAGGCACAGATTGCCTTTCAGTTTCTATCACGAACGAACCGAGATTCGCGATGCTTCGTTGACAACCGAAAACCTACGAGGTTCAGAACAATACTGTATACTCTGAAACGAACTAAAAAATTCTCCTTCTCGAGCAAATATTTCGTCGAGCGCTCTTCAACATTTTAGCATCAAAATGTTAACGAAGACAGAATATGGTCGAAGATTTTCTCAGGAGAAACGAGATCGTCAAGGGAGGATCGTAAAAGGGGACGACAGGTCAATTGATAAGGAAATTATGCGATGAATATTCGATAAAAGAGAATTTCGTCGTGGCTCGTTGAATAGCAATTAGTAAACAATTATGCAACAGTGTTAAGCAAAAGGGAAATACCAGTGAAAAAGCAATCAATGACTAACGTAGATATGACACAATCATTCATTCTTCTTCGCCGTTTAATTTCCTTCGATTGGAACTACCGTTGACTCCCGTTATATTGCCACCTTCCACGCATAACAGTTTTCTCGCTGAACACGAGGTCCCACGTAGATCGATGAGCTTATATCGCCACGCTTATATCTCCATCTTGCATTGGCCACGGATCGTACTCGTTACGCGTTATATTACCTGTACGTTTGATTGCCTACGCGTTGTGATTGCTACGAGTTTAATTGCTGCACGTTGTATTAACCGCGCTTTATATCATCGCATTCACGATTACTGACACCTTACACGAGAGCAAGCGAGATAGAACGAAATATTAACTTTGGAAGCGAAAATAATTCTCGTACAACTGTAAGGAGAGACGGTACTCACCGGTTCAGAGAGGTAAGACTCCCACAATTCCCTAAGGTCGCTGCTTCCCACGTCGTAGAATTCCATGATCCTAGGCTAGCTGGTTCGTTCCTAATGTTTTCGCTGCCAGTCGATGAAGCGTGCTGTTTGCCCATGAGGGATGAAGGGTATCAGAAGAATATGGACACGATCATTCCTCCATTGTTTTTCAAGGATTCCGCAGACCACCACCTTTTCAAAATAATGTACCATTATTACCAACAATGTTTCATCTTGTGTACTCGATGTACACTGATTTTTCGACTTTGCGCCTGTTATCTTATAAGTAGGGGTACAAATGATTTATTTCAGGCTTCTCCCGAAATACAGTCGCAGTAAATAATTGAGACGAAACATTTTTGGTAGAACAAAATGATTTACTTGTTACGATACACGTGTGATTAATATGAGAAAGACAAGGTGTGAATTTAAAATAGAAACTACGTTATCTGGAAGATACATCGATGCATGGGTTAAGAAGGAAACGAACGAAGGTCTTGTTGAAAATTTCTAACGAATAAAGTTCTTTTGTAACGCTGCAAACGAACTCGATACAAAGAGATGAGAAATGTTTCTTCTTTCGCTTATAACAAAGTGAACTAGTAGAATGCAAATCGAGCTATGCTATGGGCGCGCACGGTTTGGCATTTAATACCGTCTGTTGTTTCACGTTGCAACACGATGCACGACTGCATCGTAGCCGGTTGCATGCTGTAACGAGATCAATGGACCTGTCTCTATGGATTAAGCGAGCTGTTCTCGCAAGCGGAAGGAGAATTGAACGAGTTGCAAAACGAATTACGGTTGTATACGTGTGTGTACATCAAAAGAGGAAACGGGACTCGAAAAAATTAATTTCCAATTAACGCACAATTATAATGAATTCGTATTTCATTTCGTTCTTGAGTACATCGTAAATATATCACCGCCATAAGCGAGGTTCATACCCAAAAAATAAAAAATTTTAGGCCGATGAAATAAAATTTTCGATAACGCACGATGTTTCGTTACGGCTTAGCTCCTAATGTTTGCACCCCCTGTTTGCACAGTTCTGATAATTATCAACAGCTGCGAGTATTAACGAAATCTGTTATTCTTCCTGAAAATACATCGTCGAATACACGTCTAGACAAATTCAGATAGCAGGTTGTCACTCTCCCTCTAATTTCTCCATTCCATCCATAAAGCCTGCCTTCATTCGTGGAAAATAAATGATCGCGACTTTCGCGCTGGACGACCTTTCGCTCAAGAAGATTCCACGTGATCCTTGGTATCAATCAGAACCGGTATTCCAAGGAAAATCCGAGCCAGAAAAATATACCGACCGTTTCTACACCCGAGTGCAATATAGATTTCGTGTAAATAGTGAAGTTTGTAAAACAGGAAATTAGAACTGTAAAAATTTGTTTTTCCAAATTAACTTCCGTCCTTGAGGCGGTGTTTACATTCAAACGAGTAAGCGATACTAAATCACGTCGATCAAACATCAATGGAATACTTAGTTATTCATTATCAATGAATGACGCTATATTCGCGAAACCATGTTTAACGGTACACCCATAAGATCCAACGAACTTATGTTACGCTAAAGAAACTCGATTGAAACAATGAAAAGATGAATTAAGCAATTACGTTTTGTTAAATATTTCAATAATGCGTGTATTGTAAAAATTCAAGTAGTCTTGCCAGAGATAACATTTCAAAGCGGTGTACACGATCGAGCAGCGTTTATCTATGTTAATTCGGTTTCGATCGTGTGAACCGGCCTTAAAACGCGAAACAACGCTTTCGAACCGAATGTAACTCGTCTATTCGCCCGCATTTGTTCTTCACATGACACAGTCGGTATTCTCATTATCGCTATCTTCGTATTTCCATTAGCCATGATGGTAGCATTAATGAAAAAGTATTTTCCCCCAAAGTCTGTTAAGGCGCGCGCGCGCGCTAAGTACCGTAAATACAGAACAAACGTTTGAAAACAACGGCGCGGCAATATTACTAATATCGTTAATTCGATTTAATTATTAAATGAATATTTAGAAGCGATACGACAAGAGCTCCCAAGAGCCTTCCTACGCGAGAGAGCATGGAACTGCTTTCGTGTTAACATTTTACTTATTTAATTCATTTAGCAAATGCTTGTTATACCAAGCCCGCAGAGACCGCGTCGATCGGCGATAGATTACGGATGGATCGACGCAACACGCGACAAGTGGTTGCCACCCTTATACCGTTACATATAAGCGAATTTGATGGAAACACCACAGCCGGGCGTTGATGCGGGTCGTTTCTATATTAATCATCATGAGGAACACCTCCCCGCCCGATAACGCATCAATTCGATGTGATCGAGATGCACCAGATGGAACGGAGCACCGGCTCAATGTGACCGACTTGTTAAATGTACGCGCGTACACGTGCACTCGATCGCAGTATGCTGCATACCACGATAACGATACATTCGCGAAAGAAGACGGCTCGTGGCTGGTACTCACCAACGAGAAGTCTATCGAGCACGCGTTCTTGCTCGCAAGAGAAAGAATCACCCCGTGGTAACGGGAAAAATTGCACAAATATCTTGAGCGTAATACTAAGGCCACAGCACTGATCGAACGGAGCCCGCACTGTACCATACGACGCACTGTTAGCAACCGAGGCGCCAATGAACATGCAGGAAATCGGGACAGCGGGATCGATAGCCAACACCCGTGCACCTACGAATCGTGTAGGACCACCAATAGCGAAGGTTTTGCGCTCGCGGAAACAAGCTCTCGACAGTAAGCTCGACAGCTTGTGAACAACGATCTAACCTTCGATCGGTAAAGTGGACTTCCTCGAATAAATACACGGTACGATACGCGCACGTTCGCGTTCTCCGCGTAAATGCCCGATCCGTTGCACGTGCTGCCCGCCGAAGCTTTTCTATTCCCCGCCATCGACCAATCAGCGGAGACCACCTGTTACCGGCGCACTAACTTCTCGCGCATGGCGACGGCGAACGGTTGCGCACCAATCGCGCGCGCTAACCGGGTTCCATAATGGCAGTCGTTTGAAACCGCATTCGCGCAGTCAGTACTTACGCGTCCTCCTTCAGGCAATGTACCGACATTGCGAAAACCGTTTCGCGAATACTTTTTAATCGGAAGTTAATCTCCAACACTGGTGCGTTACGGTAGTGACACTGTTTTGTGTGAACGTTTGAAGTGTATCTTGTGCAAGTGCTATCCACTGAAGAATTGGATTGGAACTATTAATACAAAATTTATCTTGAATCGAAATCTTCTAATATTTGTAAATGATAGACTTGAAACTTTTGGCATCTTATATTGCTAAATATTTTGTGCAAATTTGTTATTAATAGTCAAAAATTTAGTTTAAAAAGTAATCGCATATTCACCGATATTAAATCCAATATGGTTGCCAGACGCGGATCTTACCAGCAGCGGGAATATTTGAAAATTCAAATCTTCAATTGTTAAATTCCAAACAGTATTCTTATTTAAGGTATGTTGTGTTTGTATTCGAATAATAAATAGGAGTATTTTTTGAGATACAATTATATTTATTAATAAACCAATTACATACCTCGGATTTATAATGCGTATTTACTAAATACTCAATATGTATAACTTACACAATATTTATACTCTAAAGTGAAACGAGCAAAATAGGAAATAAGAAACAGTTATGTATAAAATATAACCTTTGCAAAAATATCTTCAATTTTATTATATTATATATTCTCTATTTTTATCATTACACTATTTACATCCCTAATCTAATACATAAAATTATAATCCACGAAAAAATAATTTGCATGTCAAAATATTGTTGCAGTGTTTACAAGGTAATGCATTAAGCTTATCATTAATAATGTAATAATGCATTTATGTACTAAGTGTTAAGTACAAAAGACTTGTTTTGAGATGTGCAATTAATTTCAGCATTTAAACAGATACTTTATTAATTTGCTACAATTACTAATACTAAAATCAATATGGTTGTCTTCTGCTGATAGAACAATACTTGGTAAATGTATACGAAGAGATCGCTTTAGATTTACGATTTATTTGTAAACACAGGACTCATTGAATTTAGATAAATGCATTTATTGTTTGTAGTGTGATTTTATTCGTTTTAAAAATTTTCCTTTTCTATAACAATGCAAAGAAGAAACCAGTTTCTTTTCCATTAGTTTTCGAGGAATAACATATTAATTAAATATCGAGCTAAAAGGTTTGCATTCGTACAATCAGTACTACAAAAGTAATACTTTCTATTAGATGATAAATTTTAAAAAGCATGTTCTTTATTCGAAGATTAATTGTACATCATGCCACACTATTGTGCCCACGCTGGTAAAAAAATTATATTTTTACCGTTCATAATTTATCTTGTTCCGACCTCTATATTCATACTTTTTTTATCAGGTACAATACAAGGCTGAACAAAATATGATTATGTTATCTTATTTTCGAACTTTCCCAATTTTTCCCACTTCTATCCTTCCTTTAAATATTTTCTTTTTTTCTTCTTTTTTTGCTCATTTCATAACATGAACCATAACATAAAACATTGTATTATAAACGTTATAAAACATTCATAAATATGAATGGCCTTTGAAAAACTTAAACGCAAACATTGTGCAACAAACATTTTACATATATCTTTTTTTGTCTGATACAATACTACGTATATTAAAAAATCCAATAACATTCTTCGGTACAAACAATATATTGAATAAAATATTAATAACATGAGATGTTAAATGATCAAGAATCATTCATAACAACGATATAAAAATATATAGAAAGTAATGCATTATGTTTTACGTGTACAACAACTCGTAGAACACTTGCGAGAGAAAGAAAATGAGAGAGAAAAAGAAACGATAAAGGCAAAGTACAACGAAGTTATCTTTTGCGTGTGTTTGACGCGTAATGAAATGTATGTTGAAAACGATACAACTGAAAATGTGATTAGAACTCTTTCTTTAAAGCGGACCTCAATAACGCACTGCGCATGGATGTTACAAGTTTCTCGAGTTCTTCCACTTTCATCTTTAATATCCTGTTGTCTCGTTCCAATTCGATAGCTTTCATGGCCATCTCGGTCTCTTTAGCTTTCTTATTCATACGTGACTTTCTTGAAGCTTCGTTGTTCTTTTCTCTTGATTCTCGATAATGTACCGCGAAAGTTCGATCATCCGAATCACTTTCAATATAATGTTTTCGTCCGGCTTTCTCGCGTCTCGTCCTGTATGTTTTCTCCACTTTACTGGTAACCGGTGTCCTTGTTCTTTTCGTCCTTCGAGATGTTAATGGTGTCTCTATAGAAGACGCAGTTACCGTTGATGCTACTGTTCGACTGTTTGCGCTTTCTGGAACGGCTATCCCGTTCTTTTCGGTTTTCACTTTCACGTCAGTCTGTGGAACCGTCACCAATGGACTTGTAGACGACCAAGGTGACTTTGATATTACTGATGACGAATCTGTTGAAACACTGCCTTCTGGAGATCGTACTTCATCCTGTAACAAATATATAATATCGTCAGATCATCGTATTTTAATGTAAGGTCTCTTTGATCAGGATGCATTTAGACTAAACGAGCAACAGCATTCCTATATGCTCATTTAGTGTAAACGACCATCGTGCAAACTGTTCGGTCATACCAAACAGCTAAACACGAACCATTATTTGGGGGGTCTAAACCCAGTGTCCGAATACTAGGTACGGTGAATTGAATCGAATTTTTCCAAAGTGAGGAAAGGAAGAGCATTCGCTCGCTTAGACTGAACGCACCCTTACGTTGTTTCGCGTATCAACTCACATCACAAAGGTATGATAACAGATCAAATGTATCCGACCCGGTTGTTTCAACTGTACGTAGTACGTCCCATGTTTGTGGCTGATTATCGGCGGAATCGAACAAAGTCGGACAAGCATCATTTAAATCAACGTCTCCTACGTGATACCTTGATTGGAACGTTGTACTAGCTTCTGTATCGTTCTGTTTACTCCATGAACTTGTATTTGGTGCAGCTGTTGATTCTTTTGATAGCCTTAACCACGAGTTAGATGTGTTTACTTCTGCGGTACTATCCTTTTTCTCGTATTTAACACTAGTTATTTCTGATGGAGATTGTAAACTGTGAGAATTACTGTTTATATGTTTAGTTGTCTCAACAGCATTCATTTTCACGTTCCACTTATTTTTGTCTGCTACACTCATCAAATCTTTCAATACCCCCTCTTCTGAAGCCAAGACACTGTTACCCTCGTATTTCGTACCTAAAAGGTCCACATTAACATGCACAAATAACACAAATATTTTCTTGAACGTTCTGTAAAAAAACATTGTAGAAACTCAGTACCCACCTGATAGTTTAAACGTAGGTGATTCACCTGTGTGAAAATTGCATTGACCCTGGAACGTGTCCATGCACCAACCACTTAAATCCTGAAAATTTTCCTCCCATGTGGAGGATGTTGCTCTCTGATCTTCTTTTGTTGTATCGGGCTTCTGCTGTGGAAATATCCATGGGTCTTTTAGCAAGTCTGACTCCATGGTCGGTGTCAATAGAGGAATTGTATCCATCTGCGAAGAATCTTCCTCGAGTGGCTCCAATCTCACGCCACGAGAAACAAATGACAGATGCTGCTGACGGTTGCATGGCTTTGATACCTAGAATTTAATTTCTTTAAATTTTTTACCAAGGCATGGTTAAGTAAAAATAATGCTATCAGACTACAGGGAACTTACGTTAAACACACCTCCTTTCTCAAATGAAATGTTGCTGGCCGTTTGGCGTTCGTACACAGGAGGGATTTTGGATTCCTATAAACAGAAAGATCATTCTAGACAAATTGATATTATTTTCAGTTGTAACAGAATCTATTTTTAATTATATTTTTTTTCTTTTAACATTTATTGCAACCAATGCTTTCAAAGATATTACAAGTATACTTTGATATAACAATTACAAACATACAGATAACAAGTATCAGTAATTCCATCTATCAAAGTTGATTACTGTGTAACCAGGCAAATGCTAATTTATCATGATAACAGTATCAATATTTATCAGAAAAGATAAACTGTTACATGCTACAGAGAGGTGTTATCAATATCATTAAACATGATAGGAAAACATTATTAGCAGAACATAATTTAATACGATTAAAAACATAAGAGAGAGTCCTAACATGATAATATAATTAAACATATATGTACCAAAGTTTCTTTCTATATAGGGTAAACGTGTAAGTGAAGTTGTTTTGTTATTGCCAATGCGCAGAATAAATATTTTCTGCTGTTTTTCTAATAAAGAGTTATCGAAAGTAACCATCGCGGCAAAATGTGTATGGTGGTACATGTTTATACCGCTTCATTTGGCTACCATCCAAAACGATCGCATTCGCAGAAGTTACGTTTTATCGAACTCGACTTTCGATACGTTTCTTATCGACCAGCAGAAGTCTGCACATGCTGTCGAGAAACGTTAATTTTACGTTGCTATCTAACTAATCTTGTTACGTAACGAACAGCATTAACGAGGCATGTGATCAGTACACCACCGTTAGTGCCGGGCAAGTGACGTATTTGTTTTAGGTCCCGGGTATTTTTTAAAAATTATTTAAAATTAATTAATATTGTCTTTGTTTTAAGTTTTGTCTCTTATAGTACTATATATAAGAAAACTTGTATTCTCTTAATGTCGTCTCTTGCCCTGGGCCACCCACGTACTAACGACGGTTCTGCATGTGCCGGAATTTTCGGAAACCGGCTTACATTACAGAACGTTAATATCGCAGTCGAATTTGCGCACAAAATGTACGAAAAAATTACTCAGAAGTTTCTGGAATACTATATTTGAACAGACAATATGTATTATAATAAGAGTAGCTATAACATATAGACTCACACACGTTTGATCGATCCGATATACGTTGCACGGCGTAATATGAAAACGTTCGCAAGCACGTCGATTAAACGACAGAATTAACTCGAACGGTGATTATATAATCTATTTCTACAAACGGAATCCAAGAAACAGGTACAGGTACATAAACCGTGAAAATTTATTTAACCGATTATAAAATACACTCACCCTCCTTGAAACTAGCGAAGTTTTCGTACTTTCCACTTGCAACAAAAGAATTTGATTTATACGGTGTATTTATACCAGTTCACGAGAAATGCGAATTGTTCGATCCGGCAGTGTCGTGCGCAACAAAATCACTGACTATTCGCACCGACGTACTTCGCCGAATCGTCTCCGTAGAATGCGAGCTGGAACGTCGGTAGTGCGGGATAACACGTCATCGCACGAGGCTGGTCACGCCGTCAATTGATTGGACATTAGTGCACTTTGCGCGCGTCACTTTTGACCAATCTGAGTTCACGTGACGTCAGTATCGACCAATGGTTGCAAAGCGTGGCTGCAGTGGTAAAAAGTGGCCACGTCACGACGGGGGATTCGGATAGCCATTCCAGTCGATAATTGTTCTTTGTTTCATTTTTTTAACGTTTTTGGACTATTTCATTAATGTAAATTGGTACACCTTGACATTGCACTAAAAATATTGAGTATGGAATGAAATTTCTGGTTCAATCGAATGATAAAAACGTTACGGAAAGAGAAACGAAAAGTTACTAAACGTTTGAATCGCTTTAGTAACATATGTATACATTGGATGTCGCATGATGCAAAAATCTGGACTCGTTGCAAGGACGTTGGAACAATTGGATATTACATGACGACGGATTAATTACAGAAAAATGCGGTGCATCGTGTTTCGCACGGAATAGGTTTATTTTTCAACGTATCGCGTTCGTAATGCAATGTTATCGTTGGAGTGCAGCAATGCCGCGTCGATATTGAATCGAACGCGGTGCTAGATGGAGTTAATGGTACGTGTTGCATACATCCCACGTGATGTACGTATATATTCAGAGATAGAAATCGATCGTAAAAGTGGATAGCACGTATTTGAAACTGCGCATCATTTTAGTTCATATTCGAACCCGTTTCGTTTGCCGTCTATTTTTATGTTTTCGCTAAATTATCGTCGTGGAATCCAGTCAATCAACATGCGATGGAACGGAACCGGAAGTTTGGCTTGGCTAGGAATCTTATACACTTTTAAATCTTCTTCTGCAAGAAGTTCATTTATTGAACAGCACAAAATTGATTTAAAAAACGAAGGAATTATAACACTTAAAGAAATATTATTTTATTTTAAAATGTTAGTTTTGGCGTAGTAGCACTTTCATTGCCCCTCCTTAAGTGTGTCATCAGAGAGATTGTTTCCTCGTTAGATCCGCCCCCATGACGCATGGTGATTTCGCATGAAATTCTTATATAATCAAACGATGAAACTTATCTCCCGAAACAATATTGTTTTTTAGCCGAGATCTTTTTCGTAAAATTTATGAACACACGATAGTTTTATAAACATTAGACGGCGCGATTTAAATCTATAGCGAAACAAAGAACTACATCGATCAATCTCCTCCATGCAATTCCATTCATTAACCATGTTTCAGTTTAATTAAATAATCAACAAAAACAATGCTCTCCATCAGATAAATGGCTAATCGATTCATTATATCGGCCGAGGAATTTTTATATTACAAAACAGGATAAACCTAAGTGCAGAAAATTCATGATGAATAAAACAGATTCTGCAGATTTTACTAGACGCATTAAGGTGATAATAATAGCAAATTACAATTACAAAATCACAACTAAATTAACGAATAGTTGAAATTTTCCAGCACTTGTTGGAAATAATGACGAATAATTGTTCAGAAGGTAACGCATATCGATAATTGCATAGATGTTCATAATCTCATCGAAGGTTATATTATCGATCTTTCAATGATAGAATCCGCAAATTCTGAAGACGAGGACTCTTTTATCAGTTCAGATGAATCGTGCTCCGAAAATGAAGACGACGATGATCATTCCGATCTAAGCGAGACTGAAGATTCGCCAGACGAAGAGCAGCATTCCCCCACGTTTCGTTTAAACAAATTCTTTGAAGATCACATAAATAACACGGAGAAACACGTACCTTTAACTTTGAACAATAATGAGCCCAATGATATTAAATTCGAAAACAAAATGTACAGAGTTATTCCGATAAAATTAGATGAAAAGGTCTTCAAACGAAATATCGATGCTCCTTCCACTAGAAATATAAATCAAATAAAATCACGTTGAAAGGGAAAATAGAATGACACCGAATATTATCGAAATACATTTTATTAATAAAAAAAAACAACCGTTTGTTAAAGTTTTTACAATACAAATGGAAAACAGCGTCGTAGGCAATGGTTCAATTTAATCGTAGACTGTCCAAAAAGTTCTAGGAATTTCATTTACGTTTGTACAAAAAAAGAATGAGATTCATTATTGAGAATAAATAATGATTAAGATATGTCGTAAGTACATATATAAAACAATACATACAAGGAGATATTTACGAAACTTCGCCGTTCTTTTATGAACATCCCATAATATATTCATCGAGTATTCCTCTGGATGATTCATATGCACGAAAATTTCGCGCAAGCGCGAATGCGCGGAAGGCACGATTCCTAGAACTTTGTGAGCAAATTACGTGGGCGTTCGTGTTGCCCTTCCGATCGAACTTGTCGATTTTGATTTTTCCTCAAACTGGTACCATATATTTGGCAACGCTCACAAACGATCCTCGAGATTCGAGGTTGAACCGTTCGCCACACGGCATTATGGTGCGTTCAGACCAGCGATGGGCAAAAGAACTCACAGGCACTAACGTACACGATTCTAATTACGTAACCAGATTCCTAAATTTGCAAATTAAATGCTGTACACGTCAGTATCTGTAAATTCTCCGGCGGGTATATATTTCATCTGCCCATCACTGATTTGGACCAAACGAGCGAATGCTCCTTTTTTCCCCACTTTGGCAAAATTCAGCATTCTATCATCTTGGCCTACGTTTTACTAAGATAGGGAAAGAACGAGCGATCGTTTCTCAGGTTTAAATGCACTTTTATATTACAGCGAATGTGATACATCACCTATAGTAACAAACAAAATATAAATCCGCTTATGTATAAGGTGTACTGACATACATGCACACGTTTGTTCCTCTCGTTCGCACCTCGTTAATCCTGCGGGAGTTTGGGGGAGGTGAAGGGATGAGTTAATCGATAGAAGATAAAGAGTTCTTAACGCCTAAGTTGGTATTAAATTACAAAAAATTACAATCTCGTACACGTAAGTCTTGTCGACGCTCTCTTCGTCGATAATCGCGTAATCGACCCGTTGAGTGCCGAAACAACGATCCCGTGCAATCGATGGATCGCCGTTCCAGGACTCGATCGTCTTCTGGTCGATTGACGCGCACCGCTTTGTCTCGTACTCGTCCGAGAGATTTCGCGAGTTCGACCGTGTTCCGCGAACCTTCGGATGGGTACAATTCGTCTTTTGGGAATAATAAATAAATTGGTCGACGCGGCACTATTCCCTGTTGCTGACGTGCCAGGGCTTCCGATGGTTTTCTTTTAAGATTCTACATTGGTAGAACGCTGACCGTTCTTCGGGGTCACTGGCCCTCGCTGTCACTGTCGCTTTTGTCTGCAAAAATCGTAATCGTCTACGTTCTTATTTTCGTGGCACAAGTAAACGAAACTCGAGTCATTGCTTTTTACAAGTAAAATTATACGATCGAAAGTAATACCAACCTTTTTTGCCGGGATACGCGTGACGCTTCAGTCTGTCGTAAAGGTCATCTTTTGTGCCATAAATGCTGGCGTTGGAGCGAGCGAGGCTGTTCATTTTACCATTGTGCAGGCTCTCTGGAAGTAACGATGAACAGACACTCGTGAAATACCATTTTTCCAAGTGCATTTCCCTTCCATTATCTTTGGTTATCCTCTTGTTTTATGTAAGCTCTTACCTTTCATGTAGGTTTCATTGTAGAAGTTGGGCATTTCCCAGCCATCCTCTTCGTCGTCGTAATAATGAGCGTAGGTGCTGTGATGCGACGGAGCTATGGACTCTGCGTACGGCGTGGGCGCTCCGTAATAGAAATTCACTTGTGAACCGTTCTGATCGGTCGCTGGAGTTAACATCTTCTTGGGTTCTTTCTTCCTCGAAGCTCTGTAAATAGGAAGCTCTGTTGGTTTATCGATTCCAACTCAGGCAAAATTATTACCAGGAATTTTTCTCTTTGCCATTTGGTTAACAACGATACGAATTCGACTAGACTTAATTTACTACCAACCTGACGCAAATCATCCATACTAGCAGGACGACGAAAATGATAAGGATGACTCCACCAGCGATGCCACCGGTGATATAAAAGAATTCAGACTTTTCTGTGCATCGTTTGCCAGTGAAACTACCGCTACATCTGCAGGACGGCTGTCCTCGCGAATCCTTCAGACACACTCCTTCGTTGTCACAGTATCCCATGCACACGTCCGTACACTCTGTTCCGGTTCCATTGTAACCAGGTTTGCACTCGCATTTGAAGTCGCTCGTTTCAGGGATCAGTAAGCAGTACGCGTTAGCGTCGCAGTGCATCTCGGCGTCGCTCGTCTCGCATGGATTCGTGCATTCTGCTTTGCTCGTCTATCAACAAAATTTTTAATTAAAGACAACATTCATCGAGTAGACTTTCGTTCTTTCGACAATATTGTTTGTCGGTACTCACAGCTTTGGTTCCTTTGGTGCTGGTATTAGGCGGGCAGGGTATGCAGAAGGTCTGTTGCGGCTCCGACTGATAGGTTCCTTTCTTGCATTCTACGCACTCGTTCAAGGTTCCATTGAGATAGGTTCCTGGTTCGCACACGGGTAAAGAGCACTCCTCGATAGCCGCGGAGCCCATGTTAGGCGTCGTTCTGCCCACCGGGCACGCCTGGCAAGCGGCCTGAACACCCTGAGTCCTGTAACTGCCTCTTGGACAAGGCTCGCACTTTCCTTCGACGGCCAACTGCTGTCCGGATCCGCACTCGTCTCTGCATTCCTCGCGAGACACCGCTTCGGCTGTCCTGGTAGTTTTACCAAGACCGCACAACAAGCACGAGAAACTACCCTCGTTCGGTTGGTAGAAACCGTGACCACAGCTTCGGCAGAGACCAGCCATGTCGTCGTAATATTTCCCAGCTGGACAACGTTCTTTGCAGTCGGCTGCACTTCGGGCACCTGGCCCCACTGTCACGCTAGGGCGACCCGCTATCACGGGACAGGAACTACATTTTAGCTGACCAGACTCGCTTTGGTACTTTCCGACAGGACAGGACAGACACTGCTTAGTTTCTTCGTCGTAGTACGTTCCCACAGCACAGGGGACTGTAAGATGAATTTAAACGAGATTAGATTGCATAAATCCGTATGATCGGTGCAATCTTACTGCAGGAATGACAAATGACTCACCGCAATCAGGCGCCATAACGACCTGTCCTACCGGGCAATCGTAATCAGATTCTAGAATCAAGGACGCTGGATCAGGTACAGTGTTCGGCAGTATATCGTGAACATCGAATTGATCTTCCTCCAAGATCAGCTTTTCCAACAGTTGCTGAACGGTCGCTCTCTCGTTCGAGTTAGCGTTCAGAATCGGGTCGCTATAAAACACAGAATTTTATAAACACATTTTCGAACAGACTATCGATTTTCATTAGCGATAGGCGAAGGAGAGTATGCGAAAATATGTACAGCCGTTATCTGAAGGTAAACAGGCAGCCTTTCCATTGGTTCCTCGTCAACAGTGTTGTCTATCGACACCTATTAATCGTGTACCTACATTTAATCCTGGAATTCCAATGTATTACATGTCCAAGTGTCGTTGTAGGGTTTAATGTTTTATTACTGAGGACCAAAGCTGTACGGTACTCGAAATTATCAGTTTAAGCATACGTGCATCGTTCGTTTGTACCTAACAGCTTGGTGCAATGTTCAATGTTATAATACCGTTACGTTGTTATTCTACTATCGTTTCGTTGGTCCCTAGTTATGATATCTGTATGATGGTGTCCCATTTATACTAGACGGTCGTGGGTGAACAGTTAGTAACAACGTGCATTGTCGGTTAGAGTCGACTCAACAAATTTGACAGAGTTCTTGCGACAATTTGATAACCCTTTTGGTACGACAAACCCACGAATAGATCGTGGGTTTTGAAAAGTGTACTGTTCAACGAGGGATAGCAATCTGGTCGTACCGAAAAGATTACAATTGGCATTGTTCGTCTCTCTCGTTATACATATCGATACGGAGAAATTGCGTCGGGTTACTTGTCCAATTAGTTCTAATTTAGTAAGTAACGTTACACATAGCATTTCGTTTCTCCGTGTATACCGTTCATGCATCGCGTCGCGTCCAATGATACAGTTTTAAATGTCGCTAGCATGGATTTTAAACAATGCGATCACACCGAGCCCCGAATGACGAGTATACGTGATATACAATGATGCGTTTCGCACATGGCGTAAATCGAGCTGTCCTTACTTTATCGCCGGGAACGAGATCTCCACCTCGTAGGTATCGCTGCCTTGCCGCGCCTGTCTCGTTCTACGATGCAACACAAGTAACAAATGCTCAGTACTAAGTTTTGCTACTAATGCGATCAAAGCTTCAATCTAGCTGTTCACTTTCACTGGATAGCTAATTGAGCCTGGTCGAAAGGAAACTTCGACTTTCTGTTATCAGACACGATTCTTGGAAACGCGATAATTAATGCAATCTATGAAAGTACTTAGAGAAGAGATAGCATAATACTTACGGTTCTGCTGGTACTACTGCCGAGATTATGTATGTGCCGCCATCCTCTTCGCTTGTTTCCCTCGTAGTTCGTACTCGGTGGTCACATTGAACATCGATGTTTAAGTCCTTGCACTCGCGAGTACCTATACGGAACATGTAACATGAAATCGAGGTAGTTTATAAAGAATGCGGACAACGGAAGTCGCTTGCCTTCGAAGGAATAAGAGCAGAAGTTCCAGTCCCTGTTCAACGAGTTCACAGCATCTCGGACCTTCTTCTTGAGCACTCCTTGTCCCGCCTCGTTACAAAGTACAGAGGTTGGGAAATTCATTCTGATCCTAAATACGCGTTGAGCGGGTGTAGCACTTGTGCAAGCAGGATAGATCAAAGGTAGAGACGGATCGTTGGTTGGTCTCCAGAAACCTTCCGCTCCGCAGGTATAGAATTTCGGTACTTCCTGAGAGAATCTGAGCCCAGCGTTGCAGAAGATTTCGCAAACTTTGAACTGACCGCCAGAGCCCCAATCTTTACACTGTTGGGTTCCTCCGATTGGATCAGCCAGTTCCGGGCAAAAGTCGGCTAAGGAAATAAATATAGCCTTAAATAAAATATCGACAAAGAGGGAAGTAGTCATAAAAGATGCACTTACACAGCACGTAGACTTTGAAGTTGCAGCTAGCAGAGTTACCAGCCTGGTCGTAAGCCACGTAACTGATGTCGTAGATACCCCACATCAATGTCTGCCCAGATTTATGTCCGTTCTTTTCTTGAATTCTCGTTATACCCACATTGTCGGCGAATCGTGGTTCGTCCCAGGTCACGATGGACGAACCGTTCTTGGCAATAACCCATAGATCACCCGGGCAATGCTCCACTTTCGGTGGAATCTTGTCGGACTCCAACTGTTGGCACTTGCTGCCGCCGTATCCTGGTGGGCACACTCTCTGTCCACAGTGGGACGGTACCACTCGTTCTACACCTCCAACGGTCTCGTCGTAACCCGTCCAAGTCAACACCAAACCTTGATAGAGGACAGGTTCGGTGCGACAGTCGCGTACTTGTTTCTGAATCTCGTTGGTCACGTGTAGGGCGCGACTCCAGATTTGCACTTTGGTTAGGTGGCCCTGGAAACCGGATTCGCTGTAGCCCTTCGCATTTTCGGTCTGTGGCTTTCCTAGTACTGCCCAGGCACTGAAAGAAGTTATTCTTTATTAGTTAGATTCCAGAGATTAAAGATATAGGGCTACTCGTATGTAGATCTCCTTCGTACACGGTAGTCAACCTTGTGTACTTACTAAGCAGGCAGTGATCTGCCGCTTCCATATCCCTCAGTTTTGCTGGCAATCAGACCTTCCGTGATTAAGATGAGTTCACCGCCGTTCTCGCCGTTCCAAACCACCGCAACGTGATGCCATTGGCCGTCATTGATAGTAGCGTACTCTCTGAATGGTAGATACACGTCCTGCAGATCGTGGAACAAGGAAACCTGAACACCGCTGCTATGTGCTTGGATCATGAGTCTGCGGTTCGATGGGACATGAGGCGAGCTGACGGCATAGAGAGTGAAGAATATGCCAGCTTCGTCTTTCTGCGTGTATTGCACCCACATAGCTACCGTCAAACTCTTTCTTGTTCCGGTGAAGAAGGGAATCACTTGAGCCGCGCTGCTGCGTGCTGGGTCGCTGAAGTACAGATCGTAATCCACCTGGATAGCTGTTGAAAAATAATCAATTTTACGCTGCTCAAAGTTAAATCGATTCGAGAAGACCCACAGAACTTACATTTCCTACAGTCGTCGCCGGTCAGATTGAAAGGACATTGACAGAAGAATTTACCAGTGAGGTCGATGCACGTTGCCGATGGAGGACAAGAATTCTCCTTGCAATCGACTATATCATCCTCGCACGTTTTACCTAAATAAATACGTATGACAAAGTTCCATCGTCGCTACTATTTCGAAGCTGATTGTGTGATTTACCTGTGTATCCTGGCGGACAAATACAAGTGAATCCAGGACCATCGTCGATGCAAGTGGCTCCATTCTTACACGCGCCAGCTTGACAAGCGTCGTATTCGTACTGGCAACCGATTCCGGTGTAATCGTCGGGACAGGTGCAGTTGAGTCCTGAGCCGAAGTCCTGACAACGTCCGTTGTGCATGCAAGGGTTTCCGATGCAACGTTCTGGCGCGGTCTCGCACTGTTTTCCGTCCGTTCCCGATGGACATCTAATTATCGAAGAATTATAATGAAAAGATATGTTCCTGTGTTACCCAGTTATCCGATTCTAATACTACTTACACGCAGAAGTAATCCAAAAACAAATCCACGCACGCTGCGTCGTTCTGACAAGGATGATTCTGACACATTCCAACATCAACCTCACAGTGGACTCCGGTCCAGCCGTCTGGACACATGCACTTGAAGCCACCGACTTCGTCTCGACAGGTGGCACCGTTCAAGCAAGGATCAGACGCGCAATCGTCGATGTTCACCTCGCAAGCAGCACCGGTGTAACCTTCGCGACAGTGACACACGAACGTGTTGTCCAGGTCGACGCAACGATCAGTTCCGACTGGACTGCAAGGGTCACTGAGACACTCGTCCAGCTCTGCCTCGCATTGAAGTCCGACGTATCCTGGTCTGCACTTGCACACGAATCCCTCCAGTTGATCCATGCATGTTCCTCCATTTTGACACGGTTCCGATGCACAGTCGTCGATCGTGTGCTGGCATTGCTTGCCAGTGTAACCTGGTTCGCAGGTACAAGTGTATCCATCGACCTGATCGATACACTGGCCGTTGTTCCGGCATGGTTTGTTAGCACATTCGTTGATATTGGTCTCGCAAGCCGCCCCGGTCCAGCCTGGGTGGCAAATGCATTCGTGGCTAAATAGGTTATCCACGCATATTCCGTTCAAGCAAGGGTTGCCAGAGCACAGGTCTATCTTCTCGTGACACCGTTTGCCGGTGAATCCTGGAGGACAATCGCAAGTAAAGTCAGCCACTAGATCGGTGCAGTTGGCTCCCAATAGACAGGGTTTCTCTGCACAATCGTCGGTGTTCACTTCGCAACTTTGGCCCTCCCATCCTGGTAGACAGTCGCATTTGTAGCGACCCTGTTGAAGAGCCACGCAAGTTGCACCGTTGTTGCAAGGGTTTCCGCTCGCGGTACAGGGATTGATCTGTAATCAAATATCGTAATTGTGGAAACATGGCTTGGTAACGAGAGTATTCGTCGAAGAAATAAACTTACAGTGATATCACAGTCCACTCCTGTATATCCGGATCGGCACAGACACGTGTAGTTATTGAATCCAGGCTCGTCCTTGCACATAGCCCGTTCCGGACATGTGTCGTTCGAGCAGTCCGATTTCTCTTCCTGACAATTCACTCCGGAGTATCCATTGGCGCATTGACACCTGTATCCTTGCGGTAGATCTATGCAAGTCGCTCCATTGTAGCAGGGCTGAGAGGCGCATTCGTCGATATCGATTTCGCAACGTCTACCAGAGAACCCGGCAGGGCACAGACACTGTACACCATGACCCATGGGCACGCACAGGCCTCCGTGTTGACAGACACTATCCGTACATTGCACTGGTTTGCATTCCTCTCGACCAACCGCACCTGGACCATCCGTGTACATGTTTGTAGGACACTCCATGCAAGTGGTAGCTCCATGTTGCGGTTGGAAGAAGTCCTTCGGGCACTGAGCACAGGGAGCCAACCCCGTGTCAGAGTACATGCCTGGAGCACACTTTGCTCTGCAACGATCGCGACCCGGGGCAGCTGGTTGATAGGTGAAAGTTCCTGCTGGACAGGTCTGACAGTCCTTGTAGCCACCAATGGGTGGTTCTCCGGTGTAGCTGTTCCTAGGACACTCGAGACACGGTACCAGACCCGTGGGTGAATAGGTGCCGTATCCACAGACTGGAATACAGTCATCTATGCTCTTTGAACCTTCTTCTCGAGTATATGTGCCAAACGGACAGCGTAAACAGCTGCCCTGACGATCGCTGTTCTGATAGAATCCTTTGGGACAAGCCGAACACTGCTTCTGTTTCTCTCCCGCAAAGGTACCGGCTGGACAGTGCACTGCGAATCGAAAACATTTAGATGGCCAAATTCAGAGAATTTTAACGTTCGAACTGTCTACTCACGGCATCGTGGAACATCGTTGGTATCCATGTTCAGAACTTCACCGATGCTGCACGTGAAGCCTCGGGTGATAGATGATTTCAGTGCTCGAAGAGGTGGACATTGATTTCCAATGGCTGATACGTTCAGCAAAGGTTCAATGACTGCGTTGGTAGATGGGACAGACAGGTCGAAGATCAAATTCACCGTTGAACCACAGAGATCGTACAACTGAGGCTGGCGTATTGCTGGGACGATCACAAGAATGAAATCCATCTGTAATTTAAAAATATGTCTTTACTGCCCCATAGTTAGGAACCATTTCTGATTTCGGATCAGTGCCGACCTTCAGGACGTTTTCTTCCAGCAAGTAGGGCACAGATCTCACGAACGACACGTTCATGTTCACGCTAACAGCGGAACAACGTTGTGTCAGGATGTTGTTTAGGTTCATGTAATACTGAGACATTAAATCTTGATATTGTGGCAGACACGATCTTGAAACGGCACCATTGGCGCGATAAGTCACTGCTGCAACTACGTGGTAGTTTGCCTGTTGCGTATCTGTAAAACATGATGGTTCAATACCCCTGAAACTATAATTAAACGAAGGTTCTCAAACTGGAGACTAACTTTCTGAGACGCAATCGGGAACGACAGAAGTGGGAGTCCAGTGTTTAGCAGCGTCACAGCTGAACGTCTTCACCGGTGCACCGTCGGTGAACCGGAAACCGTTCTTGCAAGTGGCTATACACTGCATTCCCTTGTCACCAGGGACGCATTTTAGTCCTCCGTTAGCCGGTGTCTTTAGTTCCCAGTCAACGCACGGCGTGGCTTGTACAGACACCTGGAAGTGGCAAGACGCCCTGTTTCCGCTCGAATCTGTCGCGTAAACGGTCACGTTTTCGAAACTGCCGATAGGAATCACTGCTCTTTCCGGGACAAACGTGATCTTCACCGGTCCGGAGACGTCCGTGGCGTTGATTCGTCTTCGAGTCTCGTTGAAGTTGACAGAGTAGCTCTCCTGCTTCTCGATTAGCTCGATCACGTAGCTCTGCGGACAACTGAGTTTCGGGGGCGTCACATCTGAAAAGGATAGGTGAACGTAGACACGGGAATTCGATTAGAATAAAAAGTAGCTGGCATACTGACCAGGTACAGTGATGTTGATCTCGCAGATGGCCACGTTCCCGTCGTAATCGAAAGCTACGTACTTCACAACCGTGTCTTCGAACACTCGCAACGGGGTTCTGAAGCTGTGAGGTTTGACCTCAAGACGCGCTATACTACCACTGTTATCGATAGCCGTGGGCTCTGTGAAGTTGACAGGCAGCAGACCACCGTCTGCGCCCTTCTGCACGACGATCGGCTGCTGAGGACAGTTCTGGAACACCGGGGGTTCGTTGTCCACGCAAGGAGAGAAGCCATAATCGTAACCTAACAGAGGTTCCGTGACAGGTTCTTCGCAACCCATCAATTCGAACTTCAAGCAAGCGTTATCCATGTAGCTGACGATTCCTAAGATTACGAAACGTGCTTGAACGTATTTGGGCAAGGTGATCATTGCCAGTTCTCCATAATTTCCTGGGTCCCTCATCGTGAGATTGAAGTTAGGGAAATAAACAACGTAGTTCTCGTTCTCAGCCTGTTTGTAGAAGAATCTGATCTCGGTTGGTCTTCCGACCACGTCGTTCGTCACCACACCCTTCACCAGGATCGCCTTTACCCTGAATACTTGGCCCAGGTCAACGCTGACATAAGTGAACGCCTCCTGCTTACCGCACCAACCGGTCACCGAGTTCAGGCGAACGTTCTTCGCTTCGTAGTTGGGTCTTTCGGAGGTTGCGTTGATCGCAGAGTCCGGGATTCGACCGGAAGCTAATCCCAGAGGTTTAACCACCTTGCATTCTGGCTCCCGGACGCATACTATGGGTCTAGGATTGATGAGAATGTATCCTGGTCGACTGCAGCCGAACTGAACTTCGGATCCTTGCTCGTAGCTTCTAGCTACCTGGAAACCGTCACTGGGACGACCTGGATCCTCGCAAACTGGACCTTCGCACCGCAAGTTTCCAAAGTCCCATATGCCATTTGCCTGACATCTGACCACATTGTCGTGACGATTCGTCTGTCCAGCCAGTTTGAAGGTATCCTGACACCCGAAGAAGAAGGACGATTGATACTTTGTATCCAGGTACTGGCCATATTCGGCACCAGGCGTAGGAAGAGGCTTGCCGCAATCGGCTCTAGGACAGGCCGGCTGCGATCCTGAGAGCCAATAATCGGGCAGACCTGGTTTCGGATCGTAAACGCATTGACGGAATCCGGAGGTGGCCGTGTTCCTCAAGTATCGACCATTACTGCCACACTTCAGAGTCACGTTCTGCTTGAACGGCACCAGGACACTAGCCTCGTCGCTGCGGATCACCGACAGGCCCTCATTCTTGTCGTCCGGTAGGGACACGCACTTGGCGTACTGACATTCCGGAGTTGTGCCGTTCCAAGCGCCGCTGGATGTGCAGATAACCGCTGAAGACCCGGATAGAACGTAACCGAAGTTGCATTGGAATTTCACGAGATCACCAAAGTGGTGCTGTAGCTTGGTAGACAGGATCTTTCCGTTCTCCGGTGCCGACAAAGCTGGGCACATGACGGGGACACAAGTTTTATTCTTCTGGTACAAATCACCGTCCCTGTCGCCGGTTTCAAACTTCTCGATGTAAAAGCCAGCGGTACCGTTGCCCTTGTACAGTTCGTAGCCCGTGTTGCACATGCACGCGTAGCTTCCAGGGTTGTTGATGCATTTCTGATGGCAGCCACCGTTGTCCGTGGCACACTCGTTGATGTCCGTACACTCCAGTCGAGTGCAACCCATGATTTCGAGCTTCATGCACGGTGCACCGACATAGTCCTGTATCCTGAATCGTATGTAACGAGCTTCGATGGGGACTGGCAGGTTCAGGACCGACAGAGTGGGCTCTAATATCCTGAACTCTACAGGAGTGCCATCAGGATTGGTGTAATCTTTGAAGATGTCTGTCAAGTTGTCCGTGTATTGGATGCGAACTGCCGAGGTGTACGCTATATTGCCGTCTACTCTGGAAACGATCTGGGTACGGAAACCGCGGATGATCGTTGGGGCTTTCATGTCGATCATCACCCAGTTGGTGCCTGGCTCGATATTGTTGCCGCACCATCCATCACCGCTGTTCAGTCTCACACCCTTCAAGTGAAACGTTGTAAATTGTTAAGTCAAGTTCGGAACCGAACATCGGAGGTTCACAATTACTTACAGTTTTGGTATACCCGTTCTCAGAACTCGAAACGGTGATAGACTCGTCAGGGATGCCACCGTTAATGAGCCCAAGATCGCCTATAGGTCTGCATTCCATGGTTGGAGCGAATCCAGGTTTGCATTTGCAGGTGAATGCACCGGGATTGTTGATGCATTCGGTGGAAGCCAGGTCACATTGACTGGAGGCGCACTCGTTTATGTCTGAAACACGCAACTCGTAAGTAAAAACCGGTTCAATCGAAGTTTGTAAACTTTGCCAGTCGTACCTTCGCAAGTTGGAACGTTGTCGAATTGCTGGTTAGGCCCACACTGTATGATGTTGGAGCCAGATAACTTGTAGCCTCTGTTGCACTGGACTCTGGCTTCGTCTCCATAAAAGTAGTCTTTGGTCGTGTCGACTATGAAACCATTCTTGATCGTGGGCAGCAATGGGCATTTCGCACCTACACAAAGTTATTGTCAATCGAGGGACACGGGTCGTTTTGCAACCCGTTGCAACAGGGGATATTTCGTTTTCGAAACTCTTTAAGTCGTTGCTTACTACACGAATAATTACTTACGCGAACACGTTGGCACTTGATCAGACCAGGTACCATTGCTCATGCAAAGAATCACCGGATGTCCGCTTCTGACGTAGCCTGGCTCGCACTCGAATCGGACTATCGTACCATAACTACGACCGCCTCCGTTCAGAATGGTTATGTTCGAGTGAGGAGCTTCCGGAAGTGGAGAGCATTGGGAGGCTGCAGTAAAAAAGCATTTATACAATTTACCGATCAGATCCATGTCCTGGATCAAGGTGGAATTTTAATTAACCCACCTAAGCAAGAAGGCTTTTTCTCCCATCGTCCATCGGCCATGCAGGAAATCTTTTCTGTGGGACGACCGGAAGGAAACGCGAATCCTGCGTAACACTGATAGGTAGCCAACCCACGGTAGGTAACGTTGGAGGAACCAATCGAGAAACCGTTGTCGATTTGGGGGACCGGGCCACAGTAGACTTCCTGGCAGTTGGGGATGTACGTAATGGACCAGTTTCCACCCGGCAGACATTCGGTGGTGATCTTCGTCTTCCCAGTGGCGAACTCTTGACCCAAGGGACAAGAGAATGTCACCGCTGTGCCAAAAGCGGTATCCCTGCTGGATGCCAGTGCACCCTCGCCCGATTGAAGGTGTGGACAGTCTGCGAAACGTTAACGAGTGATTTAAATGGCTCCGGAATTAATCGTGGATTAATTGGACATGTCTCGTCACCTGCTGAGAACTCTGCTTGCCATCCAGAACTACTGTGCAGCGCGTCAGAGGTGAATCTCACGAGCATTTCTCCGCTCTCGGCTGTCAGAGTTATCTTTGGCCTCGTGTTCGACGTGAATCCGTTTCCAGGGTGCAAACGTAACCCGTTCGTATTTGGTCCGTCGTATATCTACGCAACGACATTTAATTGATTGGAAAATTGCTAGAGTCGCTATGAAAGTTACATGCTTACCTGTACAAAATCAGTCTTGTGCACGTTGAAGTTGACGAACTTCAGGGACAGCGGTCCGCCCTGAGGGTTCTTCACTCTGTAGAGACATTCTTGATTATTGGGATAGTCGTTCAGGCCGAAAGAGGGCGACTGAACTGTCCCGTTTCTTGCAATGACAGTGGCCTTGCAGCCTTGAGTATAACGAATGCTGAAGCCTCGCCTCGAGTCACCGAGGCTGGTCTTGAAATACAGGTACAAATTACTTCCTGTGGACATGATCACCGTTGGGTTATCCTCCGCTTTGCCCGTCAGTCTAGCAATAGGTCTGCTCATCGGTGAGTCTCCGTCTCTGATAAGAATGTAGTCTCTGTTCATCTCGAGATCCAGGTCTTCGATCTGAAACGATCATAAAATGCTTCATCCTCTATAAATCTCTCGGTGATTCACTGAACGTACCTCCAAAGACATGATACGACCGGGCTGAGCCTGCAGGATGTACAGACATTCCAATCCTCCAGGATAGTTCTGTGGATATCCAGGAGAAGTTAGCACCTGTCCTTGAGGGGTCGCTCGAAGAATTCCTCCACAAGTTTGCGGTTCGGTTTTCCACGAAGCACGGAATCCTTTTCTTTCTACGGAAGCATCTGTGCTGAATTTAATGATCATGAAGTTCGAGGCTGAAACGAACAGCCTGTTGCTCAGCTCTTGTTTGCCAGAGAGGGTTGCAAGGTTCACAGACTTCTCTTCCGTTCTGCCACCCACTAGAATCTGCACTATGTCGAAGCTCTTCTCCGTTTCGAATTCTTGGAACTGGAAAAGAGGAAACTTTGATAGTTGTCTTCGAAACAGCAAGACTGTAATTTTCTTGAGGAACTTCTGAAGCTTTATCTTTTCTAAAGATAATCGTTCGCAGTTATAAATAACGATGTTCTATCTTTTCGCGCTTACGAGCGTCAGAAAGAATCCCTACTTCGAGAAATTCTCACGGATTATCTCGAAAATAGAATATAAAGAACGTGTCGCGACCACATCCTGCGTACCTGTAGAAGGATGTTGTGGCCTTGAGGGCCCTCCAGGGTCCACTTGCAGTTACTGAGGGGTGCATATTTGTGCGGATAATTAGGACTTTCCACGACATCACCGCTGCTTGCCATATAAAACTGACAATTCGTAGGACAATCGATTTCGTCCGAGAAATCTCCACAGTCGTCCTGTTTGTCGCACTTGAATGCCGCGTTTACGCATTTGCCGTTCGAACAATGAAACGAACCTGAGAAAATAAATGAATCGTTGACGGTGCCGATTTAGATAACACGTTGACTGCCACTGTGCATTCGTGCTTTTTTAATTTATAATAATATGCATCACGAAGCTACCGGAATCATAGTTGGGACTTTCGACGAATTAAACGCGGCAGTGAACGTGTTTGAAGGATGATTACATAGTCATCACGTGCGAAATGATTTACCAGCTGGGCAAGCGTTGGCTCGGCACATGAAAGGAAGCAAGGATTCGCACGTAGTAAGCTCCCACGTTTGTCGGTCATCAGTCAACGCGACGTCCACGCATTCACCTGATTGAGGATTTGGCTGCTTCGACGCCCAGAAACCTGAATACCAGAACCATTTAACACCTTCTTATTTGAAGAAATTTTTGCGAATTCGAGTTCCGACATCCTCCTCGCTGTGTACATTATCAGAAGACAAGAATTTTCTATCGCTTTAATAAATCGAGATCTTTGAAAACGAAATTTGTCGTTAGATTTGATGGTCGTGCAAGTATCTAAAGTGAAAGAAACGTTATGCAAATGTACGCGAAACGTAGCAGACTGGTAAATTGCAGCTTGCACTGGGACAGACATAAAAGCGACGGTATGTGAGCATTGTTGTGGGAAAAGTGTGTCTTCGTGTCATATAGACGGTGTAGTTCCGCGTTTCCGTGACCCCGATGGAAACCGGCCGTCGTACGCCGATGTACGAATACGTTCGATCGTTAGAAAAAGGAATAATTCGTTGGACGATTTCAGAACGAGATATCGGCCGTATTTACGAGTCTTCGAACGAATCGGATCTCCCATCTCCGCGCAGAACGTGTATGCAATTCATATGCTCGAAGAAAGTAAACCTTGTTTCAGAGTTACGGGTCGTTGGTTGTCTAAAGTGCATTCCTGCATCTCCGTTTCTAATTCAAGTTATTCGATTTTACTTCAATCTAATTTTACTACTCGACAAGCTCCATTTTATTCCTTCCAAAAAAACTTGACTCGATCTTTAGAAAAATTTGAAAGTCAAACGAATGAAAGAGCCGAGGAGAATGGCTGAGCTAGTAACTCGAGCGAAACATGGTTGTACAAACCGGCGTATTGGGAGACGAGCATTCCTGCCGCTGATTCGAGCGTGTTGGTTCGTAAATCGTCGAGGGAGGCCAGACCCAGCCAGTAACGATCCAAATGCCGTCCGATCATGCTCGCGGACATGTTGTTCTCGCTGTACGACTCCACCACCATCAATTCGCTGCCGTACCTGTAATCGCAAGTCGATTCGTTCATCCTTTGCTTCGTTGCAGCGTGTAATGTAACACGAAGGCACCCTGCGAACTCGGCTTCGTTCCGCTTCGAGTTAATCTTCTGACAGTTTTCGAGCTGATTCGAATTTTCCTCGCCGTATGAAGTCGTTATCGTGTCAGACATAATAAACACCGAATAATTGCAACGAGCTTGCAGCGATTATTTTAAAGACTAACGATCATTTTTTTATACTTGAATCGATTTTAGAAAGTCAAATAGTATCTCAGGCTCCGAATACCAAGTTCTGTATATTCTAATTAAAAGACAGAAGAGTAGTAACCTTGATAGAAACGCTATTAACGATTGATCCACTTACCTCCTGCATAGTTCCGCCGCCTTTTCCCAGGAGTGCCTGATGTTGAAGAATTTGTAACAGTGTATGCCTCTCAGTTCCCATCCTGAGCAAAAAAGAACCGTGTTAAGTACTATCTTATGTGTCGATTATACTTGATCGAACAACTGATCCACGAACGGTGGAGTCTGACTTAGGATTCACGAAACATTTTAGATTAAAATTAAATAGTCCCGGTAATTCCAACAGTTAGAATTGCATAGAGGACATGTTCGTCTAATAATCATCTAATAGGTTGTTGATCTCGGTCGTTTGCGGAAAACGCGGTTAACCGGTGACCTGTACAGACAGTGACGGACACAACGACCTCGATCGTTTTTAGTGCGACGCACCATGTGCGCACAGAGTCAAAGGTAGGTCGCTGGGTAAGCGGGTAACGCATTGTGGCTGAGAATCGCCGACGAGTGAAACGTTTGCATCTCGTGCTAGTCTTGACCGTTTGAATCGGTAGAATTGTAAGGAAGCTAACGAGATTGCCTCCAGCTTTTATGAGAATAAAGGATGTCTTTCAACTCTTATTCAGACTCTGTCTTAGAACATTTTAACCTAGTAATCGAGGCAACAACGTGAAAATAGTTAGTAGAAATGTTGGTGATTCTATCGACTACTACGCCTTTGGAGATCTCTTCTCGATGTCTTACGATGGCCTTCCTTTCTTTCTTTCGAAAGGTCAGACGGTCGCGTTCATACCACGTATGCTTCTCGCGCCTATTAACATTTCTCGTGTGGATTGAAATTATTTTCTATCGTTAGTCCCACGGAGTCGTCTTGGAAAACTCATCGAGTACTTACAGATGTCGTCACATTCCAGAAATCACTCACAAAGTATCGTCATCAAAGAAGAATTCCAGATTGCTGGGAAGAACAGTTATATACCACCTAAAGTATATACCCGCATCTCCTTTATCAGGACCCCAAAAAGCTGTAAAGCCTTAACCATTACAACCAGCAACGGTGAAGTTTGAAAGTATGTTGATCCCAAAGGACGCATAAAAATGGTCCGCTGAAGTACTCATAATCACCGTGTCCGAAAAACGATTTCCGTTCCGATATTTCTGTCCTGTTCGATAAGGATCGTAGGTGATGCGCGGATGATCGGCGATCGTCGTTACCGGATGCTCCACATTTTGGAATCCCGTTCGGACATCGGACGAGTTTCCTGCTCGCGGAAGGTGGATAACCGTGACGCGAATCCGCGCGGTGTATTTTTAGGATCGGTTGGGTATACACGAGGATGACTCTGCGGCAACGAACGAGCAACAGAAATGGGATGGAAGAGGAAAGGGAGGAGAAGGATTCACGGTTTAGGAATGCTGTCTCGTTTCTTGGCCTGCCTCTCGCCATTCCGCTTTCGTGTAGCCTACCTGCTCGATCCTCTGGCATCGGTATGCCATTATGGTGTAGCAGGTCGAGAATTTTGGGCCAGCTGCCCGATCGAGCTCGCTCGAGGACGTCGGATCAACACTGCTGTCTTAACTGCCCTTCGGATCACGTTTATGGGGGTTGTTGCAAGTTGCAAAATTCGATTTGATAAGGAATTTTTTTGACACAATTCTGGTCCAACACTTTTCTGAGCCGAAATGCTTTTGTTTCATACTTCTGATCGATGCAGTTGAAATTAGCTTTAATTGTATCCTATCATGGACTCGCTGTAATTAAAAGCGGCTAATTGCGGTTATCGTACACACTCTATTTGATCTTCCGCAGAAAATTGAAACATTATTCCGAATTCTTAGTTTAATTACAAATAATACATTGTAAATGAAGGATGTGATATATAGCCTTCGTATCGTACTTAATTAAATAGAGATTACTGATTGTATCATTGTAGAACTTGCTTGAAAATTAAAAATTATTTTTCATCGATTTAACATCACATTCTTGGTATAATTCGCTGAATTATTAAACGCGAACAAATAATACTTGAAAAAGGAAACAGCCTTGTTTACGATTATAGGTACGATTGTACCTTGACCTTCGACAATTTTTTAACTTGCTCGGTAAAACATGATTCAGACCTTCGTAGATAAAATACATCAGAGAAAATGACCTGTCTGGAAGACCTTCGGGGCAGATTAAAATATGCAGAGTTGTTTTCGAACGGTGTAGTCAGACTCGTCGGCGAATTCTGGAATTCTTCCGTCACGACTCAAAGTTGAAACGTTCGAAATGCACGCGACAGAACACGGTTAACGATCAAGTAGCTTCATACTGGTACATACGTGCAACCTACTTAATTGCACTGGCAGTAACGAGGAAAAGTGGAGCAACGTTACGAATGGCCGAACTCTTATCCTCATTGTCCCTCGCGTGATTTATTCGTTGTACGCGTCCCGCTTTGATATTTTTCGAATTTTGAAATACCAACGCGTACGGCATTCGACATGGATCGAGAAGCAAATTTATACAAAAATCACGCTTCCAAGACGGCAAACAGTACTTTATTTGAAGTCTCATAAATTAAGCGAAGGAAATCTTTCGCAAATAGGTCCGAGAATCTGCAATGTGGACCAACCTCGAGGCACTTTAAAGCATGACCTCGGTCTACCTGGGCCAGGTAGATGGACCACCAGGTGCGACCTTTTCAAGGTAACCGATGGTCCAGCCTCCCGAACCTACATCGGAGACTACAAAAAGGTAGGAAAACTTTCCGTGTTACTCACCGTTCGGACAGGTGAAGACATTTGTAGTAGGAACCTGCAACAAAAAGACACGAAAGAGCGTTAGAAATGGTTTATGGCGTAGCAACTCGACGCAGCTGACCACCTTGTCTGTGCGAACTTTTTCAAATCTATTTTCAAATGTATTCTTTAGCACGATACTAACAAAGGGAAAGGAACGAGTCTTTTCTTTGAGAAAAATTTCGCTAAACCCTAAATCGAAGTTCGATAAGTTTTAGATCTTAAATGGAATCGTCGCGTCGAAAGAGTTAATAGAAAATATTGAATAGCGTTCGGTTCGCATTCACTCGATAGTTTTCTCTCATGAGCAGGATAATTCCTACGCGTTCGAAAGGCCATGCATGCTCGATCTTGCAATCGCTCTAACCTAACCAGTGACGAAACTCGAGACTCTCGCACAAACGTGGGACAGAGCTGTGAATTGAAGCCGGAAGAATCACAGGAAATCACTAGCGCGGGTTACGATGACGATTACATAAAAATAAAAGACGACCACGAGGTTGCAGTGTTCAGTCGTTAGCAAAGCATGAAAAAGAAAGTGACCCACGTTGCTGTTGCGTCGCTTCTTCGGCGTCAAATGGCGCGGATCTACGATGTTCGAAGTGAAACAACCGCACATTGTTATGTTCCCAATAGAGAAAGTGAAGAAGCAATTTACCAGGACGGATGATGGTTTTGCCGTTCATCTTTCCGGTGAAATGGAAACAGCGCTTCGTGCGTGGAGTTGGATTCTCCGCGAGCAAACAAAATATCAGTGACATAACGGTGATTGGATTCCTGAACAGGAGGCGCGAGAAAACGGTCTTTCGAATTCCATACCTTCGTTCCGGAGAACCTTGGATCAGGTTGAATTGTGTGTTAATTATAAAAGATGGTCGTTTCGCTGATTTGCAATTTGACTTTTTTAATACCGAGGAGGAAAATTTATAAATCTCTGCACCGTTATTTGATCGAATTAAAAGATGCACATCTCTAGAATCTAAGTTCCAGCCTGTTTTAAAAAATCCTTGTACATGCCTCATGAGAATATTGTAAAATTCAACGAGTTTCTTGGTAAGGTAATTTCTGCGACGTTCCGCGAGCCCCGACGTGTCCTATAGCAAAAATGTTGTAACTATAGCCATCGGGGGTAGGCAACATTGTTTGCGCGTATACGCGGTCTCTCGCTGAAATTCACTTTCACCTGAAACACGCCATAATCCGAGTCCTGGTGGTAAACGGCCAGGCCAAGCAACGGTGGCTCCTGTGGAGCCAACATGCCAATTACTTCGTAATCCTTGGTTCGGTTTCTTAAGAATGCTAGGCGAACGCTTATCTCGCATACGTGCACCGAGATTCCTGATGCCCTCGTGGCACACCGATGCTGTTATCCACCTGAGAACCTCAATTACCATCGCGTGACGCTTGCTCGTTCGCGTGTGAACGGATAATTTGATTAAATTATGACGCGAAAATACTTTTCGCGGGCGATTTTTGTATCCTAGATACTCGATCTATCGACGAAGGATCTCGATGTCCTACTTCGCCCGGTTTCCTGAAATATTTTCCAGAAACCTCCACGACTTTTATCGTTTACGTTTCTTAAAAGTCGAAGGAGGATAAAAGTGTAAATCGGAATAGTAGTTTGACTTTTCGACCTAGTTTGGAACATTAAATTGCACAATGTCGTTTGCGATGTCATCGGAAAGCCATAGTGGAATAATAATCGAGCGCTCACCTGAGACTCCGTTAGCTGAAGATGGCACAAGAGGACGGCGACCCAAACGGCCGCCAATTCTCTTATCAGCATATTCCTGCAACATAAGGAAACGATTTCGTTTAAACAGACTGTTCATTAGCATGGACCGTTCGATCGGTGTGGGTCAAATACATGGAAAACGCGAGGAAGGTGTTTAAAGAGTGGCTGGAAGACACGCAGACCTTGACATTGTTGAATTAACCAACATATGTACAAAGATCGTTAACGATATTCGAAAGATCCTCAAATAGAAAGTGTTTCTTTTACATCCAATCCTTCGAACAAATAAATATTTCCGTCGAGAAGCAGTGGTAAAAATAACCTACAAAATGGCAGTGTATCATCGAATTTCGTAATCTTTTGTATTTTACGAACTAAGTCTTTTCACGTCGAAATACCGATGCTTAAACGAAGATTATCTAAAGGGAGTATTCAGATGCAAAAATCTGAAGATTGATCGATGGCTGTCAAAACACGATGTCTTGCAAGAAGCGAGCTTTATCATAGGCTGTGAAATATGCGGAAGATAAGGTGGTTCTACCGCGTATAAGATGTACACCGGTTCCCATAAAATTCCTTACGGTTTCTGCGGCTGAATTGTGGCACACCAGTTGCATACCTTGCCGCGTAACCGAGAACCGTGATAAATCTCCGTGGATGCCGAGTTATTATTTAATCACCTTGCATCGAGGCTGGACATCTTATTTGATGGCAACGATAATTGACCCATAGCTTTTGCACTTAATTTCGTAGAAACACCCTAACTGGAAATGTATTTATGAAGCGTAATTTTTCTCCTTTTCGTCGCTATTGATACATTATGACGTATTCAAATAATTTCAGTAGTTAGTAAGGAATGAGAAAGAAAATCAGAAGATCGAAAGGCAGTGGGGCAAAGGCTTCGATTTCACCGTTCGATTTACCTTGAAGAGGGCCGTGCATTCACTGAGAAGACATAGGATGAATCCCCATGGAACCGTTATGCTTACAACGGAAAGTCGATAATCGACTGTTGGACGAAGACACGGATCAGAGACTTAATTCGATTGATAGTTCTGATTTTTTTCCGAAAAGAATTCAAAAGTACAGTAAAGTACTCGAAGATCGGATATTTATGCTCACACGGATCAATGCTTCAGACATAAATCTAGTTATTTGCTTTCTGCCAGCAATTAATCGCGTCTTGAGAAAGATATAAAACTGGAATCCGTGAGAAAACGGCTGCAGAATTTATGACCGTTTTATTGCAACGAAGGGGTTATCTAGTTTGGTCAGATTTCCTGCGAGCATAGTCGCAATCTCGACACGGTCAGTTTAGACGATGCAGACTTCCTGTCGATTGCGACTAACGGGTCTTCCGGCCTGCTCGACCAATCATGGCTCGCTCGTCGAACGAGTCTATGCACTCCGCAATGCGCTTTATGAATGAAAATAAAGAAATTAATAAATGGATTCATCGACCTAATTACACCTTTCGAAAAAGACAATCAAGACAACGTTGAATTGCTTCCTCTGAGCACCGTTAGTCTTATCGGGTTGGACTCGTTGCTGCATTGTTTGCTCCTCTTTAATTAACACGTTCGCTGGCTGTGCTCGTTTAGAAAGTCGTTTACTGCAAACCATGTTATTGTGGATCGCTCTGTTCTTTTTATAAAATACAACATCGAATAACTGCAGAGCTTATTTTTAGCCGTCTCACGAACCACATGGTCATTTTTGCATATTTCCGAGTTCAGCTACGCTCGAGTCATTCGACACCGAGTAAAAACGAAAGCACACGAAGCTAATCAAAATGCCACATTCGAAACAATAAAATTCTGGAGACAAGTATGGTCGTCCGATTATGCTAGCCGTGTTGCGTCGCGACAAGAACAATGGAGCGTTGCATAAAGACGAACCGTAGAGCAACGATGAACTCTCCGTCATGAAATAATAAACTTTCGCGATCCTCGTGGTTTCCACGAGGCGTGGGTGCATCAGACGTTTCCCACGAGCTATCTTGGCGGCTAGATTCCTCGCGAGCAGAATATTTGCGTCACCTGGGCCAGCAATTAGCTACCCGTCGTTCCGTGAACGCACCTGCAATCGGTTACTCTTACACACTCGAATCGTCGTTAAATTCTCGAGACTTCAACCAATTTAGCAGATGACTGGAAATCGCCATTGATCTAATTCAGTAAATCGAGGAACATACCGCAGAGAACACGAATGCTCTTAGCAACAGCGCGAAGAAGAACGCGGTTCTTAATTTGATATACTCTAATTGTTGCGTTCGTAACGTGCAACGTCTCAGATCTCCGTTTCTACTCTACATACCGCCATTTTTTTTTAAATATTTCATCGGCAATTACTTTTATTAGGGCTCCAAATTTCGAGCTTGAAATTTACGTTACGCTGTCCACTATTGAATCGTTACATGTTCAGTGGCACAGAACAAAGAGAATAATGTTCAGAGAATCGGTGCAAAACGTAAGGCAGTTAAAGGGTTAAATCGAGATTCGCTAATGGAGTCCGCGATAATTAGCGAAGGAAACGTCGGATCCCCTGGCTGTAGGTCAGTACTAGAAAGTATTCGGATTTCCTGGTTGCCAACTCGAAACGGTGCTAGGCAAAAAGCGAGCAACGACTCCCAGCAGTTGGACGCGTTCGCGGCGTGAAAAGAACGTGAAACGCGGGTTTCCAGCGATCCTCGTTGGCTTCGACGAATTCGAAGCCAGAAACCAGTTTAACGTTCGATGCGAAACAACGTTATTCACGGACAATTTCAGCTGGAAAATTGTCTATGAAATTCAGATTAGAGGATTGGAATACCAGGAAACTGGTAATCGGATAATAAATATGGAATCGTGGGAGTAAGATGTGAACGAACTGCTGGTTCCATCACGAATTCGAAAATAATTTAACAATAAATTAGGAAAAATTGTTAAAGTGCCTGGAATAGATTATGACAAGTTAGCTGAGAATTTCGTGCAGAAGGTATGACCTATTTAAGATTAATAAGATTTTGAACGATGAGAAATGGGGTATTTCGAGGAATGTCCTGAAAGCAACGTTGCTTTACGGCACTTATCGATTCAACGTGACTGCCGGCGTATCGTATCCATATCCTGCAGGGAAATTTATCTCCCCAGACACTATGCCAAATAACGGTTTCCACGTAACCAGGAAGTGCTGGCAAAACGGTAATTACGATGATACTGGAAACATACTTTCTAACTGGATTCCCAACGATATATTTTAAACAGCTGTTACATCAGCACGCATTAACATGCCGCGTTAATGAAGATTGCTTCTTGCCTACTTTTCAGTTTAATCAGATCGTTCGAGATTCTCATCGTCCATTTCTGTCGTGCAATGTTTTTATCCGTTTCGATTGTTCAGCAGATTCTGGTTACGAAGAAGTATCCTTTCGTTCGAAATGTCATCGAACTCCCTTCGAACACGATTGTCACGGGTCAAGTACCGGTTAGTATTGTCGAACGACTTCCGCCGCCTTAGATGGACTCTCTCCGCGACTTCCGCCGTTAAACGAAATTGGTAATCGATACAATATCGCTTCGCGATTCGAGACACGAACGAGTCGACCTTCGTAGCAGGTTTTACGTAACCCTTTACGGATAATGATGCTAGGCACTTTGAAATTTTAATTGCGTCGTTAATAGAGCAATGTTCGATGCTCTTTAACTTTGTATTTTGTCGTGACCTCGCACAATGAAACTTACCCACGTAAGTGGAGTTTCAAAGGAATCGACAGGTTGCACTTTATGAATTCAACAAAGTGAAACGGTGCAGCTTCGAATTTCTTCTTTGGTTAAATTGCTTTGAAAAGGGGACGCTTCGCGTGTTCTCGCGTTTACTTTGAATACGAGCGAAATTAAATGCACGCACATGCAAAAGAAATGACGGTACCTTCGTGGAAATTTCTGCAGAATAAGGATAAAGGGACGCGATGCAGTCTTTATAAACTCCACCATAACATTTCCGTGAGGAGACTGCACGCCCACCGTCGTAAAGTTACGCTTCTCGACTTTCGTCCCTGCTAGAAACTTTGAACTTTCTTGTAACACGGATTCAACAAAATTCTCGATGCTCGAAATATCTCCTTATGTCAGAGAACCGAAGAAAAAGTAAGTCACTGTCTCGCAATCGTAGGAGCAAAAATCGCGGAGGTATTTTAATTCCATGTTAACTGGAAGGTGTTTTACACAGTTTTTTACTAATCATAACCACGATATTTTTCCCGTTAGACCGCTAGCAGCAAGAAGCCGAACGAAATGATCGAGAACGCGTCGACGATAACCGGAAATTAGATCACGTCCGGCGAGGATCATGAAAGGACACGTGTCTGCCACTTATTACGCTGGTTACGGTAATCACGTGAGGTAATTAGGCCATGTTGTTCCATTCATCGAAAGATGCTCGTATCGGTCACAATGAGCCATTCAAATACACCTATCGAGATTTCCGTTTGCATGTTATTAAGTAATATCGAGGTTGCGGACTGCTCTGAAATCCGTGGTAATCTCACGATTATGCATTCGCAGCTTTTATCTAGATTAGAGGATGTTCTTTGCGATTCAGCGTGAGTCGAATGCGTTTCGTATGCGATTGCGCGGACTTCTGATGACTTAAAAGATATGACACACCTTGTGCGTCTAGTGTCTGTACAGAGTTGATGATACGGATTTTATGATTTAAGCTTTCAAGAGTTTGGAACCGAAGAGCTAAGATGTTCTAAGGAAGCGAAATAGAAAGACAGTAATTAATGTGTAGTTTAATCGTAATACACACTTTCGAGCATGTATTTTCTGCGGTCAACTACGATATCGATACGTAACCGGATGTGTGCTTCGATCAGGCTCCACCAATATCCGCAACGAAAGTGAAGAAACGTCTTCCTTTTGTCGGTTGTTCGTTCAACCGTGAGAGAATGAAATTAAGATCCATTCACCGTTGTACAAACGGTTCTCTAAATACCTCTGTTTAACGACGTTATAACTCCTCAACGTCAACTACGCCATAGTTATCGATTTCACTAGTTTGTGAAATGATCCGTGCGCGTGCTTCGAATAAATGCAGGAAAGAAAAATTTGCTTCAAGGTGTAGCGGTGGGCTACGCATGAATCATGATCGATCGCTAATTATCGATGGGCTATCAACGTCGTTAATTGTCCACGATTGAGTTGAGTCACCATTAATTAGTGTCCCGATTATTCGACAGGTAATCTCAATGAATTTTTCGAGAAACGGTAAAAGACACCATACACAGAGGCTTGAGAAATCCGGCCGGCCATAATCAAATTCGAAGAGTTTTCCCAAGAACCCAGTAAGCAACTGTAAAGCATTCGAGTTTGTTTCGTCATGCAGAGAATTGTGCAAGCGCATTCCTGGTTAGCCGCGAACCAGAGGTTGTCCATCGGCTGGAAAACGGTACCAACTGAATTTCCATCCTCCGATCGACTTTAACCCGTGGCTTAATTAGATAATCACGCGGCGACAGATAAAACCTCCAGTCGGTTTTACATACTCGTTGAACGCTGCTTTTGCAACGAGCACGATACCTTCTTCTCTACCGTTAAGACATTAACATTCAACTCATTAGTCCGACAAGCTGGACGTGATTATTGTCGTGACGCATTAAAGAGTACGATGAACTCCGTTGCCAAATGGTGTATCGACGTTAGGAAAAAAGTGGCTCGTTGAGATTCGATCCTGTCTTAGATCCGTAAAATCTACGATACGTTGTATCATTTAATTCCGATCCTTAATTAGATCGAATGATGTAGAAATGTCCGATTAAACGTAAATACGTTACGGTTGTTTCGCGCCGTTATTTTCAGGTACTAAAAAATCCTCAAATGACATTTGTGGCGAAAAATAGGTTAATGCGGTGGTGCTGTTGGCCACTTTGAACGCTGAAATTTACCGTTTGCCGGTGAATGTCGAACGCACATGGCGAGATAGATAAATACCCGCTGGTAATTCAGGGTCGAGGTTTGAAGCGTGTCGCTTTTTATCGAGTAACGACCTATTTGTTCCCGTTCCACGATCGTCCTTATTTCCCACATTCGTTGATAGAACCGAACGTTCATTTTTTCCATGTTCAAGCCATTTGCATGCCGCTACGTTGCTCGTTTTTCCCGAACAACTGTGACAGAGTTCGGGTCATGCACAGTCGACTATTCATGATCGTATCATTTAAAAATCAAATAAGTTTCTTTCTGTTTGCACAAATTGAGGTCGCGCCAAGATAAATTTACATCTATCGCTTTCATTTTGCGTTTTTAATGTCCGACCGGATAGTGCTATTTTTAGTCGAATCCAGTGATTTATATTAACAGTTTACTTCGTAATAGTTTTATCGCGTTACTTATAAAATGTCAATATCTAAACGATATTTGATCGAATAAATACTAAGTAGGTGGAAAATAGAGCAGGCAGAAAATCTCGCATTTTCTTGAAAATGTAACGACTATTCCATCCACGGGTCATCGAGTTTCTCGTGGTTCGTCGACCGATAAAGTCACGACTGGTCCAGCAATGGCCACGTGGGTTGGAAAGAAAGCCGAGTATCGCTGGTTTGCAAGAAACCAGGGAAAGAGGAACGCCTAAGCGAATACCAGACATATTATACAGGGTGTGTCTGTATTGCGTCGCGATGCGGTCTGACCGCATTGCAATATTATCTACCTATGGTTATTTCGTAACTCTGACTTTTGAGTATTGCTTTCTGCCACGATGGATTCTTTTTGTATCGATATTCAACGTTAATTACGTGAAAATCTACGACACTGGAACGGGTCTTGATTCATTTTAAACAGGAGTTACTAGTTTGAAAAACACGTGTGTTACTATATTTACTTCTATTTTTTAGTTACTCAATTTCTTTCCTTTGACGCAATTTTTGTCGCAAAGTGTATTAGATATTCTGGTGAAATAATAACAGAAATTGACCGGTCGAGGTTCTTTGCTTCGTTGAATTACTATTTCAAGAATTGTTTTAGCCGCGGAGAAATAATTTCGTTCCCCTCTAGCTAATTTTCTCGATTCCTTAGCAATCAGTCGAGGTTTCCTGTTTTCACGAGCATCTAGTCGTAAATTTACGATACTGCAACTGGACCGGTGCAGTTAGGTCTGATAGATTGTCTGAATAGCACGGCAGTCGATCGCAGGGTGTGGCCATAGTTGTACGCTTCCTTGGAACAACTTATATCGCGGACCACAGGAATTGTTAAACGACCACCTGTAATTTGTTGTTACTGCAACGTGAAAGTTGCACTTGTTCCTAGAAGAGTAAACAGACGGCAACTTTTAAACTATATACAATTTGCGTTGAGAGCACAAGATGGCAAGATGAAAAGTTCTTTAGAATACTCGAGTGTCAAAAGTATAAATGTCAAACTCTCGAGTGGTTTTAATAATAAAAAGTCGAATGATCGATGACACCGTATAACACCTGTTAAGTATTAACAAGAGTCTAATAACCAAAGAACAGCTGTTGCCATTGAAGCAGCTGGAGGCGCCATGGTGTCACCTTGAAGCTCGGTTCTTCGCGTTGAAATTTGTTACGCGATCGAGCGTTAGGAGGAGGGTAATTGTCAAAGGTAACGGTACCATAACCAAGTTACGCTTCGTTATGGACAAGTCACGATCCACGAGGCGATAACTCAAATTTTGTCACGTTCCGCGCGTGGGCGAGAGACTGAAATAACAACGACAGGGTTCAACGAATCGCCTCGCGATGGTAGAGCAATTTTCCACGGAACATACGAATGATTTTGTCGATTTTCTTGTCGGTTACCGGTTCACGTGGCTATGGCGAACGTAGAACGCCGCCGGCACGGCGCAAGGATTTCGACGCTCGAGGAACGAGCTTTCTCTTCCATAAATTCAACGGCGTCATTCTTGAACGAACTAACTTGCGAATTTTACGCTACGCGTTTCTATTTTAACGCTGGTTCCTGTGAAAAACGAAAGTGGAACGATCTTGTGTTTGGCAGATAATCTTTACAGAGAGTTGCACTTCTTTTTCGTTGCGAAAAAATTTTTCAGCAGCTGGAATTTGTAGAAGATAACATTGAATTTTACCAGAATATGTTAGTATACAAAAAAGACAAGAAATGTGAGTAAAAGGTCGACATTTTTTAACTGGATTTACCAGAACCCAGGAAAGAAGACCTTGAACGTCTCGGCCGTGTAAAAAGAAGAAGGTATGAAAAATTAAGATATCAGGATTCATAAATAGAAGAGCAACATTTGTGTATTAAAAGCATAGTTACGTGATCATTATCTACTTTTTATTATAGCCAGTAACGAAGAACGTTAAAACGGCTAAGAATTTGAAGACGGTTTCCTCCTTTTGTCTCTGTTTAACTAGCCACCGTGAAGATCGAAATAACTGACACGAAGACGAAGAATACAGCGTCAGATGAGATTTAATCTGTGAATCTGAGGCTTCCGTTTCCACGTTTAACATAGCACGCGTCGATGTATGCGACAGCTCACTGAGCAGAACGAAAATCGCGCGAGTTGCGCGCTGGAAGAAGCCGAAGGGAAGAGAGTACCGTTCGGCATCGTCTGCTCGAACGCTCAAAATAGAACAAAAGAAAATATATATACAACGTTGATACATATATCACGTTGCTTGCGAAACTACAATTAACAACGATTCTTACTTCATCGCGTTATTATATAAACACGATCCTCCCTTCCTTCTCGCCACGTCATTTTTTCTTTTTCATGCTCTATAGAGAAAATGGATCATTAATTTTCACTCACCGCTTGTACCTCGTTTCGATAAAATCAATTAGCTTTAGCCACTGACAAGTGTGTTATAACGCGGGAGGCGTTCTCACGTGCGGAAAATAAAATTTTTAGCTGCGATAATTTAGATCTAAATGGTTCACGGTTATTACAAAATGCTCCTGCGTAAATTAGGAGGATCCTTTGTTTGCTCGAAACGACAGCCAATTTAGCACCTGCTTCTAATTATTGCCTCGATGAAATTTTATCGGAACCAGGCCACCATCGATTCTTCTCTATCTATTCCCATCGTTGTATCAATGTACAAAAGATTCTCACAGAAGGTTTCACCGAAAATACTTCTCGTACAAAGCCGGTCTTTGACAACAGCCACGCAGGTGTGTCCAATCCCCAACCGAAAGGCTAGCGCACTTCCAAAATTCTACGAGTAGTGTTTCTATATCTTCAAACTGCCTTTATTTCATTACTCGATTACTTCTTCAGGTAATCGATGATCACGTTGATAACGTGAAAATGTCTCTCTAATTGCGTGATTGCTGAGAGTGAAAAAGGGAGGGAACTTACGTTTGTTGCTCCTACGATCCACGTCGAGATCCTTGTCCCGGGTACATGTACTCCACAGAAGGTCTCCGCGCGCGAGTCGACTATCTTTCACTGCACAACCGCGTGTTCCGAGAGGAGCACAATCGATAAATAGTCGAAAACGAGTGGCGGGTAGCCACGGAAGAATCGAAGCAAAATTTGTGAAAAACGAACGAATAAGTAAAGCGACAGAGAATTTGATTCAGGGTCACGGAGCTCCTTCCCTCCGGCCCACCGCTTCGAGACTGAGGAACCCGGTTCTCTCTCTCTCCAGGTGAACGGAGCGGGTTACCTGAGTAAGAGCCTTCTCTTCGAGGCCTCCGTGGGAGGAAAGGAGAGACAAGACAGAAGGAAAAGGAAGCAAACGCGAGGAACGTAGGCGCAGCGTGGTGGAGAAGAAAAGGAAGGAGGTGGAGGCCATTCGGGTTGATTCGTAGCGTCAACGAAAACTGCCGAGCTTGGTTCATTCCTTGTTTGTTTATCGCCGTTGAAAATGCGCTGGCTTAACTTCTTGATGCGTTTCGGTCTACTGAACCTTTAGCCTTTACGCGACCATGTCACCCGAACTTGGCTGCTTCCTACACGAGTACTTCGACTTATGCACTTACTCGTAACTATTTAAGTACTCGTGTGTACTTTTCGTAACACGTCGCGATGCTTAATTCAGATTATAAGTTATATGCAACTGAATATGTGCACTTGAAATTTGCACATTCTTCAGACAATCAGAGATGGTTCGACATAGTTGAATCGCATCGGTCGAACGGAGACATCGATGCTTGCGTAAGAAAGGTCGCCCAGCGAGTTCAACGCATAGCCACTCGATTATCACCAGATGTCTTCTCCCCGTTTGTAGCGAAATAACCATCTAAATATGTACGATCAAAGTGAGTGACTGTGTAGTTTAATTATTTACATTGATCGATTCAGTCCATTTTTCTTCCTCGTAATCGATTTTGCATGGTCAAACGCTTCTGCAACTTCACGTTACTGTCTTCGTCGAGATATATTCACGTTCCTTCACATATACATTGTGAATAATTGAAATATATTTTGCGAAGTTCACTGAATCCGAACACTTAACTCTAGTTTCGATCTAACATGTAGGAAAATGATTCTCGAGTACACATAAAGCAATCATTAATTGCTGTTACACGGGAACCAGAATGAAAGTCGCGATGGCGAACAAGATTTCGCGATAGAATTTCATACAAATTCATGTTCGACGATATAGAATAGGGTGCATCGTTGCACGTACTGGCAAACCACGTCATAAATAGCCCGAGGCGAACGGCTCGTGCACAACTTTAACCTGGCCGATTAATTTCTGGCCTAACAGGATACCTCTAGCAGCCGGTTACTTGAAATACTGAGATCACCAGATACGTACTCTACGACTAATTGCATAACGGGTAGCGAAATTTTTCAACGACAAATAATCTATGTGTACCAGCGAACTTGCGCGCGTGTGGGATGTCGAACGAGCTTTCGTGTGCACCTTTCTAACCCTTTCGTTCAGAAGGTCGTAAGTTGTCCCAGTTAAATTCTTGCCGTTTCATTGAATCGCACGAAGAGGAACAAATATCGTCAATTATTAAACGAATGGATTACTTTCTACAAAAATAATTACAGCCAAAAGTTAAAAGTTATTTCCTAGAAAACACGATGTATTTTTTCACCGAAAAGCAAGAAACCTATTGCTACAATGAATTTTCATTTTCCCTGAAATATGTGATTTTCTCAGTCGTTTCGCGCGGTTGCTTTCGTTCGACCACCGAAGACTCAACGTGCATCGATTAAATACTTTCTCGACTTTCTTCTGTCGTATCGATAGCGACGAGACGCTTAAATCATCCTTTTGTAATTTCTTATGGAGCCAACCTTGCGATTCGAACGATTAAGTTTGATAATTTTTAATTCTTTGTCGTTGCGTTACGTCACCTGTAAGCATAGGTTTGAATAAAAATTCATGACTCACATGTTCTTTTTTTCTCTTCCAGAGATCACCATGAAGACATCCGGTATGGAACGAATGGAGGAATGGCAGGCTGAATGACTGTCGAGGTATTTGATTAATCTTTGCTATTTTTAACACGAATATTTGTTAAAAAATTTTGTCATAAACCTGGATAAAAGCTACATTTAACTCTTTGGATATCAATCGTTTGATCACCCTACTTGCGAGTCAAAGATTAATTTTCTCGACACGTTAATGAATTCGTTGAGCAGTCGAGAATAGAATATCGGTTCCCTAACGAATTTCATCGATCAGGATTTAGGTCTTCGGTGTTCCTCGGCTGAACGAGGAGGCACACATTCTCGAGCATGTACTCGGGAATAAAGAGGTCGTCGTAAATGCCCAGACGTTAATTTGCCAGGAGTTTTGTAGGACACGAATGCAAGGCGGGACGAGGGAAAAGCGGGAGAGAGAGAGAGAAAGGGAGAGAAAGAGATCGAGAAGCGGCTCTCTCGCACAGCCTTGTTCATCAAGGTAGCACACGTTACGCCGTGGACACACACGTACACGTGTACACCTGTACGCGGGCCGGACAACGCGTTTCGAACGGTTTCTCGCGCGGGTCGACGTCCTGCCAAAACTGCCTAATCGTGTCGCCATGGTTGCATATTGTATCGAATCAAAGACAAATCTGGAATCTCCTATCCTTCCCTCAAATTTTTCTAATCGTTAACGTGACTACAATTTGTTACAAAGTCTCGAATAATGATAACCATTGGGAATGATATAGAATTAAGCGGGAGCCCGTATACCGAGAAAGTTAATATTAGTTTTCTCACGATACTCGATCGTAGTTACACGTAAACAGAACAACTTTCAAAAGACACTAATCGGTGTAATTTGAAAGCTAACTCATGCCGGCGTTCTTTTTTACTATTCGCGATAAGTGTGTCTCTTTCGCGGTGATTCGAAATGAACCTCCGTTGGAAACGAGAACGGAATCACGGAAATTTCGAAGGAAAAGCTTCCGTTCGTGTGGTAAAGGTCCGTAGTACGCGCGAGGAATGAAGCACGTTCGTTTAATAACTGTATACGTCGAACAGCGATGCATTCGAATAGCGCAGACAGATTTCTACGATTCACGCGGAGTAAACACCTCCGGGCGATTATCATATTTTCTCCTAATCGCTGGAGCGTTTATGCTTCTCTCGTTAATCCGTTTCGTTTTCCGTTACCGGATGGAAATCGTACCTTTCGAAAAGCGAAAAATTTTCAAGATCACATAAAAAAACCAAGTCGGAACGCTTCGTTCTGCTCGTTGTACGTTGAACCGGAGTGCAGAAATGAAATTGCGGACGACGAAACAAGCTCCGGATGCGGAAAAGCTGGCTTACCTATATTCATCGAGCAGGCGAAATCGTTCGCGACGCGTGAACGCTTCACGCATCGGCAGTGAACGAGCGAGCGAGCAGTCAGACTCCGATACCGTTACACTTGGCAGCTTCCTGCCGCTCGGACTACGGCCTCCATCAGGCTCGCGGAGCCTCGCCTTCTTGCATACTTATAGTGCCTTTTCGGTATCGTCATTGTCACCCACCAATGGCACACGCTCACCTATACCGTAATCCGAACCAGCGTTAGTCGTTTCATGCTCGACCGACAAATTCTTTATCCACCTGGTCGAGATGGAGAAAGCTATCATAAGCTGCCGTTTGAGAACCTGAAATTTGGGATTTCGTTGACGACCGATACTCGATGATAATGAAATAACTTTTGCATGGTTGATGCCCCAAATTGCTTGAAATTCTTCTGGTCCATATTTGATCCCACTGATCTCGTTACTAATTTACCAGCGTTTTTTGCGGCAGCCGGTTTCGTTTTCTACAGAGAACATTAGCATTCTCCTCCCTTGTAATGGAAGCAATCGATATTTCCGGACTCTTACGATCGATACAACGTTATAGACGAATATTGGGAATAAACGACGATACTTCTAAGGTTTCCGTAACAATTAACCACGTTCCGGGCTTCATCCTACACCGTTCAATAATTTCACTCGATCGTTCCTGCTGATGCCTCGCATGCTTATTTCTCAGACATTCACCTTCGTAATGTGCTTGAAAGATCACAAGAAAACAAAAAGACTTTCTAAACGTTTCAACCTCTATCGATCTTTTTCCGTCGACGAGACGTCGATGCAGAAGGAAACGAAACACCTCGGGCGGTGAAGCAAGCAGAGCCAACGGTACTTCTTGGAACAAAATTACACGTACTCGTAGTAAGCCGCGTTGATTACATAATCGGCGCGTTGCACGAGCCATCCGAAGAAAAGTTCCTCGTCGTTGGCTAGCTGGCAGCCATCTTTGTGGTCTTCTCGAACCTCCATGATCATAGATGCGTCAGGGTTCCTTTGTTCGTCCTTTTTCCTCGCTTTCCTTCTTTCCTCGTAATCGACGTTCAGGAAGCATGTAATGCGATTCAAGATCACTGCACTTTGCGTTGTTCCTCGGAAAACGTTTACTCTTATTGCTTTGCCGCGGTTAAGGAAATAGGCATTTCGTTAACTGCTATTCGAGTCTTGCATACTTATAGTGCCTTTTCGGTATCGTCATTGTCACCCACCAATGGCACACGCTCACCTATACCGTAATCCGAACCAGCGTTAGTCGTTTCATGCTCGACCGACAAATTCTTTATCCACCTGGTCGAGATGGAGAAAGCTATCATAAGCTGCCGTTTGAGAACCTGAAATTTGGGATTTCGTTGACGACCGATACTCGATGATAATGAAATAACTTTTGCATGGTTGATGCCCCAAATTGCTTGAAATTCTTCTGGTCCATATTTGATCCCACTGATCTCGTTACTAATTTACCAGCGTTTTTTGCGGCAGCCGGTTTCGTTTTCTACAGAGAACATTAGCATTCTCCTCCCTTGTAATGGAAGCAATCGATATTTCCGGACTCTTACGATCGATACAACGTTATAGACGAATATTGGGAATAAACGACGATACTTCTAAGGTTTCCGTAACAATTAACCACGTTCCGGGCTTCATCCTACACCGTTCAATAATTTCACTCGATCGTTCCTGCTGATGCCTCGCATGCTTATTTCTCAGACATTCACCTTCGTAATGTGCTTGAAAGATCACAAGAAAACAAAAAGACTTTCTAAACGTTTCAACCTCTATCGATCTTTTTCCGTCGACGAGACGTCGATGCAGAAGGAAACGAAACACCTCGGGCGGTGAAGCAAGCAGAGCCAACGGTACTTCTTGGAACAAAATTACACGTACTCGTAGTAAGCCGCGTTGATTACATAATCGGCGCGTTGCACGAGCCATCCGAAGAAAAGTTCCTCGTCGTTGGCTAGCTGGCAGCCATCTTTGTGGTCTTCTCGAACCTCCATGATCATAGATGCGTCAGGGTTCCTTTGTTCGTCCTTTTTCCTCGCTTTCCTTCTTTCCTCGTAATCGACGTTCAGGAAGCATGTAATGCGATTCAAGATCACTGCACTTTGCGTTGTTCCTCGGAAAACGTTTACTCTTATTGCTTTGCCGCGGTTAAGGAAATAGGCATTTCGTTAACTGCTATTCGAGGAATGTTGGGTGCCAGCCTTTCCTCCGAGTGTTTCTGAAAGTTTCATTCTCGGTTGTTCGGTGTAACAAGGCTAAATCGTGGGTCATCTGTTGGCGAATACAGCGTGGGTCACATTCGCGACAACCGTACGAATTAGTCAGCCAGAGAATGTGAATGGACGAGTGTTTTCCATCGGTTCTCGACGCGTGAAGGCAGTTCGCCAAGAGGAGCAGGGCGCAGTCGTTTACCTTCAACGGCTGCGACCCCATTTGTAACATTCTTTCCTCCCCTTCTCTTCGTGATCGACGCTTGGTTTCCTTTTCTTTCTTCTTTCTTTTTTCTCCTCGTCTTCGAAGACAACGCGATTGCGTAACGCGGCTTTTAATTTCGATCGGTACGACTGATCGCAGACATTCGTGTACCGATTCTTTTCATATTATTACGAAATTCCGGTGTAATTTAACGCGGTGATGCAGATTTAACCAGGTTAAATAATTGAAAAGTGTTGCATATTGGTAAAATTACGGCGTATTGAAAATAGGTGCTACATTAGGGATTGTATTTTGAATCAATAAACTTTTCAATGCACGATTTTTATTGAAAAATAGAAATTACAAAGTTATTTTATAATAAATACGAAATAAATTATGAAGGTTATAAATTATAATTTGATTCGTGGTTCAAATGCAGTCGACGAAAGCACGATGACAAGTATCGTTGGATTTTACTAGCGTGATCAATGGTTTGTCGTTTCTTAACGTCATCCAGGAAAAATAGTTCAGTCTGACTAGGTAAAATTCGTCTCGCTTCGGTATCATCAGTTCTTCGGTGGTTATCGTTTCGTTGCTAATGTCTCCTGACGAATATCCCATCTCTTCGCACAAATTTGATGCCTCCTCCGACGAAATAGGATTTGGGAAACATTCGGTATGCCACACACCGTAACTTTGTCGAATTACTTCTCCGGATCCATTGCTGCAATTAAACACACAATTTTCACGAATTATCGTCACAATTTCGGTGAGTCTCTCTATTAGTAGAATAATTGAGATACATAGCAGAGGCAATATAACGAGAATCTATAATCCGTATAATTCACCTATCGTCCGAGAACTGTTTCAGCATTCTACACTTTGCTTCGTCTTCGCCATCTATGCAATCTTTCTCCCCGTCGCAAATAAAGTCCTGAGGGATGCAAGTATCGTTGCCAATGTTCCTATGAAATACATATTTCTAATTTAACTTTCATTAGAAATACAATACAAACAGTAAAGTCAGACAGAAGTTCTAGACTTCAAAAAGTAGAACGTCAATCTCTAAGTAAAATTAATTGCACCATCGCAAAGTTAATGACTCTACAAATTTTTAATGAAGTATTGCAGCGTGGACAATTTCTTACGTTCTACATTTAAGTTTGTCGCCTCCACAAGGACAAAGTTCTGGAGACTCGTCAGTTTTATCGTAACAGTGGCGTACACCGTCGCATAGTCTCCCTGGGTTTGTTAATCTCAGGTAGTGTGCACAGGTGCATATCGTGGGTTCGTCGGATCCGTCGCTGCAATCGATTACTCCGTTGCAGAATGCACTTTTGTCGACGCATCTTCCGTTTCCGCATCGTAATTCTGATTTCGCGCAATCTATCGATTGAAGATAATATTTAATATACGCGACTAGTGTATTGTAGCTTTGTGGATTTAATAGAACTTAATGTATCACTTACTGCAACCATCTACTCTATTCTCGCAATTGTCTCGAAGCTCTTCGCAATATTTTGGATTCTCGTCTGAGGAATCTCGACAGTCAGGTACACCGTCACAAACTCGATCTTTAGGAATGCACTGACCAATGCTGCATCGAAAACCTTCGCAAGTTGCCTCGATCGATTGTCTTTTACCATCTAATTTAATGTTTTATGTTGATTAACAGAGTAATTAGTTTGAAAAGTTCTTTTACCAAAAGTTTTACCTATTGCTTCCACTAAGTAAGGACTTATGTGATCGATGCCTGTTAAAGTTTGAGGCTCTCGGAAACTGCAAGGACCCTCGTGGTCCTGGAACGTGGCTGCAGGATACCATCCTTTTCTACCCTGACAAAATACTACTCCACTCCAATTCGATGTTTCATTTTCCTGAATAACAAATAAAAATTAATTTCACTGGTATCTGTATTATCAGTTGATATTATCAAACTGTCGAAATTTACCGAGCATTCGGAGATTAAAGAATTTACGAAGCATCGATGGCAAGTTTTGCAATTTTGCAAAACAGTTTTCAAGAAGATCGACTGCGTTTCGTACTTCTCATTTGTTCCAACAGCCACACAAGTGTCGTTCACTCCTGGCAAATATATCCTGAAACATATAGTTAGCACTCCAGTTCTATTTCATGGTATAAAGAAAGTTCTTTCCTCTCGGTAATTTCTGCACTCACGTTTTATTGAGAAACAGAGGTTGCACGTGACGACTGACGTCCACTCGATGTTTCAAGTGTAACAGAACAGACTCCGAATTATTCACGTGTTGCACTTCATCGATTGTCGACACCGTTTGATGAGGACCATCCACGTGTCGGAACAATGGACCATAACCGAGCACAGCTGTAGCATAATTTTGATCCAGTCTGAAAGTTAGTAGTCGTGTTATCTCTCATCGAATTAAACCCGAGAACCGAACAATCACTCGACACTTCGTGACAGTTTAGTATAAAAATAAAGCTACTTGCCTGACATTTTCGACGCATTTCGAAGCGGAGAGCAGCCAGTGATGGTCTAACAGCAACGCCGAGCAACGATATTCTCCGTCCACAAAGATGGCGGCGAGCCACGGCCACAGGTGAACGTGGTTTCCAGTACTGGAATCTATAGTCAAGTACGTGCTTATACTACTGCTGAAAACCGGTGTGCAGCGAATGTTAAGTCCAGGACAGGTTTTATCCTCTTCTTCCCGAGAGACGGGGATTGGAATGTTTTGTTGTGTCGCGTTCTCCTTGTCCCATTTTATTGTTTCCATCTCTACATTCTTTACGGTAATCGAAAAGGAAGATTTCATGCCCCTTTATGTGAAAAAAATTTCGTTAAAGTCAATGGTGCTTTAAGAAGTGTCTAATCGAAGGGAGACTTACTGGAATCCGAAATATTCGCACATGTTTTGCCCAATGAGCGTGGGGGACCATTGATTTTTAAGCATTTTTGGTTTGTGACACGTCGTTTGCCATTTACCATCGACATTTCGAGTTAGTACACCGTGCGTGTTTAAAAACGGCCGCTCGTCCGCGTCCAGGTACACATGGTGGCCATCGGTCAATGTAACTATCGATAGAAGGAGTCAATCTTTGTATATTATTCTCATCTGATACAAATTTTTAATTTTTATTTACAAATCGAAGACTCACAGCAGTCCAATTCGTCCTCCTTAAATTTACAATCGAAATGCCCGTCGCATTTCTGGAAGGACGAAATGCAGACGCGACTGTTTTTGCAGAAAAATTGATCCTTGGAACAGATTTCTGCAAGACAAATAGCCATGAGGTTTTAGAAAGCTCGAAGGAAAAGTTTGATCTTACCGCAGTCTTGTTCGTCAGTTTTATCGTCGCAGTCCAAGTATCCGTCGCAAATTGCGGTTGGTTTCAAGTTTGACAAATAGTCTTTGCAAGTGCAATTCATTTCATCGGTGCTGTCTTCGCAATCCGCTTCTCTGTTGCATCTTTTATTAATGGGAATACTCTGAAGCAACCTGTTAATTTGATCGATGTTGAATTGCAGATGGAATTTATTTAGTAAGTCATTTACCGAGCTCATTGAATCAACAGTTATTTAATTTAAAGGTTGTGCAGTTTTATTAAATATAATCTATACCTTCCACACGTGAACGTTGTCGGAACATCTATCGCAGAATCAATTTCCACAGTACTGGGTTCCGATTCAATGGAACTGTACGTTGTGGATTTATAAGTGTTATCAAAAATAACTTCGTTGTTTTGTTCCTCCGTAATCAACGTTCGATCAGTCGCCTCGAACACCTCGGTATCTAAAGCATTTTGACCTTTATCGATACTGAAATTGACAATTCGTGTACCGATGAACTCACCGTTCAAAATTTGCTGAGACGTAGAACTGTCTACCGGTGACGAAGTGGTATCAGAATCGATATCGTCAACCTTTCGGGAGAAGGAACGATTCCAGTCGAGGTGACAATTAAGTTCGTCTTCCCCGTCCAAGCAATCGATTATCCGGTTGCAACGAGCTGCGGCAGGCAAACATGTACCTAATCCACCTTTACAGCTAAATCCTGGACACTCTGTCAGTGGAGTTCGTCTCAGAGGAGGTATCCAAGAGCTGTCTAAAGATGCACAATTGGATTAGGTTTTATTCGATTAATCCTAGAAGCCTCTGAAACTCACTGGAAACTTCTTTGATCCAGCTGAGAAAGTAGCTGACTTTCGTGTAGGCACCAGGTTCATTCGGACGACCGCAGCCTTCTCCATGACTAACTATGCCTGCCACGTACCACTGCGACTGTGAATATGGATTTCTACAAACAAAATTACCGTAGAGTATAATCAAGAAAAAGTGGCTCCATTGACAAACGGATGAAAAATGTTAAATTTTGACCTGCACATCAGAGGACCCCCACTGTCCCCTTGGCACGCGTCACGACCTCCTTGAGGATATCCGGCACAAATGGTACCCGCGATTTGATCAGTCTCGTACTTGCAATGTTTCAATATGGGCACCTCGACTTCTCTCAAGTGATCAGCTGCAAATTATCAACATGGAATACTTATTTCGATCTATTCGCATTCTGAATTTGTATTCACTCACGATCTGGACCACGTTCGCTGGTAGCACCCCATCCTATAGCCAGGCAGGTGGAGCCTGGTTCCGGTTCGACTCGCCACATGGAGCCCAAGATGTCTCTTTCCGGTAGACAGACAGGTCTCACCCATCGATTGAAACGTAGAGAATCGTCCAGCATGATCATCCCTATGTCATTAGTCATGTCTCTGCCGCTGTAGCTAGGATGCGCAATCGCGTATCTCGCTTTTCTGAATTGCGACATCGGGGAGAAAGAAAATCGTCGGAGCATTCCTGCTTGGATCTCGTAGTAATGACCCTTGTACCTACATATTATGAAATGGTCATTCATGATGGCTTACTGATTACTTTTTGATAAGTTTAGCAAATAACTGCAAACTGACCCATCGACGCAATGAGCAGCCGTAAGAATCCACAAGTCATTCAAGATGATACCACCGCAATGAAATCGGCCATCTTTGTAAATAGCCACTAAGAATGGCCAAGCAGTTGGTTGACTGGCGCGTCCACCAACGACCCGCAACTGCGATCCAACGATGTCATCCTCTTTGCTACTGTTCCTGTCATTGTTGGTTCGCCAATCGATCTCGTTTTCGGACCATGGTCGCAGCATTCCACTGAGCAATCGCGAGCTCTGGTCCGTTTCTTCGGAAGTTGACTGCAGAGAATTTTGTGCTACCGGCGTACCACAAGCAAAGGGAGGACATTCTACGTAGACCGCCGTGTTCATGCAAGAGGGAATCAGCTTTGGTTGACCGTCGACTTCCGTCAGAAAAGGCCCCTGGTAAACGTCATCTGACATCGAGTGGATTTGGATTGTGGGCACCTCGCTGTAAGGATTAATCAAAGTTCTAGAGATGTGGTTTACCGAGGATTCGAAAGCTTTGTAGTTCGACTTACTCTATCTCGATTCCAATCTCAGCGATACAGGCATCCTTGGCCCAGGAGTCGACTGCCGTGCACACGGGATACCATTGACCATTGAAATTCTTGTGCAGATACCCTTTGGTGTAACCAGTCATAAACGCCTAATAAATGCAATTATTTAGCGAAAGATTATAAAGAATTTTTGGTGAACAATTATAGTAATTGTTACATTTTTGCCACCGATGTAAGAGGGTGTTAGTACGCTGCAGTCTACTTCGTCTTTTCCATTGGAACATTGTTCTATGCCATCGCAACGTTGAGATAATGGAAGACAGTTGTCGGGGGAGAATCGTTTATTCCAGTCGTTGCAGCTGAACGAGGTTTTTGGACAACCTGAAAGATTGTTATTTCTTTTACTTTCGTGTTTTCTTTATGGCAACTAGCATTTTTGAAAAGATAATGCCAATGCCATCTAGCGGCGAGCGCTAAAGCTGATGGCAAGACTTGCATTTTTATTCTTCACAAAATTAATGACTTATGCAACGGTGCACTAAAACATTCTATGTCACCAATTTGATATAAATAATTTTAAAAAGTGCACGAAATTTAATTCCGTAAACCGCCAGCAGGTGCACCTTTTAATTAGTGTATACTTTCGTCACTAGGTGGCAATAGTAGTACTATTTTGAATGTGCGCTCTGATTCAAATCGCATAAAAGTATTGCTTGCATAACAGGTGCTTGTATACTTAATTAATTTACACAATGTTCTCTTGAACTGTCATAACATTTTGATTACAGACGTAAATCGCCGGGAAGTCATGTAATCAGTAAAGCAGTTCAGAAAAACTGTATACATTAATTTATCGCGCAAGCGAATGAAATCAAAACGTACGATAGAAGAAAATATCTTTCAAAGTAAAAGCTTTTCATTATAAATGATACAAACATGAGTTCATAAACTTTAATGACGAAGATACATCTCTAAAAGAAATCCACTCGCAGCAAATGTACTCGTGTAGTTTATTTGAAAATTAAACGACAAACTCTGATCCGAATAACCGGACTTCACGAAATTGACTGTATCAAGATAGATGCACTTACCCAGACAACCCAATTCGTCTTCTCCATGAGGACAATCAAAGTAACCATCGCAAAGACGCTCCTGGGATATTCGGTCCCTGCAGGAACACGTGGTTTCGTCGCTGGCGTCCATGCAATCCACTTGACCATTGCACCACTGTGATCTCAGTATACATTTTTTTCCATCTCCGCACCGAATCATGCTAAATGGACACGGTTCTGGATATTCTGTAGCAATAAAGAAGATACTTAAGGCACCTTTCAAATCAACACCTGTACTCCTCTTACCTTTAGACTTCTTACCCTTCTCTTTCGAGCCATCTTCTTTATCCGAAGACCTCTGATAGTCCGATACTCCAGGAATGGTCGGGAATTGAAAAGTTGGAGCGGGAATATAAGTGCAATAATAAGACGACTTTGCAGATGGGTTCGCACCGCCGCTAGGAATCTGATGTCCAGGGAACATGGGAAAGCTCTGGGGCCCAGGACCAGTGGGTCCAGGTCTTTGAGCACCAAAATTACCTGGAAACGGCTGCATAGGTAAGAACTGGACGGATTGTGCCTGTACTTGGAAGTAGTTAGCGGGTTGATTCATGGGGTTTTGGTTGTTCGGTCGTTGCTGTGACATGGGTATCGGATAAGCCGCTCCTGGCGAGGATGCTGGGTACATGCTTTGACTTGGAGCCGACTGTTTCGTGGCACCCATTGATGGCCCATAGAAACAGACTTGATAGGGCATCCAGGACATCGTTGGGGTCAGTTGCAGTTGTTGCGTCGATTTCATGGTTTCTGCAGTGGGGATCATGCCTGGAGCCGAGTCCATAGTGGGCTTGTTTTGAAACTGATCGTTGAAGACGATCCTCTCCTTAGTGGCGCTCGCGTTTGATTTTCTGGAACTCTTCGAAGCTGAAAATAAAGATGGAGACAGATATTTAAAATTATTGGATGTCTAAATTTCAGGAATTAGAATCATTGATATAGCATTCATTGAAAGGTGGTAATGATTCACGACGCCTTCAGCATTCGAAGCGGCAACATAATAAATAATGCATCTACCGTTTTCACCTTCCCTTTCCGCAGCGCTCCATTTGCCATGACCTTGGTCCGAAGGATGCACCGTGTCATTCGTAGTTTCCGTCGCGTTGTCTCCGTCTAGCTTGGCCATAGCGTTCGCGATAATCGTAGACCACATCGTATCATCGATTCTCTCCGTCTGGGTTGTTGCTTCATCCGCTTTGGTCGTTGATGCACTCGATGCAGAAATACTCGTTGACGTACTCGTCGCCGCGGCATACACTTCCGTTTCCTTTGACATTGATCCATATCCCGTGGTTTCGATCGTCGACGTCGTCCGTGCCTCCTCGGTTGTTTCACCGGAATATTCTTCCGACTTGTCAAGAATCGATACCGTCGACTTTTTCGCACTCTGTTCCTCGTAAGCGGTGAACATCACCGAATTACTGCTCGAATGTTTGTTCTGATCATCCTGATCCTCGTCGTCTAACAAATTGTTGACTACCTCAACGTTGTTCTTGATCTGAGCGTGATCAAAATGTTCGAACCCATTGTCGATATTTTCTTGGGTCGTCTGGTCAGCAATATCTTGAGAGCCGCTCTTGCACTGCAAGCACTCGACCAATTCTATAAACTGGGACTTGGTTGAATTTGATTTCGAGGTGAAGTTCGCCAGAAAAGGCTGAAGATGCGGTATACTGTTGTTCACGATATTAACGATGCTCAACATCGAATCGATAACGGTCTTACAGTGTTCCGTGTTCTGGTTACAGGGATACGAGCCGGTGTTACGTTTCAAACGGTTTTGATCTATGTTCAACAAGATCGCGCGTAACTCTGGAATCATATCGGGTAGCTGATGCTTATAGTAATACTCGCGCAAATCAAGATCAATTGATTTTGTTGTTTGTTCCTCTGGTACCGATACGTCGAACGCCAATTCTTCTTTCTGATCGATTTCCTTGTTCGACTCGTTTTGAACACTTTGACATGAATAACCTAGAGAAAAGCAGTTTTCGAAATAGGACTCGTTTCTGCATTTTTTAATTCTTTCAAATTGAAATACTTTTGTAATTGAAAATATTGAACACGTACCCGACGTAATAATTAAGTACACCACAAAGGTAGCCAGGCACATAATCGACAACGCGTACAACAGCTCGTTGGAACAGTTGCCACGTTTGCGAGAACTCCTGTTCCTACGGAGTTCCGAATCCACAATCGATTTTCCTGAAATGGAAATTGTATGACCATCAACGAAAGGCCGTATGCATATTTCATGCGTGGATCAAAGCACATCGAAAGGAACGAAGGTACATGGTCGGACGAATGGTCGAGCAAAAAATATTAATGAATTTCCGCACCGTTCGTTTGTCGATGAACTTCCCCAGAAATCGTGCTCAGGTTCACGCAGCACTGGCCTTCCACTATTGGTAGACGTTCCTTCGAAGGAATCTCGCATTCTATATCCATGGTTCCTAAAATATCTAAACAAATAGGAAAAATATTTGGTAGAAAATTTCTCTCTCATTAGCCACGTCTATCAAATTGTCGGAAGCTTCAGATTTCGTTGCATCGTATCGTTCCGTTTTCGGTACACTAGCCCCGATATAGCGTAAGAGTACTTACGTTCGGGAGCACGTTTCTTCGGTGAATCTTTTCCATTCGATGGACCGTGGACAACCCTGATACGTCGTTGAAAAAGTTGTCGCTGCCAATGGTCCGTGCTCTAGATGACTTAGACGTGAAATGACCCGAGAACTCGATCGAGTTGCTATACCTCGCATCGAATGTGTCAGCAATACCTGCGAAAATCGTGTCCGTGAAATTTCGTCACCGAACCGAGTGAATGAACCTTGTGCGTGCAACTTCGTCTATATTGCAAATCAAATTTTTATCACTATACTAGGAATTTAATAATTTTGCTGCAAAATCTACTGTACCTCAAAAATAAATTTCGATTATCAGCTTTTTCGGTGACTCTATGTTTCAGAGTTAGTAATAATTAAGAATAATAATTGTACATAGAAGCTTTATCTGTTAAAATAGTTTTGTAGAACGAAAATAATGTATAAAAATAATAATTGCAAAGTGAACACCAAGAAAATTGAAAGAAAGTTCAAATTATTATTATGAAAATCGTTTCGAGGAATAAACGTTTGCCCACGGTTATAGGAAAGAATCGAGCGAAATTGTTTCTGCTCGTTATTTCCGGCATCGCATTTCAAGCGTAACGGAATCCATCTAGTGTCATCGATTTTTGCCAATTAGCGCTTACACGCGTTTTGCGAGAATGCGCGAAACTAGCAAATATTTCATGGAGAAACGATTTCCGCGTCGTTCACTTTTGTCTTCGTTGAAAGCGGAACGTCGGAAAATTTCAGTTTCTGATATTCGTTTGATCACTCGTAATCTTCCACTGACGCACAAGCATTTGGTAAAAAAGAATGGCAAGAATTTCGCGTTCGATGCTGCATGACGTTCATAAATATTTTCCGTCACATATTTTTAAGTTAAACGGAAACTTAAGTTCGAACATTTTACACGAAAAATCTTATTCCGTGTAATTGAATAGTCGCTTTAAGCGGAATAACGAAGAACAGTTCTTCGTAGAAATGTTAACTGGACGAATTAAAACGTCGCATTCGTACTAAAGCGACTCGAGCTTCCTGAGATAATACCGTAATTATACTCCAGTCTCGCTTCCTTTCAGGCAGCCATTATAAATGACTTGGAATATTTTTATTGCGAATAACGAAGCACCTAACTTCTGCATTACAGAATCACTTTGTTTCTATGTGATATTAATAAAGTACCAAAAAGGAATATTAGCTGGAGATATATAAACTTAGAGATGTAAATGAGATTTTGATATATAAATTCAGGGATATAAATATATAAAGATGTACGAATTTATTTAGGAATATAAAATACCAAAATGAACCTATACTCAATGTCATCGGTTCCAAGGTTGCTACCAATCACCATACACGTTACGTGAAAATTCAACGATCGTAATACAGCGTGTGTTGCGTAACATACGGATGTTAATATACTTTCTCCGCCTAGCGGTTCACGATAGCTCGATCGGCAAGTGACAGTCTCTGTTCTAACGTTAAACTAGGTTCTCCTATACACGTTTTCGGTTCATTGTGTTCTCTCCTCCGAATCTCCCGCATCTATAAATCCGGAGAGAATTATAGTCATGCTCATAGACCGGTCTATAGAAACTAGAGAACGTTCCGTGATCTCGTTGTTCGTAGTAATTGTGCCATACTAATCAAACGTGACCCAGAAACGGGAAACTTTCAAGGCTATCGAACTCGTAACACGATCAGGGACTATGTAATAGCTTCGCCATTAAAATTATCGGGATAAACGAGGAATTCGGAGAAAGTTTTTATCGAAATTTTAATTTTAGATTTTAATATTCTTGCGCGATCTTATGTTGGTTCTGTGAAGATGTGGACAATTTGGTGAAAATGTTCGAGTTACGAAAACTGGTTTCCATCGGAAAGATTCTGAGACCTGTTACATATATCTGCAATTTTTATTTATGCATAGTTAAAAAAATACGAGCAAAGATCACAGTCAAGGAGACATGTTTTTTTCCTTGATCCTTTTACATTTGGGATAAAGTTTAGCCTCGTTTCTTCGTTAAAAGACTTTCTTGTCTCCACTTGCATAATCGAGATATCATCATGTTTTTATAGAAACGTCGGTGTTATTCAGTTACGAAATCTTTCCTACTGGACTTTGGTCGAAGGTGTCATCTGCTGATTGCCACAATCAGACTCATGAATTTGTATGATATAATAATTACTCAACGTCAATTTATTGTAATATCTCCACAAATTTAAGGATACTATAGTATAGACAAAATAAAATAATGCGATGCATTTGACACTGCAACTTTAGACTGCTTATTAATTATTTCTAACACCGATGGTACGATAATTTTCCTGAAACCCAAAGCACAGTACCAAGGTCCAAAAGCCCTAAGAATGTTTTAAAAGCCTGGTCAAAGCGGCTGGGCGCTTTGATGTCTATCAGATAAGAAGGCACAAGGCGCGTAGCCGTTTATGAATCCCCAAGCCAGGGCCGAAAAGAAGCAAAAGAGAGAAGGAATGAAGAGAGCTGTGACGACACAGCGGGACATCAGTGTGTACCATGAGAATAGCCATAGGATCGTTTCCGTTTCCCCTTCTCGTGCGGCTGGCCATGCTAGCCCGAGCGTATTTGATGCTCGAACAACGGAGTATTCGTGGTGACCGCCTAGCGGCCCGTGCTGCTCACCAGCTATCATCGTGCTCCTCGTTTTCGTCTCGATCCATCGATCACGTCTCGCGATCCACGCAGCTCTCTTCCACACGCGTGCAACGGCATGAGCTGACTGCTGCGAGTAGCGTAAGTTTTCGACGACACTGCCTTCTAAGTTTTCGACGTATCGTGCGATTAATAAGCGGAAACGTCGGTTTTCTTTTAAGAAACGAGTAGGTTTTTTAGATCGTAAATCCATCAGAGTATCTCTTAATATACCTTAATTATTTACCTCATTTATTATCGTTAATTCAGCTGATAAGAATGCATGTCAGCTCTGTACTTGACTTATTATCGATTGAGGAAAAAAGGTTTGTTTTTTATGAGCATATTACATGTTCGTGCAATAAGGTGTTAATGTTGCATATCAGTCTGATTCGTTGATACAACGGAACGATAAATCTACCTTTGTTCACGGTGGATATAATGAGTGTACGCATTCTTCCTGGTCATTAGAGTGTCGTTAGTGACTCGGTTTACATTTCAGAGTAGTTTTGTTCCAAGTTCGAGAGAACTTGGGAGCGAAATTGTATTTTAAAATAAACGTGAGTACTTTTGTTTAATTTTTGGATAGTTGTTTAGATAACTAAACTTTAGAAATAAATACATTTTGACAACTGTTGCCATTTACTAATTAAAATACTTCTCGTTTGTTCGACTTATTCCTCTCGAAAGATCGATACTGTTGGAAAGTGAAAGCTGCGCTCGCCACGCAATAGTTGAACATCGTCGAAATCTTGCAGCATCCAGCTCACTTGTACTCCGGTGACTCAGTTGTGAGTCGATCTCGTTCGATCGCGAGTGTTCTCAGTTCGCGTGTGATGTCAAGGGTGAAATCTCATCAGTTCTTATCAAAAGAATGTTGAAAGTCTGAGAAACCCTCCGTTTAGAAATGTGAATCCTTTGTGTTGGAAGATAGTCGCCCTTACCAGAGGAGGTAATGAATCTAAAGTTATTGAAATACCGACATCATCAATTTCAATTTCAAACAAGTGAGGCAGATTAATTCTCGATTCGTCATCGTCGAGACGCGTAACGGTGGAGTAGGTCAGTGACAAAGAGAATAATATCGATCGTAATTGATTCGACGAGGCGAAAGAAACATCCAGAGAAAGCTGGCTAGCAGATGTTCGCGTGTATCGTTCGAAACGTCAGCTGCGCGGTAATTAATTTGTGTTTGATGATGTAAAATGGTCATAGGGGCCGGATGCGGTTGAAAACTGCGCAAATTAAATGAAGACGATGAATCAGAACGGAGGAAACGTAACGCAATTTCTGGATAATCGTGCCACGAAATTAACGTTAATCGTGGTAGATAATAGGACTCCGTAGAAAGCGATCAACTGAAACAGACCCACGTCGAGTGCTCCTTTAAGTTTTCCTCTAGTGAGTGTGCTGTTATCTTGACGATTGTTATTCTCTTCTTCTCGACTGAAAATTTCCAGAAGAACGTTTATTGGACATCTGTAGGATATTGGGTTATCACGTGGTTAATGGTGAATTTCGAAGCAGGAAAAGTTTCGCATAATTCGATGACAAAACTAATGCGAAGTAGCGATTATGTACAAGATGAAACTCGAAGTACAAGGAAAGTTACCACACATTTTGCCGATAGTCTTCGCGAATGTTCGGCTTCTGATTTCTCGTCGGCACCAAATAAGGTCATATAGAAGGAAAGAAGCGAGAAAATGAAAATCGCGTGACGTATGCTTGAAATATTTGTACGTAAACAGACCGCAACGTAATCGAATCACGTGGTGGATTCGTAATACGTGACCACGCTTGTTTGCACTTGTATGATTCTATCGCCTGCAAGAATGTTCATTGTCTCGTACTGTGTTTTGTTTTAAAACCGTCTATACCTACTAATCGATGCGATCGACTTTATGAAAATGCGCAAATTTCTCAGACTACGAGGGTTAAAAGCACAGGGGTCGGTAGTTGAGTTAGGGGATATGTACGAGGGGATGAATCTTTTGAGGGTGAACCAGGGTACAAATCCTTAAAGAGTATAGAGTAAAAATTTACTCTCTACGATCCAAAACATTTTAGTCGAAAAAATTGCGAATGGAGATTATAGGTTTATTCAGAAATATTTCACGATTCTGTCATGCTTCTCTTTTACGATTCATGCACTCGAAAATGGAAAAGGTCCACGATATTTAAGGCATTCTTACTGTGACACATTCCAAGCAGTCGCAATACACGTCGAAAGGGATTTTATAGCCTTCTAGCAGTTGTGTTGGAATATAAAAAAATCTCGATAAGTCTCTTCTTATTTGAAGATTTTTTATTCGAAAACTGCTTCAACTCTTTCCTACGTCTATTAGTGTACCATTTATATTAATTATCACACGAGAAAATTTAGAAGTCTACCCATCAAAGTTTACGGTTGCTCATCATGTCGAATAATAAAGCATTTCTATTCACAGATTCCAAAATATTTCGTACGATAAGATTACAAACAATCTACAAGTGATCTATTTATTACCTCAGATAAACACGGTCAAAAGATATCAGCAAGGTACCACACACCAAAATTATATGCACTCATTTTTAATCAGGTCTCTTATCGACGATGATAAAACGAAGATGGGATATAATGAAGTTATTGATAATCTTCGTTATGTGATTGAACCCTTATCTGTCGATCGTCGACAAGATTTCGTGTGTAAAATAGACACGAGACACAGTATATTTATTAATTCCAGCGCGATCAGACCGGCGGCTCGGAAGGCTGAATGGATACACCAAAGTTCGGACGCTTCAGGATCTTGTTCCTATTATGGCTGCTTCAGGTTGCATTGCCCGGTGCAGTTGCATCGTACAGCATCGGCGTAGGCAGAGCGGACACCACTGGACCCAGCGCTGAAGTCGTCTTTGTTAGTATTTTTCATTTAACCTTCGCATCTTTTCTATCATTGTAACTTTTTAAACATATTGCTTTTCTTATCACCAAATCTAAATTGTGCCATAAGAACGTAAAATTGCAAAAGTCAAAGTCGATGAAATTAGTGTACTTTCGTTTTTCGATAAGAGTGCAGTGTAGCGGCATGTTCGATCTGTATGGCAAGCAGTGAAACAGCTTTGTTTGTTTTCCAGATGGGCTATGCAAAGATCGATCAGAAAGGATCAGGAATTCATCTTCGAACATTCTCGCGAGCATTCATCGTCGACGATGGGGAGCAGAGATTCGTCTTCGTCAGCGTGGACAGCGCGATGATAGGAAACGGTGTTCGCCAAGCGGTAATCCTTTCGCTTCTACCCTCTTTCTGCGCTCACGATCCTTGATTCTCCAATTTACCAAGGAATTTCATGCGTCGCTGGTGAACGTTTTCGATACCGGACGTTTCAAAATGAATGCTCTCAAAGGTCTGTTTTTGTTACAGGTGTTGCAGAAACTTCAGCCACAGTTTGGCGACATGTACACGGATAAAAATGTGATGATCAGTGGCACACACTCGCACTCTACGCCGGGTGGGTTCATGCTGGACATGTTGTTCGATCTCACCACTTTTGGTTTCGTTAGAGAGACGTTCGATGCGTTGGTCAACGGAATAACAAAGGTAAAGAAAAGAGTACAGTCATTGTAAGAGAATTGAAATGTCCTTTATAATTTATTTACAGTAAAGATGATACATTTTACAGAGTATAGAACGTGCTCATAATGCAGTGGTGCCCGGTCGGATATTCATCACCTACGGCGAGGTGCAAAAAGCAAACATCAACAGGAGTCCCTTGGCGTACCTCAACAACCCGAAAGCAGAAAGGGACAGGTATTCTTAGCCTCTCAAACCTGTTGCGTTCAGAGTTAAGACTTAAATTTTCAGGTACAAGTACGACGTTGACAAGGCCATAACGCAGATGCAGTTCATTGGAGCCGATGACAGACCGTTAGGTGTGATCAACTGGTTCGCCGTGCATCCGACTAGTATGAACAACACTAATCACCTGGTGTCCAGTGATAACGTCGGCTATGCGTCGATTCTTTTTGAAAAAGCGATGAACCAGGAATCATTAGTTGGAAAGGTGAGACGCCCTTCCATGCACGGTGACTTTGATCATAGAGTAAGTTGCACAGGTATTCGTCAATTGTTAACGACCTGCTTGCTGTTCGTCTTGCATCCGTTTGTATTGCTATGATAGTCCCAAATAATTTGACCGATGAGAAAAGTGCTGGTGCAGAAATTTACTTTCTGATTTATTTGATAAATTGTAAAAAGCTGGGCCTTCGTTGGGTGCAGGGTCCCTTCGTGGCAACGTTTGCATCCTCGAACCTGGGCGATGTTTCGCCAAACACGAGAGGTCCAAAGTGCGAGTTTTCCGGGAAGAATTGTTCGGAACAGTGTACTTGTCCTGGAAAGAAGGAGGCTTGCTTCGCTTCGGGCCCAGGAAGGGACATGTTCGAGAGTACCAGTATCATTGCCAATAAAATCTTCAGAGAATCGTGGGTAAGTCACCTTGCATGCCTTTAATCATATGCTTGAAAATAGGTAGTGGTGCTAAAATGTTTGATGCAAGTAATGTTGAAGACATATCGGAAAAATAAGATTCAGAAAATTTTAGTCGAATATTTTACTTTTTTCGAGCTAGTTGTGATGATATTCTAGTTATCACAAAGATAAGAGTATCAGAAGAATTTAATTTATTTCTAATCCTCCGTTGAATTAGATTAATTATCAAATTCATTGATCTGTACTCTAGTATTTCCAACACCGATTGGCAGTGCGTAAAGATTAAACAGCACGAAATCGAAGACATTATTTATTTTTAGTATCAGCAAATTTCGATAATACTGAGATAATTTTACTATTAACCACGCAGTTAATTCTGCAAAATTTTCAACCGTAAAGATGGAAATATTTCTTCCAAGATTCAACCTAGTTAATTAATATTTACTCGATGCGCATCATAAATCTTTCAAGATTCTTTTTGTTTCTTCCATTCCGTACAATTGTTATGAGCGCAATAGTAAAAAGTTGCTACTTTTGTATACCTCCGGTCGGAGGAAACGGTAATTAGAATACGCTTGATGAATAATATCGTGGTCAGAGGCGTAAAAAAAGAAAACCTCTTACAAGCGTACGCAGAAGAAAAATCATAGATGCGAGATAATAACCGGAGTAACGAAGAAAATTATGCGCGAGCTGAGAGTGGCTTAAGTATTAATTAAAAATAAACGCAACTGATGCAAATGGAAGCCCATTTATCTTCTTAAATCATTTTCTCTCGATTTTCCGTTTTTCTTGCTTCTGCGAAGGAGATTTTTTGTTTTTCGAGAAGAAAGCGATGTCCACGTTGAATTATAGAAACACGTTCAGTGAATAAAATGTACAGCGTAAAGTTAAACTTTTCGTCCGAAATAAAACTAATTTTTCTACATTTGTTAATCTATTACTATCCAGCCTTCTACTCTGTTAAAAGAATTTTATTTCGTTCACGGAGGTACATTAAGCTGTTCGAAAATAGCTCGTGTAATATGGTAAATAAATTTATGACAAAGTAGCTTCCACAAGCTTGTTTGGTCATGGTCAAAGGGGAATCCTTGTCGCGTATCGAGTTTACGAAAATTGTGTAAGTTAAGGATTGAAGTTTCTGCAATTTCCTGTTCGACAAAGTTTCCATTTGCCTGAACACCCTTGTATCCTAGAGTAAATGAAAATCGCTTCCAATCCAAAATGAAGGCAAAACAAGGTTAAACTTTCGTCACTGTGATCTAATAGAGTGTCAATATTATAAAGTATACCAAATGCGAACAATTATTTTGCGAAGAAAAAAGTGAATGAAGATATCGTATCTAATTCCGCATTGATAAATCGAACTGGGCTTTAACAATTCAAAATTCTTAATTACCCTTGACAAATACTTCCTTGTTAAGTAGGTCAGCTGTTAATTAGTGAGGTAATTAGAAATAGCTTCGAATTAGAACTTCGAATTAGAAATAGATTTTAGCTAATAAAAATTCTTAATTATCCTTGAAAAATTTACTTTCTTTCTAATTACCTTGGTAGAATGGATTTACAATTATTTCAGACAGGTAAAAAAACATCGAGAAACACTGAATGCTTCATAGAATCATTTCTTTATTTCACAAATAGATTTGATTTTACTACAAGATTGTCAATCTTCCGCGTTTATTGAGTGAGGTAGAGAGAAGTGGCTTCGATTGCAAAAGTATTGATTCGAACGCAGTAAAGAAATTCAAATCACAAATTGTACTTTCGATTGAAAAATTTCCAAGCTCAAACTCGACTCACAAAATCGTATATCTACACATAATCTATAAATATTCAATTAAAAATTGCTCTGGAGTCTTGCAAATCGATTGCAACTCCAAATTTCAACACGCGGATGATCGATGAATAATCCGTCATCGATCGATCATCAACGTGTTCGTTTAAATAGTCCCTCGATCCTTCACCTTCGATCTGACCCTGTATAATAGGTTCCTCCTCTCGCAAAATTAACCCCTCACCCTCATTATTTTCTTAAACAAATTCTCGGTACAAAGAAAAAATAAATAACAGATGCGCAAATGAACAGAGGGAGAAAGTTAAATTTCCTGATCCAATTGAGAAGTTACCCGCGTTATGATGCGAAAGGTAAAGGGTTAATTCTCTCTCTAAATTAGGCACGCGTTTAATAGTGTTTGTCATAGTCCTCGTAACTGTTGTAATACGCTGGCGATATGTACTTTGCGACGGGTATGGGTTTCGGATGAACAGCTGGTCCAACTTTCTTCACCACAGCGTTGAAACCGTTATGGTCGTCAGCGGTGTATTCGACGATCCTGACGCTACCGTCGGGTTCGTTGACACTGTAGGAACCATGAACTACGTCACCGTCGCGTACCTCGTGCTGGGTCTTCACGTCTCCTGTATGGGGGTCGTGGACACCGTAGTTGAACGTGTACTTTGGATGGGCCTAAAAATATAATTTCATTAGCAATTTTCTATCAGAGATTATCATAATCTGGAAGATGTCTTATCTATCTACGTAAATCGAGTGTCATTATCAAAAGGCAATTGTCCGCTAATCAATTCGATCAACAGTTCCAAATAAATCACCGATCATTTCTTACTCGGAGTATATTAAATAAATGAAAATATCACGTGTTTCAAAGGAGAGAAGTAGAAACTTTGAAGTCAAGCTGCATACGTTCAATTGAAAATTTCGTAAGCTGTTTTCCGCAGGGCAAACACGTACGTGTCATAATTCAAAGGCATCTAGGATCTTAAAAATGGACAAGCGACGCGAGAAAGCGTCGCGGAAACGGTAGCGACAATGAGATACATCGCGGAAGGTTTTCCTATGCCAAGCACCACTTTTCACAGCCAGGAATTTCAATTAACAGGCAGGTGACGCCTCTCGAAATCGAGTCATCGTTATTCTTTGGCTATACAATTTTTCGATCGTCTTCAGATCGACAATTTATATGCTATTCTTCCTATCAGTCTCTTACACTTGGAGATTCGAGAAAGTACCCGGAATACATGATTAATCCCGCCATATCGAATCAATAGAAGTTCATTAAAATATGAATGTAATATTTTTTTAAAGACTGGCTCTTCTCTTCTTTCTTCCCTTTCATTTTTTATACTTCAATGCTTCATAAAAAGGAACAAAGTCGTGCTAAGAAACGTTTATCTCAGTACAAAATATATTTTATCATTTTAACCATCGAACACTTACATAATAATCGTGATCATGATCACCACGATGATCGTAGCTGTGCGCTCCATGATCAAGGGTCGCGGTCAAGTGGACAGGCGAGGCGGACACCGCGTGCACCGGAACTGCTACCGTTGGTAGCACCGCGTGTCCATCGTATTCCGCTGATCCTGAATGCGCGTATCCTTCGTAAGCCTCGTAATCGCTGTACGAGAGTCCATGGCCCCCGTTGTATCCGCTCAGGACCACCGCCTTGCAGACTGCGATAGTTGCGCACGAAAGAAATAAAACCTGAAACTACCACGAAATCAGCTACTGAAATAGGGTTACGAAAAAATACAATTCGATTCGCAAGTGATTTCGAGCTCGAATAAAGCACCACGGTAGTCACAGAGCCGTGTGGATACGAAATCGATATCCTATCAAGGGCGATTTTCACTCGAATCCTTTGGCTGACGCTCCTTTTCGGTTGATAAAAATGCTGCCCACGTATGGTCAATAAATCAGCGACATAGACAGTCGCAAACTGAACAGGATCATGTGTAACATTTTACGGGATCGATGAAAAAGCAACTTTTGTAATAACGATCTCTCCTCTTTCACGGTTTACGAGCAGGCGACGCGTTTAAACGGTTCCTCGGTGAATTATGATGGAAAAATCCGCGAAACGAGCTGTTGAAATAGCTGATAACTTTTCATTAGCCTGAAATCGCGTATCCGTGCTTTGTATAATCGATCACCCGGTATCGTTACTGTGACGATCGGTGGCGTAAGCGCGATGGGGTTTTTAATTGGTGAGTTTAGCAGGGTTTTTAAAGAACCCTTCGAAGGGTCGACGAACGGAAAGCATGGAAAGTTATCGAACGGGGCGAGAAAGTTACTCGCGTTTCATCTTTCGCGTCGCTTCGTGGCCTTCGACGTGTCTCTTCTGCTCGAAGAAAAGTATCCTTTTTCACTTTCTCGCCGACCTTGCTTCGTAAACTAATACGAACGGAAGTGGTCAATTCCCCGGTTTCCGTATCGCGTGAATTCCGACGATTGACCGCAAAGTTCGATTTGTCGATCGTTCGCGAACGCGTATCGCCTGTCTCCAAGATCCGGTGGTCGAAACTGATCCTCCAACTTAAAGAATCGACGCGTTGAACCCTTGTAACTGGTGTTAGAAAAGATACGGATTTCCTTTTTAAATTGCGAACGGTTTGTCAGACAAGACCTAAGAATCCCGATTAGCCACAAGGAAATTTCTTCCTGTTATAATTCACTTTCAAATCCGCGTGAACTTAGCAAACGTAGAAAAGCTCGCAAGAATCGATAAAACATATTAAATACCTGGAACGAAGATAACAATGTTAATAAAAAAGTTCTTCCGAAACTATCTGACTTTGATATTAATTCTCCCGGGGTAAGGTTCCCGGTTATTTATCAAAGCGGAGATTATTCCCCAAGAACAAGCAGACACCCATTTGCCGACCCATCTTAAGGATATTCCGGTCCAAAAGTGCGAGAAAAAGAATCCAATAAAAGTCTCGATAAAAAATTCAAGGAAATTAATGTGTATCGAGTGTCACAAATTAGTGGGGACGGATCGCGTGCAGCTTAAACTACCCCAGCTTAGAAAGAAGTAAAGATCTAATCAATTAATCGTCCTTGCCCTTTAAGTGAAAGTAGTATTATTTACAGGAGGTAGTTTTTTCGAAGAATTTGTATCGTTAATGCAAATAGGGCAATTTGGGGGTTTAGTGATTGTGGAATATAAGCTTTGCAAATTTGAACATTATAGAATTTGGGGATCTGGATTTGTAACTTCATATATGATGAAGTGTTTTAAGGATGCTGAGTTCACCATCCCTACCTAGTTACACCGATATACTGTACCATTCTGCACAAGTGTATAACTATAGTCTAGTATGTCTGGTACTAGTTACTTTCAAATTATACGAACTCTGAGGGAAACTAAATATTTTGAAAAATATTAAAATGTGAATGATAAATATTTTCTATGTACAATATCCTAACGTCACTCGGAGTTATATCTTGACCCAATCGAGTCTATATATCGAACACCAGAGTCGACTACCACGCACGCACACAGCGATTCCGTGTAATTTCGATCGTCGTACCTTCAGCATGCTGATCAAGTTGTACGGTGTCCCGTGTGTTAAAACTGTGTATGGGAAAACGACGCGATACTCACTGATAGCCGTCATTCCGAGACGATGCTCTTTATATCTATCTCCCACCCGAGGCGTGTTTCGTTCCCGGGCAAAAGCTCTCCTGTACTCCTTCCATCCCATGGTTGCCCACCCCCACTTGGATTCGTCTTTCTTCCTGTGAGAAGACAACCAACAGACGCACATACGGTAACCGCGCGTTTATCCACGTGCCGGCTACCTAACCGGCGAAAGGATGCTCGTTTTCTTGCCGCCACTTCCGGTCAACACAGAACTGCCAGATTGACCGAAAGATCAAGATATCCTTTCTTTAGAGTTCAACCGTTTGTACCTTTGATCTTTAGACATGTAATTATTTTATACGCGTCTTGCTCGTTCGCTAATTAGCCGGCTTATTAAAAAATAATGTGTACCCTGTAGAATAGGTATTGTCCCATGTTCATCGGTGCCCTAATTACTAAACATTCTCCTCCGTATTACTCTGAACTCGATGATCGTGGATCATGAATGACCGTTTCCTAATCTGTGTAATCGAAACTCGACAGCTTGAAGACAGGAAAAAGATTTATTTAGCAAGAAAATGAGTATGCCGAAAGAGGGGCGTGGTTATTGCCACTGTGTTACGACGAGTGTCGCAATATTTAAGAGAGTAGGAACAAAGGTTGCTCGGATGGTCGTGTGCATAAATAATGGAGCACACCTTCTTTCGTTGCACTAATCTCGTGTTCGATGTAATCGCGGACTAAATAATTCCCTCGCTGTTTACGATACCAGATCCTTAATCTTGCTTAAGCGAGTGTGAAGGCAAGATACGGTAGCTCCTTTGTTTAATTCCCGTTCGAGATACGGGTCGATAATGGTAATGGTTAAATCAAGTGCACGCTCATCTCGCAAGCTGTCTATCACTGATCCGGAAAGACCAATTATTCCACGAACGCTCGTTCGTTTTCGGCTAGTTCCACACCCGCAAAAATTGTGATCAAAATTCGAACGGTAACCGCGTTAAAATTGCTTTAGTATTCAGCAACTTCCTCGCGAGCAAAAATGATCGCGAATCGAGATAAAACAAAGGAATAAAGAATTCGCATGTAAACGTAGCGAACAGAAGAACGCGGACGAGATTACGATCAAACTTTTGCATCCTCTGACATAAAGATACCTATCCTTTTTTCATCTCGAATAATTCACGTGTCTTTGTTTGAAATTCAGACGTTCGAGATGACCGGTCGAACTCGACCGGTTTAAAAAAGGACTGCTCATTTAGAAGTTGTGCTTTATACGGCCTTTTTCTGCTTACAAATCTATTCTGATGAGTCCGGAGCAAACTGTTGGACAAAAGCTGGTTTTGCATGGCAAAATGTTTATGATGTTTATGAAGCGTGAATTTCAATTTGATACGATTTTCTTGGGGAAGATAATTCAGACGAAATAACTTTATTTTGTAAATTTCAGGCATTTTGAATATTCTGACACGTGCTTTGCATATTTCAATTTATTACGAATACAGGAATTTTTGTTACTTAATAATACCGTAACATTTGAACATCTGGCATTAGGGGTCGTACAGTTTTTAGAGTAATTTAAAAACTAGTATTGGAAATCCTCGTCGATCTCTCTTTTTTTTTGTCAAAGCGGAACTCCTAGAAATTGCTCCTGAGGACCTTGCGAGTACGTGTTTTACGGCCAGTTAAAGTAGATAATGTCCATGGTCAGACGGCGTGAAAGGATCATTAAGGAAGAGTACCTGTTACTCGAGCCATTTTGTGAATCTCAAAAAGCCTTCTTTCGACATTTTCAAATATCGTTTCGTAATTTCTTTGCCTCACAAAACCGTAGTTCGCTCTAATCTCGTATTGCGTCCTCGCGTTTCGAAATATTAAACTCACAAGTGATTGAAATTTGTTTTGACGGCTCAATTTCTAACTCGTCACGGTAGAAATTGAAAGTCTTCTCTTACGATCAATCATAAATGGAAAAGTTTTTGTCTCATGATCGTGAAGGAAGGAGCACGCACCGATGCTGAAGCGACGCGAATGGGAAGTTAGCCGACACGTCCTATTATTCTCCTTCCGTTTCTAAAGCGGTCTCCGACGACCGCCTGGAACCTGGAAGAGGCCCAGAACTCGTTGCTGTTACGATTCTAACAGCCGTGAAACCGTGAAAGGTTGGCTCGTGACCGTAATGCCAAAACGATCAGATACTTTGCTAATGCCTGTTTTATGTACGACCGTTCACCGTGTGTCGTCGCGACGATTCTTGTTAGTATGACTGGCACACTTTCAAATACCAGAATGAACGATCACGGAAAAAGATTACACTCCCATCGCGAACCGAGTAGCTTTTTCGTCGCCAATTTCCGGTTTAACGTTTCTGCATCTCTCGAAATTTCCTGCCTCGTGCAGTTCCTAATACAATTTTCAATTTACACATATTTGAGATTGCAGAATAGTATTTTTCATCGTATGATCAAATTGAAAGGATCGTAAAAGGAGCTCATTTCTTAAAAGGCTTAAGTATTCGGAACAAGAAGAGTGCAAACGAGTGTTCTCTTAATCCAAATCCCTCCATGATGGAAGGTTTTCCCTTCTTTCTCTGTTTCGTTGCTCTCCTCCTGTCACGCCTCTGTCAATCGGATATTGTATGACGCAACTCATTGTTTACGAGCGGCATTTCAATACAATCGTGTGAGAACTCCATGAAACGTGGGGAAGAAATATCCCGGCGTATCCTTGGCACACCCCGATACATGTACCGTTTGCCAGAATCGAGGCTCCAAGCGTTTTCGACTTTCAAACACGATTTGACAAAACTGCTTTTCTTTCAAAACTCAGATTTCTAACCATAAATTTCTCGTCAAACACCTGGACTTTCCGGATCTTGACGACCTTAAAGTTCACTGAGTTTTCAACTCGATGTTCCTTATAATTGCTCGAACCAATTCGTATCCCACGATCTCGTTGTGCAAGTCGATTACCGGGCGTTGTCGAGTCACAGAAACCCACGTAACGTACACGTACACGAAATCACGAAAAGGGTGACGTCGAGAAGAGAAACAGTAGAGGGGAGGAGAGGTAAAAAAATGGAACGAGCAAAACCGGCACGGTGATCCACGTGTTTACACGTTCCTGTTCCCACGTCGGTTGAGGCAGGACTTTGCAATCGCCTGCTATCTTTCCTCATTATATGGTTTATCTCGAATCTTTAGAGACACGATTCTGCTTCCGTGCATGAAAATTCTTTGCCCGCGAAACAAGCGTGTGCGTCGAGCTCAAAGTGCCATCGTTAGCGGTCGATAAGGGAGGTTTACGAGTTGGCTTCGACGAACTTGCAAGATTTTTTAACCGAGGGTGTGAATGAGAGTCGCTATGGTCATAGGTTTTAGCTGCTGAACAGTCTGCTTCTTGTATGTAGCAATTTAGAAATATACGTTTCGAAACACCAAAGATTACTCTGAAAATAGCATCCTTACCAAATTGGCTTTTAAGATGAGTTCATAAGTATTACATTAATTGCGTCATAAGTTCCGCGTGTAGTAAATTGCACAGCATCCTGTGTACAAAGGCTGAACGCATCGGAAAAGAAAAGAATTCGTCGATTTCCTTTAGCCTTCTTGAAATTACTACGTTCACGACGATCAAATCGAAGGTGGATATTCATGATTCATCCGGATGTTGCGCGAAGTCCTTGCCAGCCAGAAAATTGCTCGTAAATTCGGCGTTACATAGGCGGATTATGAGGCCAGCTCGCGATCTCGTTTCCTAGTTTTACTCGTTAATTCGCCTGGTAACTGTAGCCCCCTTTCGCCGTCGCCTTGCGTAATCCCTCAATTATCTTTTAATTATATGCGAAAGAAATATGCGTAACAATGTCCACTTTCCAAATTCTGCAAACTATTTCAGTAGACCCTGTCTTGGCACAGAGGATACAAACTTCTCTCGATATTACGACGGTCTTCGCGCCTTCTCATGGCGATATAACGCGACATTTTTGACCATGCCACGCACGCCATCAGGAAATAACGGGACGAATAAGCTAGAGGAATAAAAGTTGAAAAGGACAGCTTCCTCCCGAGTTACGACACGGTTATTCAATCGAACGAGTTTCACTCTCGTTCGTCCGGAAAGCCACGCATGTGCGTGAATCCAAATGCAACCGAGTAGACTATTCAAAGTTTTGACCCGTCGCATCGCCTTACTGCTCTGGAATGACAAGAGCTTCCCTGTTTGCTGATTTCTAGTATCAGGAAGTAGAACCAGTTCGTCCTTTCCACGTTTCTAGTACATTCAATTTCCTTGGATTTGGCAATGGTTCGAGAAAAGTTCTACCGAAGGATTTGAGAAGGGTTTACTGAGGCTGTAGACTACTGATAGCTTGATTAAATTTTTGTACAGTCGGTGTATAAATATACTCGCGGCCAATGTAATCTTTTAGACAACTCATAGGCAGGAAATAACAGGAAACGTACTAGTTCCATTTCCTATCAGCACCATTCTTTCCCATTGTTAACTTGACACTAATAAGAAATTGTGTTTTACTCCCATCGAACAGATATCAATTTATAAGATTGCGATTTGAAGCAAGTAGAACCAAATTTAAGGAACGTTTCGAAACAGCTTGGGTGAACAAATACGTAGACCATAAATCCAGCTATCTAGCTGGAGCTAATAGAAACGAGATAGTCGTGTTCGAGTATCGGTAGAGTTACGAAGTCCATGAATCGACTCGATGACACGATGTACACGCTCTACGAAAACCCTTTCGAGACAAGACAGCGGCATAGTGGGAAAAAGCGGTGGAACGAGGTCAGATCGCATGGTTCCTTCGCGATCCTTCCCAGAACGCGCCACACCCTGCAAGGACGACGTTTCTTCCTCGAGTAACTCTTGGACTGCCTTCTTTTTTTTCACAGACGACTCGTGAATCACGCTACTGTGCAACGTTTTCACACGTCTCGTGGCAGTGAAAGGTGTTAACACACGCCTGTTACCCCTAACATGTAATCGAGACAAATGATCCTCTTTATGGAATCAATTCTTAAGTTCTACGTTTCTTTTTTTATCGAATTTCACGTCTACGAGTTTCTGAAATTTACATTTCTATAAATACATTTCATTTCGGTCGGAAAGACTAATCACGCAACGAGACTTAATCGTAACTCAATCAGGGACAAATCGAACACGTAACGTGACGTTAATCGGCATCCATCTCGACGTTCCATCACCGTGGTTAATCGTCGTTATTATTAAAACAAGCTTCCTTGGTCCGGTGTTCTTGACCGCGCACGATTGCAACTCGTATTGGCGGGCCTCACGCGCGTATTACTACGTTCTACGTTCCCTGACCGAGGGAAAGTGGCGGAAGGCAAGGTTGCGTGTGTACGAGAAGATGAGATCTCAGATATCGAACAACACGACGTGCATGAAACCGAGAGATAGAATTGCCGCGAGGGTTCTTACCGAAAGGAACAGTGATTTTAGGGGTAGATGGAGAAAGGGTTGAAAGGTCGGTGTTCGAAAGGATAATAGATGGACCGGAAAGGATGGCAAATGACTCGATAGCGTGGAGCAAGGGACAAGAAGCTGGAGCGAACCAGGAACGAATAGGGATGTTCTTTTATCGCTGGCTTTGAAAGGGTCGGTTCAAATATTCTTGGATACCAACATTTTATTTTGGTATTTCGCTTCTGCATCAACATTTTATATTTATTTTACGTAAAGTAGCATAAGTTAAAAATTAGCACGCATGGCCGTTTTCACTGTAACGCCAGCGCGTTAATTATTTGCATCTTTTATACAGGCGCATCCATAACGAGGTGGGAGCTGACGTCTCCTTACGTTCACACGCGTTACAGTTACATTACAATGATACAAGCCTTCCTTTGATCGGCATTGAACCATTTACCGATTTCCTATTTACAGTCATACTTCTTGGTAAGACACAGCTTTCGTTCGACCGCGATTAATCTTCGCTCTTCCGTTTCCGTTTGAATCGAGAGGGTGAACCTCGACTAGAAATTGGCGTCAGAATACTAGTACATCGGTCGAGTACTTTATGCGTTCTTTAACATAAAAAATATTTCTTAACACGCACAAGATGCGTAAGATAGTATACGATGCGTCGGCAATTGGAAACGTTCGAATACGATTCGCAGCACGCTCGGAATACACTTTCGCCCTCGTGGAACAAACGACGGAATAGAGAGAGGAACCGCGGAGGCAAGAAGACGATAATTAACATACATTCGCATGCTCTTTAGCCGTGACGCGACCGGCGAAGGTTCCGCCGGTTTCGAGAGCCGCGTATTTAGCATCATAAAGCGAGAACGGTCGGAGAACAGCTTCTATCCAGCCAGGCGGATGCGTTTGAATGCGTGCCTGGCTGGATAAGCTGTTGTGTGCGTGTACACGCGTTGCGTTGTTACCGCAGACATCTCGATTCTATATTCATGTTCCGTTGCCTGGCGATTGCAGCGGCTCTGGCAGTACGGGAACGCCAAGGAAGTGATCGGACCCCTTCGCGTGGTGCATCGATACGTGAACATGGCGGAACAGACGGCCGAATTCTACAACCATACCTCCGGAAGGACCGAAACGGTAACGTGGAATCATATTTATTACCATTACATTCCCTTGCTAATGGATGTTAACATCCTCTTTTATAAATAGCGATAACAGTTCGAGCAATGTTTTCTTGATGCTCAAGTTACTAGATAAAGCAATATCCTAACGGTGTGGTTGGTTCATTAGGTGCACGGATGTGAACCAGCGATGGGGTACAGTTTCGCGGCCGGAACGATCGATGGACCAGGTTCGTTTGCCTTTGAACAAGGTACCACAACCGATAATCCCTTGTGGAACACGGTCCGCAACTTGTTAGCATCCCCCACAGCCGAGGATGTAAAGTGCCACGAACCGAAGCCAATTCTACTTGCCACTGGACGCGTAAGTCATCTCCGTTGACCCAAAATGTGATGCATATTATTGCACATCGACTGAACCAATAATCGAAGTTACTTCGTACCGAATGAAGTACTTCATACCATTTCCAAACTAAACGTCGAAAATCGAGTGAGCCAATATTTAGACAAGGGTATATTCGGTTGGAAAGTTGCGAGTCATGAAATTTATTGATCAGATGACCCTACCGTACGAATGGCAACCAAAGATCGTGGCAACGCAAGTCGCACTGATCGGGAACGTTGTCATTGCCGGTGTACCAGGGGAATTCACAACAATGTCCGGAAGAAGATTGCGAGAGGCTATCAAAACGGTCATGAACGATGCGTCCAACGACGAAACCTCCGTTATAGTCGCCGGTCTCTGTAATACTTACAGTGATTACGTCACTACGCCAGAGGAATATCAAGTAAATCATAGATCATCTTTACGTTCGCTTGCTGCTAACCATTTTGAATAATTTATTACCCACTGCTATCGTTCTTCTCGCCTTAACGGATTAGAAGAGTTCAAATTTTGATTACCATCGATTATTTTTTCTTTCTTTTCGCTTTTAGATTCAAAGGTACGAAGGTGCGTCTACCATATTCGGACCGCATACGCTAACAATTTATTTGAAGCTGTATCAAGAACTTGTGACAGCTGCCATTATGGTGAGCACCCGTTGTGTCTAATCGACGACAAACTCGACGAATCTTGCGACGATTTGCATGGTTTTAGAAAAGGGACGTGGAACCCGGACCGTCTCCTCCTGACCTAAGGAAGCATACACTTCTCAGCTTCGTGACACCTGTTCTGTTCGACACTCCAAAGTGGGGCAGAAATTTTGGTGATTGTATTCAACAGCCGCAGAAAATTGCTTTACCTGGCGACGTTGTTACCGCAGTATTCGTGAGTAATAAAATGTTATAGTTACGATAGTGATAATTAAGGCATATAACACTCAAAGCGTTAAAGAAGAAATAATTTGCCGTGCAATATCGAGTAAGGTAATGAAGACCGTGACCCAGTTAGACTTAACATTGTGGTCGTCGTGGAAACGTTATGCAAAATGTTCCATAATAGAATAGGAATAAAATGATGCACAAGTCGTGCGTCGACGTAATGACAGTACAAATGTTCACGGTCCACTGAACGATTAAAATGATTTCTATTCATACGTGTTAAATTCAACTTCGAGGACATTGTAAATGTTATTTCATTTATAATTTTTTATCATCTGAGGAAATGTCGCGAGTTTGATTCTTCATTTTCTGCAGATTTCTGGTCATCCACGTAACAATCTAATGACGGAAAGCACGTTTTTGACGATTGAGAGGTTGGGAGACGACGAGGTATGGATTCCCGTCGCCACAGACGCTAGTTGGGAAACCAAGTAAGAATTCAGCAAACCTATTTTAACTATAAGTTAACGAAATCATTAAAAACTGGATGGATGAAAAGGATAAGTAGGTAAAATAGACACTTCATACGGTGTTATCGATACAGATTCGAGTGGAAGAGGACATCCATGGTTCTCGGTTCGAGTCAGGTGGCCATTACGTGGCAAGTCCCCGAGGACATCAAAGATGGGGAATATCGTATCAGACACAACGGTTACTATCGTTATATCCTTGGCGGCGTCTTCCCTTATTACGGGGTATCGAATCACTTCCAGGTAAGTTGAAAATCTCTCGAAGAAACAACGTCGTAGCGATGCCAACTCGAGTCATGTCAGTTCACAGAAAATTCTAACAAACGTTGTCACCCGAACACATATTTGTATCGGTTCAACACGCTTCGCTATCACTGCTAAATTTAGTCAACATACTTTACCGTGAGTCACGTTACTTTATATCGATCGTTTCAGGTTGTAACCAGAGGGTCAAGAAATCATGGGCCATACGTCTACTAACCATCGTTGATGTTTCTATTCTCGAACGAGAAATATTTACGCTTATATTTACGACTGAATCGAGGATAATTTGACGGTAAATGCCATAAAATAACAAGAAAGAAAGAGAAGAGATTTTTGTATATACAATTTTATGTTACGTATGTGTGTAATCTTTTTGGAACGTATAAAATGTCGAATGACATGGATGTCCAGAGTGATATAGAAATAAACGAGAAATTTATACAAATTACTTGACTACCCTCGTGAAAAGTAATTTCGTACAATAGAATCCTGGAATCGATATCTTCGATACTCTTCGATCAATGGAAAAGTTTTTGTGGCTCGTAATGCGAGATTTTATTATCAAAGTTGGGACGGTTAATACTCTGTCTATGGGTAAACCTCAACTTTTGTCTGCATGAAATTTCTTTCCAGGAGCTTGATGCTCGACACTGATACGATTACGATGTCATTCTTTGAAGACAACAAGGTTGGCAAAGTTCATTCTGAAAATTTAGACGATTTGAGGAATCTTCTCGACATGTTGAAAGTAATTATGTGATTCAATGTGTAAATTTTCTAAATAATAATAGTGACATTTTCTTGAGCGTGCCAGTAATCGATATGCAAATCGAGTAAAAGAAACAAGACAGATCCGATTTTCTTTCGAAGAATTAATTAAATTCGCTCGATTGAATCTTACCCGATTGAAGGAGAATCAATTCCAGGAAAGGTGGATGTTAATCCCAGGATTGTAACACACTTTCGATATTTTTTGTTATGCATACAAAACTGGGGTTGCTTGTTTTTCAAATAAATCGATTCTTTCCAGAAGGAATTTAATAAGACCGAGCCATAATTTGATCGCTGTTTCAAAAAGTAATTTGCCAGAAAACAATTGGAATCCGGGGTGAATATTCTGAGAGGTTTCTCGAGGAGTTTTATCTCGAGGAGCGTCGTCCTTTTTTGCAGGAAATACTTTAGGACACTTTGTATAATTTTATTGGAAGGAAACGGAACTAAGGTTCTTTAACCCGTGAAAACTTTGACATCAAAGACCCTTCTTTTCCCGTTCGGTCAACGAATTTCCTTAGTCATTGTTGAGAACGAGGAAAGTAATCAGTATTTGGTCGATGTGTGATTCCCTGATTATTCAAACGAATCAATTAAGGCGACGACATGAAACGAGTCATTCAGAAAAAGGAAAAATAGAGAATCGCGAGATATCTTGTGCCTCGCTCTGACGTCTCGTGAGAGACGCTGATAACCAGCAGCTGATAATGAACGATAAGTTGCGCATAAAAACGACCTCTTCAACTTAAACCGCCGATTAAAATCTATATTTAAAATGTAAATGTTTTGTAAGTGCGTGCAAAACAGTTGGTCGGAGAGAAACTTGGTCACGTACGCTAAGATTCCAGTAAAAGACTGTTCGTCAATATATTAAGATGAACTTTCTTGAACTTTCACTCTCCTTCTTCATTTTCTCTATACCGAAGAAAAAAGCCTAACAGTTTCGAGTTTCACTTTTCAAGTCCAAACAGTTGGAGCACAAAATATTGCGACGTTAGTTGCTCGAAGGATGTTGTTAGTTTTCCACGACACTCGACGCAATAGAGCTGCGCAAAATTAAAAAGTTTTCATCCTTGAAAGAAATTATTCCGACTAGTACTGCGTAACAAGGATCGAGTCGATAAACCGCGAAATTAGCTCACGGTAGAGTAGAACGAGTTCGCATCCAACTTTGCGATGGTAACGTGATGCGTTAAAGTCGATATATTCCCCAAACAGCATCAGAGAAAGGACCATCGTAAAACTTGCTTCGTCCACCTTCAAAGATAATTAGAAACTAACCAACCCGCAAAAAAAGCCACCGTAAAATACAACTACGGTTTTGTATCGAGAAACGTCCTCGAACTCCGGTCAAATGACACGGTAGAAATGAACCCGAAAGCTTTTGAAAGCTGGAAGCCTCGCAAAATCGGCTACGTCATCGACGAGTTAAACGACACGGACCGAATTCGACACTTCTAAACAGGAGCTCCACTCGAAGAGCTTGGTTCTTTCGCGGAACGAAAAATACAGACAGCAGGGTTATTTCTCGTACGAAATGAAGCGAAAAGAAGGGGTTGCAGGGTTTAGGATTGTCTTGGAGGGTGTCGTTTTCGAGTACAAGGTCACGTGAATTTCGTCGACCGTGTTCGAACGTTAGACAATTGAAAAATCGAGGAAATTCAGATGTCTGCAAAAGGGAAAGAAGGAAACCTGATGGATAACCACCCGAGTCAAGATTTACGAACGTGATAGATGCCCTCGGTGTTGAATCGATCCACAATATTTTTAAATCAACAGGAAACGAAAGAAAATTACAATGTAAAATATACCACAAAATTCTTACACGATACGAAAAACATACTCGAATGTAATGTAAAGAATGAATTGTCTGGAAATTTAATATACAATGGTTGTTTTTGCGGCTAACCTTAAATCCTTAAACGCGAGACTTTATCATTAAATAAGCGTCCAACGTTCATCGGTATCCTCATTATAATATCAAATGAAATTTATTCAGTTCTTTAATCATTTGTTTCTTCGGATTCTTCAAATTCATATATGTATAACGGACTAAACGTTTCGAGCAAATCCTTTGATATGAAAATTTCTTTCGGTGGTAAACAACTTGTTCGATGAATGAAATCTACCGAAGCAACAAAATCCGTCAAACCTTCCTTATTTTAAGTCGTAGAAATTATGGAGTTCCGACTGTTTTCAAGGAGGGATATCGTTTTGTTAACTATTTACGATCGAGGGGAAACAGGAAATGCGCAAGCTATAATTTTAGCTCGAGATATCTAATTGAAATGTTCTGTTTTGGGAGTCTCTCGATTTCGCGAATCATTGCACTTCTAACGGGATTATTCCTAAAATAGAGGCGTCGTATAAGCGGCAGTTAAATTCTTGGATTAGTCGAATCATTCCGAGAATTAAACGCGTATGTGACTAAGGACGAAACTATGACATACCCCCGGACAAAAATCACGATTACGCCAATGCAAATACAACGCGTCAGATGTTCGCAAACAGCACGATTAATAGACAACGATAGAAAACAGTTGGCAATCTTTCTTCCGTAACTCATAAAAATTCATTTGTTTCTCGAATTTTTCATCCGAGGATTACATCATAATGGTTGATTGAATTTCTTGCTACGTATGGAAGAGTTTGCTACAAAACATGTTGACCTTCTCCAAAAAAAGACAAGAATAAATAGAGAGGACGATTCATAAAGAATTCATATTTCACCCTATGCGAATGGAGAACTTAAATTGATTTCGGTATTACATAAATATTTAACAAATTTATAAAACGAATACAAATGTACTCAAGTCCTCGGTTGCTTCGAGTTTATACAATTTTTTGAACGGCTACGAGCAGGAAAATCGGAAGCGATCGAGGCAACCACCATAGAGGGAAGCGAAGGACATACGAGCGTTCCGGGTGCAAATATTTGAAAAATGGCCGCGCAGCGGGTAGTTGCCGGTAAGAAGAATAGCGGTTCGTTGTTTCTACGAAGAAGGCGAATAATCGAGCGAAATGACCGTGAAACCGGTCCAGGACCCGAAGAAGAAGGAACGAGGGAAACCACGAGGACAACTGCCGGTAATTGAAGGTGCGCAGAAGCGCCGGTGGCCGACGTCGTGCGTCGCGACGAGGGCCATCCGCAGTCGTGACTCGCGCGGCGTCCGTGTCGGTTCGTCGACAAGTTCCTCGCTCGATTTGTGACATCTTGCGACCTTCGTTCGCCAGTTCGATTCCTTTGGAAAGGTCGAACACGCAGGGCTTGATAGAACCTAACAGAGCACGGTTCAAAAATAACCGAGAATCTGGTTTTACCAAGGTCTTGTGTGAAATCGACAAAATTACGGATAATTAGGGAAAAATAGTTCTTGATGAGGTCGATAGGAAGAAAATCCAACTGATTCGGTTGTAGTTCTTCCTTTTCTTTTTTTTTCTTTCCACCATTATTTTACCGAGCTCTGTGCAAGACAGTTTGGAGAAGATCGTACAACGGCGAGAATAAATACGGGGTGTCGAATGGAGGATTCGATTCGAAGGAAATCAAACTGAGAATTCTTCCACTTCCTTGCAATTTTCTTCCTGAATTTCGTGCGAGATTACGTAGGATAGAATCGAGAACTTTTTGCAACTTCACTATCGAATTTTGCCCGACGTTACTTTCCGTAGAACGGAAAACCTGAGAACTAAGGTCAAGAACAGATTCGGAATTGATAAGGGAGGCTCTCCGAAAGAAGAATCCTGTTCCGTTTCCAATCACCGATTTCTCTGAATCGTGAATGAAATTAACTGAGAAACATGGAAACCTAAGATTGAAAAACTTGTGATTGATTGAACAGAGGAGAATCAGCAGAGTTTTCCTACTTCACAAAATTTCAATCGTTCCAATACTTAAAGGTTTAAGATACAAAAAATTTGAAGGACAATCGATATATCTTTGCCTAATGTAATAGAAGATTTCGATGAGAAGTTCTCCAAACTTCCAACACTCCATAAAAACGTCGATGTATCGAACGAAAGTTTAAACGAAACTCGATCAATCAATTCTTAAGATTCGCCCGAGAGTTTGCCTCTTCCCAATTTTTTGTTAAGAATTTCATTTATTCCCCAAAAGTTGGTCGAGACTTTATGATGTGCCCTATGCAACCACGAGAACTAATAAAGTAAATCGGTTCAATATGGAGGAGCCAATAGTATCGACGAATTTGTCCAACAGCACGTCCATTCAAGAGTACGTCCAGGACATCACGAATTTCTACAACGGGACCGTCGACAATTATTTCCAAGACATCGTCCATCCACCTCGGAGAGACTCGCTATTCATTGTGGTGCCGGTAACGATCATTTACGCGTCCATTTTCGTGACCGGCACAATAGGGAACATCAGCACGTGCATCGTGATCGCACGCAACAAGTCGATGCACACCGCTACCAACTATTATCTGTTCAGTTTGGCCGTGTCAGACCTGTTGCTACTGGTGTGTGGACTTCCGGCGGAAATTTTTCTCGTTTGGTACAAGTACCCGTATATCTTCGGCGAGGGTTTCTGCGTTTTACGAGGCCTAGCGGCGGAGACGTCGACGAACGCGTCGGTTCTGACCATCACGGCCTTCACCGTCGAAAGATACGTCGCTATTTGTCACCCGTTCTTGTCTCAAACGATGTCGAAATTGACCCGGGCAGTGAAATGGATCCTGGTGATCTGGTTGGTGGCGTTGTCGTTCGCGTTGCTCCCGGCGCTTCAATTTGGGGTGATCCAACATAAAAATAATCCTAGTCTAGTGATGTGCACGGTCAAGAGGATACTTCTGCAACACTCGTTCGAATTGTCTACCTTCCTGTTTTTCGTGGTGCCTATGAGTCTGATCACCGTACTGTACGTACTGATTGGGCTGAAACTGAGGAAGTCGAACATGATGAAGAGAAGTCAGGAGCGAGAAGGTAGCTGCAGACATCATACTGGCAGGTCGTCGAGGAGGGTGCTGAAAATGTTGGGTTAGTAGAAAAATGTTTACTCTTCGTGTACACCATCATTTTATTCAGCTCGTGTTTCTTTTTAATAACGTGACATTTAATTAAGGTGGAATAACTTAAATGTTCTCCAGCTACAAACGAATGAAGCTCGAAATTACGAGTAAGTTTTTTAACGAACGTTCGAATTTTAACAGAATTTAATTAGCAGGAAACAGGAACATTTCTTCGACCTGCGATAATTGACGCAACGGTTAATCGAGTTATGTCCAACATCTGAAACACGTTTTTCCGCTGCCAGAACAGCATTTCAAACATTCTTGATTACCTATTCTTGTCTACTAATACTGTTATCTTGTATATCGGTCGTTAACTTCAGTCATTTATATTCTGTATGCTATTTCGAGTATTTTAATATTCGTGAAATTCGATCGTTTAAATGCGACTATTTTCGTGGAATTTTACCAAATAAGATGAAATTGCACGTTCGCATTCGTTGTTTATTCGATGGAGCATCAAAGGAATTGTTGCGAGAAACAATGTCGGAATATTAAATCTGTACATGCAAATTATCACCGGATGCCAGAGTTTCTAGTTTAGTGGGTTTGTTGTTTTCGCGAACCAGCATTGAAATCACCGATAATAGTTTTGTTGTCCCTTTACGAATATGCGTCCTCTGATGTTATGGACATATTTTATGGTAACGCATCTTCCTGCTGTACGATAATGGAACAGGGCCACTAATGCACTGAAAGTCACAGCAGTGACGATATTCTTTCAACTGCTGTATGAAAATAAAGTTGACTGCATCGCAAGCGGTAAAAAATTGATTATTCCACTAAAATGTTCAGTCATCGAACGTGTTAATTTGTCAGAGGACTGTCACGCCTATCATCAATCGCGATTATTATTGTATCATATCATCGTGAACTGTATAATCATCCAATAAAAATCGCGATAGAATTATGTATCGCTCATCGAGATTAATTTTTTATTATGCGATTTTGTAAAAAAATATCGATTCTTTCGAATGTTCGCAATAAAATAATCGATCTCTTTTCGTGCCCGTAAACATTAACGCGTAGACATAATCAAAATGACGCGTGCCGATTCATTTTTAAGATACCGTGTCGAATCGTCGGTGCTTGTTATTCTTCGTTCAATAAACGGATCGGTCGGAAATTGAAATCGAAATGGTGGATTTGCAAACATACCACGAGCTGGTCACATGTAACGACGCGTAAATTTTGCGTTATTTTCATCAACTTCCGGCACGACTTTATAATTCACCAGCTGCTATTGCAATGAACCGTACCGTCTCCATAGCGGAATATTTTACGAATATCTTAACCGCTTGAAATCCAATGAGAATGTTAATGTTTGTTTCTTTTTTAAATGGCGTTTAAATTGAACAGAAGCGTAATTTAATTTTAAAGAAATAGCTTGCAAATAGAATAATGTATACGGTTCGACGAAGCGATTTATAATTGCTAATTCGAATCAATCATGGACGTATAATAGAGAATCAATAGAGGCTGAAGCAAGAATACATTATCCACCTTGTAAAAAAATGTGGAAGTAAATTTTCTCGCCAGAAGTTACGATTGGGAATGTACCCAACATAATCCGTACGCTCGATTAAATGATAGTTGTCGGAAAAGTTGACACGCGTCGGTGCGATTAAACAAACGATTACATGCATCGTGCTTTATTACCTCGTTTATCGCATAACACGACGGCCGCGTTTCATGAACAAGTCTCTCGTTAACTTCGTAATTATACATGTATGTACACATGCAATTACTTGCTCGGGTTTCATGACACGGAAATGACGTCTCCACTTTTACCATCGATCCTCGACTATCGCGATTTCGTGTACAAGTCAAATACTCTTCAAATAATAATTATGTTCTCAAATTGACCACTGTCGAACACGCTGATCGACCTCCTTTCGATCGTTTTCGGTTGCTCGGCATTCAGGAAGCTGTTTCCTCGTCAAAATCTCGAGTAACGGGAATTTCGATGATTCCAGTTATCAGGCCGTGATATTAACTCGCTTGCAATATCTCGGTGATTAAATTTTGAATCAACCAGCTGCTCCAAACGGTAGTTCAGCGCTTGATGATAGGGAAATTCATGAATTGCCGCTAAATATTCAAAGTATATTTTCTGCATCGTTTCGTATTTTCATTAATGCATCGGTCGATGTTTTTAAAATACCCCACACATTTGTAATGTTCGCTTTATTATTCATAAATATGTATCACGGTACACATAATGACATCAATAATTGGAGGCGTATTTCGAAGTACAGTTTCAGAAACCAGACATTAAATGTCCGATACATTTACCGGGTTCGATGGTAATTAGCAGAAAAACAGCCGGAAATCTCGAGACGTTCCATTTAGGGACTCAGGTGCGCCACTTTTAATATCGAAAGCAAGACCGGTTATAAACAAAGGGAGTGAAAAATTACTCTAAGAAGGTGATTTTAGTAAAAACAGCCTTTGTCTCCTTCATTTTTCTTTCGACGTCATGAAAACTCAACCTCGGAAAATTTTCTTGCATCCTTAGAAAGTTTAGTAAAAAATGGCTGTAAAAACATAAAGGGAACTTTCACGAATGACAAATGAAATCTGATCCATTCGCGTTAGATGATTAAGAAGAAAAAGACTTGATGAGTGTTTTTAATTTCCTGCGAGAGGAAACGCTGATGAGACGCCTGTACATAATTATAAGTTAAACAACTTTTATTTCTACAAAATTAATTCCGAAATATTACCCAGACTTGATGGCCAATTGTGGCGGAATAAACGTTCGAGAGCAGTGACGGCTAATTTCAACTATTTTACCAAGTTGTAACTATGATGTCGGCAGACTCCTAACGATAATCTATTCACAGCTCCTTGCCGCTTTTTTTATTGCGAGACCGTGGAATAATTAATCCTCTTTATCTGGCTATTCGATGAAAAAGTTGTTTCTTTTCTTTCCGTCCTCAGTCGTCGACCACCACTTTTCCTGTTTCTATGTCTTTTTTTTTCGATGCGAGAAATCGTGCTCGCTAGTTTGCATAAACTCGATTTTAATAACGCGGAGAGTACCTCGCCCAGTTTTTTTTAATATTTACCAGACAAGAATGAGTGTATCGAGTACTCGTGAATCATTTATCGTCGGTAGAAGAACACCGTTAAATTAATCACGACAAATAATGGCGATTATTAGTTACAAAAAGTGTGTTCAGACAGCCTCGCTAATCATAAGAACTACTTTCAGTAATACTTCTATATAACTGGTGTATCATTCCTTAGATGTGAACACAATTTTAATATCGTGATCGACAAAATAGTCACAAACTCCGCAACGAACTCTGCGTCATTAGTAGAAAAATTCCATGTCCGAGGAACGTAAAGGAATTTCTCATTCATGAATTTGGCAAAAATAGTTTGGCGAAAAGAAAGGAACGGAAAGAAAGTAAAATGGAGGAATCCTGTAACCAGTTTCAAAAATGAATTATTCAATAAAAACGCGAGATGGTTGCGTAGAAATGCCATAACTCGAGTGAACTTGACCTTAGCCACATATCAATTCCTGTCTTTGCATATTTTTCGAAAGCGTTCCGCGTAATACCGTCGCGTAATGGCACGGACTTGTCGGGAATAATGTACCTGATCCAATCGAGACAAAGGTATTCTTGTTAACCTTCTCTCTTGTCCTTTGATTTCTCTTCGATATTGAACCTTCGACGGTGACGCGTTTTTATCAAAGACACATGAATATTGTATCGATGATAAATCGTTGCTAATTCAGGCAGACCGGTTTTCCCTACGAATCGAGAAACAAACAGAACTTCCATACGTTAGCTCGATACAAATCATCGTGAAAGGGAGAAGTTTCACGGTCGAGGCCGAATGGGGGTGGAATCTCCCTCGAGATCGAGATCACCCCATTGGCAGCCCCTTCGAAATAAAAGAAACCGCGTTTCGGATGTTAAAACGTTCCCAACTAACTTTTACGACGATGGAAACGTCTTATTTATCTTTCAACTACTTGCAAATTTGAACAAAGCTTCTAACGTTATAGAATTTAATCAGGAACTAGGATTTTTGTTCAAAGCGAGAAAGCAGCTTAAACTTACATAGAACTCGGTTTATGAAATTTTAGAACTTGGTAAACGTGCCTAGAGAGAAGTAAGGCAAGGAAGAAATGAAAGTAACGGGTGGCGCGTTCTCTTTTCCCTGCACGGATTAAGCGTTAAAGGAGATATTTTCGTTGGGAATTACAAAGAAGAAAAGCAGGAGACTTTTCAATGCAATAACGTACGATGAAATCTGTGAAAGTGAGCAGTGAAGTGAGAGTAATTAAAAAAGTCGAGGATAGCTTTAAATTAGATGAAAAACTAGGGGTAGTTTTATTAAAAATTAAAATCTTTGTGAGAAAAAAATTATTGAACTTCCACTAATTCTCTCTGTGTGTCGATGCTTCGAAATTCCCCGGTTGAAAAGAGTAAAGGTTAATAACCTACTACGTATAATGGAGGAAATTAACGAACCGGAAGCACCGAAAATACGAGTGTACCCTTTGATGAAATTACGCTTCTAACGATGAAAGAGATAGTGACATTATCGCAAAAATTCCAATACCACCGATTAAGAAATAATTAACTCTGTCATTACCAATGGTAGACATTCGCAAAAAAATTATGCAATCGATCAAAAAATATGATTTATGATGGTTGATGTTAGAATGGCGTCAATAGGCCACTGCAAAAAGTGCATCAGGAAGTTGGTCATTACAAGTAGCTAACGATTCTACAGAAATTAAAAAAAAGTATTCCAAAAGAAGCGTGTCATCGATGATCAAGTCTCTTAGAAGTCAAAGTATTTAAAATGTATTTTCTGTGCTTGCAATATAAAACGGGATATAAATAACATACGTTCGGGACGAAAAGAGTTTATCTTTGATTTCACCGATATATTTATTTTTGGCAGCCTCGATTTTATTTATCGGAACGTCACGTATCGACATGCACTGAACATGTCAATTTGGTACATCACCGCTCAATTTGCTTCGTATTAACTTTTTTCTCGTCTGCAGATTAGATAAGCAATTAACAAAAAACACGATTATTAGCCAAGCATCTTGGACAAAAATAATTCGCATGTAGCCAGCTATAAAAGGATATTTTTAAACGTCCATTAATAACGATATGCTTAGTGAAGTCTATTATCCTAGAAAACCTGACAATCTTTAGGATCCTCGGCGATCCTAAAGACCCTACTAAGGACTCTAAGGTCTCTAAGACCTGAGAATCCTAAGGAGCCTCAGAAACCGTGAAGATCTTAGGAATTATAGGGTCATTAGGCTAACCTACGGAGAATGTTGAAGAAGAGTTCTTCTGCGTATCCGGTTAACTAGGGGAAGTGTAGGTTGCAGATAACCGTACTTAAAATTAAGGCTGGCCATAATGAAGCGACATGGCGCTATGGACACCCCTCTGATTTCATTCCTTTGACGGTTAGCGATAATTTAAGCGCCAACGAACGCGATATTAAACCTAATCATTATTTTACTCTCGTATCGGCCACCATTAATATTATCTACTTGACGTAGCTTTGACGCATACTCGGAGAATACTCGTTAGATGTCCGATTGTTCTACTGTTCCGGCTGCTACCGTTCCATTCAGCTCGCGATCGTTTTAAATTTAGCAGCAACCAATAATTCTTCGTTGGCTGTTTACGTCCTTGTTCCGCGCAATCATCGAAGCGGTTGATTTACCGTTTTATTTTCCCTTAGAGGCTCTTTATGAATTCCTATCTTTTCTGCGGAATATTAATTTTCTACCGACAGATCGTTCACCGTGAGAATCATTGTTAATAGACTTTTAATACCGCACCGAAACCATTTATTTAATAGTTCGGTTGAATAATCGAGCTGTTAAGAAATTTGCGATTGGTTTGTTTCCAGTGGCGGTGGTAATCGCGTTCTTCATCTGCTGGGCGCCGTTTCACGTGCAGAGGCTGATCGCCATTTACGGGACAAATTCGGAAGATCACATCACGTCTAACAGCAAGTGGATAGAGTTCCTTTATCTCTTGATGACCTACATATCCGGGGTACTCTATTACATGTCCACGACGATTAATCCTATTCTATACAACATCATGTCGAACAAATTTCGAGTGGCGTTCATGGTGAGTAACGACGTCTCATTCATATAAACACGCTGTAGCAAATAATTAGAGTATCAGCTGCTTCAATTACCGGATTCTCTCAATTGACATCCAATTACTCCGCCCCGCTTTCTATCTCTGCTCCTTTGGGTAGCAGGATGAGGTTAATGGGGAAACGTAGTCGATTTCGTCCTGGCTTTCATTCTTTCCGGGTCCGGAATTTCTCCTTACAATCTCCTTCCACGCGATAACGATTTCATTCATCCCCTGTTTCGTTCAAATGATCCAAAGAATGACTAATCCGACGAAGCCAATATTAATGACGATTAATAGTACAGAACTTTATCGCTCGCAAGATCGTAAGGTGTGGAAGTCGGAAAGCAAGCCAGAACCATTATTTCTGTCCCGTGAAAAATAGCGATAATCCGTACACGTGTCAGGTTCGTCCCCTTAGAAATCAATTACCAGGAGCTTCTCGAAAAAGTTTGATCCCGCGACTTGTCATTCTTGTTCACCCTCCGATAGTTCGATCAGGCGTGTCCGTTTGACTTGTCAACTACAAGCAGCCGTTCTGTTTTCACAGGAAACACTGTCGAGGAGTTGCAGGATCCCTGGCCTGGTGGTTCGCAACGACCAACGTTCCTACTCGAGTTTGTCTCGGTCCCAGCAAAGAGCGCTGGGCGCTTACGGCTCGAGGACCGTGGGCACCGGAGGAACCGGAATCGCCCACGAAAGCACCGACTGTTCCGGAAATTCCGCTCGCGAGGACAGCCCTAAACAGACGACAGCGTTGGTCGAGCAACTGAAGACGGACTCGCGGAACGTGGACAGGAAATACGCCGACAAAGACAGCGAGGAGATCAGGAAGCTCGCGAAAGAGGTTAGGGTGGTCGACGAGCACAGATCCACCGGCAAATACGCGACCGTCAAGGTCTCCAACGTCGACGAGGCCAGGAAAAAATGGTGGGGGCTGCTCAAGTGGTTTCCTGGATTGAAGTCCTTCAAGTTGGCCGGAAGGAACACGTACACCGTGTCGGAGAACCGTATCCTGAAACAGACGGAGTTGCATAGAGAAGAATTCTCGATGTCCATGTGGAACGTACGCGAGGCGAACGATCAGCTGCCCGTTTGAACCGTCTTTGCTTCGAAAAGGCTGCTGAAAGCTGAAACATTCTCCGAGTTTCGAGAATCGAAAGACTGCTTTGGTTAATGGCTGCGAATGAGTTTGGTACTTGCTGGCATCGGAAATACTATGAAGGTTTCGATGGGCAAAAACATGTTTCAATCAATTTAGGATGCGGTACGAGCGTCACCCGAAGAGTTGGATGGAAAGAAATGTTTCGATCGATGGTTGTATTCGCGAACTGATATTGCAATTCTTGGGTCTGAAGCTTTGACAACCGAAAGAAACTTTTTAATCTTTGGCTAGATTCGCGGACGGAGAGAATGAATTGGTACCGCGTAACGATTGTTAAATCAGTTAACTTTTCGCGAACGAAAAGTAATCGCAAGATTTGTTTCCGTGCAAATGAAAGAGAAGTTGAAAAGTCGCGTATGAATGCTCGGTGAATCGGAGTATAAATAAATGAGACGAAGCAGAAGCTGTTGGGTTATAAATCGCCTCGAAATGTATATTCCTGTCAGGTTTTTCGGTGATCGAGATTCTTCGTGAGTGCTTTGAAAAGCGCGTCGATAATAGACGTTCATCCCCTCTTTTCTGAAGCGTACAAACTCGAAATAAGAAAGTTCTCGAGGTATTTCGATCGAAACCTCGGATTTATGAGGGAAGAGACTACCTCGTGTGGCGCGGGGAGGAATGATAAAACGCTCGGTTACGATAACGAACCAGAAGTATCACAATTATTCGGTTAAAGTTAAATATAGAATTTAGAGACTCGAATGGTATTCGTGTTGGACTCAAATTTCATTCGAATCAACTGATATCGCATTTCCAATGATTCGCCCACGAAAGCACCGACTGTTCCGGAAATTCCGCTCGCGAGGACAGCCCTAAACAGACGACAGCGTTGGTCGAGCAACTGAAGACGGACTCGCGGAACGTGGACAGGAAATACGCCGACAAAGACAGCGAGGAGATCAGGAAGCTCGCGAAAGAGGTTAGGGTGGTCGACGAGCACAGATCCACCGGCAAATACGCGACCGTCAAGGTCTCCAACGTCGACGAGGCCAGGAAAAAATGGTGGGGGCTGCTCAAGTGGTTTCCTGGATTGAAGTCCTTCAAGTTGGCCGGAAGGAACACGTACACCGTGTCGGAGAACCGTATCCTGAAACAGACGGAGTTGCATAGAGAAGAATTCTCGATGTCCATGTGGAACGTACGCGAGGCGAACGATCAGCTGCCCGTTTGAACCGTCTTTGCTTCGAAAAGGCTGCTGAAAGCTGAAACATTCTCCGAGTTTCGAGAATCGAAAGACTGCTTTGGTTAATGGCTGCGAATGAGTTTGGTACTTGCTGGCATCGGAAATACTATGAAGGTTTCGATGGGCAAAAACATGTTTCAATCAATTTAGGATGCGGTACGAGCGTCACCCGAAGAGTTGGATGGAAAGAAATGTTTCGATCGATGGTTGTATTCGCGAACTGATATTGCAATTCTTGGGTCTGAAGCTTTGACAACCGAAAGAAACTTTTTAATCTTTGGCTAGATTCGCGGACGGAGAGAATGAATTGGTACCGCGTAACGATTGTTAAATCAGTTAACTTTTCGCGAACGAAAAGTAATCGCAAGATTTGTTTCCGTGCAAATGAAAGAGAAGTTGAAAAGTCGCGTATGAATGCTCGGTGAATCGGAGTATAAATAAATGAGACGAAGCAGAAGCTGTTGGGTTATAAATCGCCTCGAAATGTATATTCCTGTCAGGTTTTTCGGTGATCGAGATTCTTCGTGAGTGCTTTGAAAAGCGCGTCGATAATAGACGTTCATCCCCTCTTTTCTGAAGCGTACAAACTCGAAATAAGAAAGTTCTCGAGGTATTTCGATCGAAACCTCGGATTTATGAGGGAAGAGACTACCTCGTGTGGCGCGGGGAGGAATGATAAAACGCTCGGTTACGATAACGAACCAGAAGTATCACAATTATTCGGTTAAAGTTAAATATAGAATTTAGAGACTCGAATGGTATTCGTGTTGGACTCAAATTTCATTCGAATCAACTGATATCGCATTTCCAATGATCCGAGCTGTTTTATCGTTCTCCTCCTAAAAGAATGAATTAAAGTGTACAGTATATGAAATTCGCTGCATTTTGATGCGAAGTAGATATAACTACAAGTTATTAACGTAACTGCAACTGATGGAAATGCAGAATTATCGATCTTGAAGCCATAGGCGTCATCGCCATATTAGATTGTAGGAGAATGCTGTGTGAATCAATTTAACATTGCAGTTAAATTTGGCGAATGTGATATTATTTATTGTGTAACTATTAGAAATGTACATTATTTTAGTTACTTAAAATGCGCTCGTTTATGTTTATAAACCAATGTATGTATTTTACAGTAATAATATTTTTGATAATTATAGAACAGGATTTTAATTATTAATTAAAATAAAGCACCTTCTATTACCTCCAAACACTGTTAATTCTGAACTTCATGGGTCAATTAAGTATCTTATGATTTATAGTTTATTCTGAGTCTACCTTGAAATTTCCAGATGAGCAACATAACGATAAAAATAGAGTTCAATATTTTGACAGATGAGCAGCATCGCGTCTGGATCATTTGGAAGTAATTAATAATATAAACTTATTGAGCAAGCGAGCCGAAGGCGAACGAAGCTCTTATATTTGACTTTGCAACTTCTTTGTCCGCGTTTTTCTTTTGCACCACTCAACCAATTCTCGTCAAATTTTGCATGCACATGCGTATGTACATCCAGATGGACATAGAAAAAAAAAAATATTAATCGGACTTGCCACGAACGAATAATCACCGAAAAAACTGATCCAAAAAGTGAGGATCCGAACACGCATATAAGGAAAATAAAAAAATGAATGTTTCGGCACTTTGACGACGTAGTATGGTTCCTGAGGCATTTAGAAACAAATTTCTATTAGGGTTTGATGCGTTTTGATGCCTAATAAAGCCAGAAAATCAATTTTTGTCGAATTCGGTCCAAAACGGTACAGGTGGCGCCATCTAGCGGCGAGCGGCGGAACTACGAAAAACTAAAATTTCGATTTTCTCGAAAACTAGGAACTTTTCCGAAATTCTGAGATATACGAATTGTTCCTTGTCGCCTACGGAATCGAATGAATCTAATTATAGCCTGCTACGACCATTATTAAGGAAAATAGAAAAATAGCCCATTTCATGGACTAAAAAATTGCCGTCCATCTAGCGGTGAAAGTTGGAACTACAAAAATATAAAAATGCGATTTTCTCGAAAATTAGCGAACTTTGAGTACTTCCGAGGCTCAGAAAGTGTTATGTGATCGCATTAGAAGCAAAATAATGCAACAAAAGCTTCCTAAAGGCTTTAATAAAGAAAATAAAAAAAATGTCATTTTATGGAGAAAATTTGTGGCGCCATCTAGCGGCGAAACTGCGAACTAAACTGAAAAAACGTATGTCCGAAAACGCGTTAAAGGGTCAAATAAAACTATATATTTCCTTAACGCGTGTACGGACATACGTTTTTCAGTTTAGTTCGCAGTTTCGCCGCTAGATGGCGCCAGAAATTTTCTCCATAAAATGACATTTTTTTTATTTTCTTTATTAAAGCCTTTAGGAAGCTTTTGTTGCATTATTTTGCTTCTAATGCGATCACATAACACTTTCTGAGCCTCGGAAGTACTCAAACCTCGCTAATTTTCGAGAAAATCGCATTTTTATATTTTGGTAGTTCCAACTTTCACCGCTAGATGGACGGCAATTTTTTAGTCCATGAAATGGGCTATTTT